GTACTAGGCTTCCCTCCTGCTTCAGAAGCCATTTGGTTAGGTGTACATGCCTGCCTGAGTGCAGTGCTTTGCTCCAAACTGGCACTGCGTTATTCATTTGCAAGTATTGACACCTGAAAGGGCAGTGCTGATGACATTTTGAAGCCACCCAACTGAACTGTCAAAAAAAGCAAAGCAAGCCAACAACAACAAAACACTTGCTTGGGGAATTAAGACACTAAGAATTAGGCATGGATTTATTGAATAGCAGTCATCTGGTACTTAAGGTCATTTTCCTGTTAAAGACTTAAGCCTGTCTGTTTGGACTTCACATCTGCAGCTTCAAGAGGTTTAAACAGAACCAGTTGTGTGCCACCTGAGAGGAGAGGTTAGCCATGGCGTTTGCCAGCCCAACCTTAATAGCTGGGGGGTAGGCAGCAACTGGTTCAAACAAACAGGTTTGTTATTTTCATCTTAGGGTACCAGCTCTTCAAGAAGGCCTTAAGCTGCAATGAACCTAAGATTTTTCCATCAAATTTGTGAACGTGTTTCAAACTGAACTTGTTGAAGTTTCCATGGTTCTGTAGAGATCTCTCATTTCAGAGATTCTCGATCCTTACAAGATCATGCATGTACTTGCAATATACTGTGTGTGTATATATATATACACATATATGTGTATTTTAAAGAGTGATTCTGTGAGAGCTCAAAATGACACTCAAAATTAATTCCATTGTAGTTGAGCTTGCTCAGCCCTTTGTGAAAATCGTAACAGTCTCCCAAATGGCCATGATTGCACAGCAGAAAACTTGGTTTAAAGCACAAGGGAAAATAAATAAATAAATATTAATTTTTTAATATTATTCTTTAATATACATTTATAAATATATATTTTTTGTCACTTATTTCTGGTTTCAGGCCTGAGTACAAAAAATGTCCAGATGTTTGTACGGATCCCAGAAGAACTGTATGCCTCTATAAATATTAATCAATTCACTTTGTTGTAAGTGAAGGGATAGTTGCACTTCTAGTTGCACTCTTTCTTTTTTAACTCACTTTTTTGTCCACACAGCTTTGAGCAGTTGTTTTCAGTGCTCATCTCGGTTATATTTATTTTGGGAACAAAAGAAACCCATTTAAAATAATAGACAATTAAAGTACTTATATAGTGTGGGTGTCAAGTGACTTACATGCATAGAATAAGTCAAATTAAGTTAGTTTTTACCAGTCTGGTACAGCCTTTTATGTAGTGCTGCAAGTTGTTTGTTTATTCAGTACTGATTTTCTTTCCCCCCTTACAGAAATTTGGATGTAAGAGAATTCTCAGTGGTTCTGTTTAGTTGGTAGACTCCGGGTGTTGGAACACTGGGCTGTGAAGGAAATTAACTCTCTCATCTGCAGATACAGATTTGGCTACGTGTATCTAAACTAGTACACGACTTTTACACAGAGAAACCTCTGTTCTAAAAACTGTAGCTAAAGTATCTTTGATCTGTATGGGCCAAATTCTGCCCATACTCATCTCTCTGCAAGCTCCTATGACTTCTTTTCCAGTGTTGCAGTTGGGTAATAATAGAGCTTGGTTTTAAGTTACAAGGGTGGAAAGCTCCAACCTCTGATATCAACAGTGAAGGAAAATCTCCTTTCTGAATTCTCCAAACTAAAACCGCTGTCTTAGCATTGTGTTAATCAAAGCATTTATTATTTTAAGCTGCAGGGTGAGGTTATCTGTCTTTCGCTGCCAGAAACATGAACGTATCTGAACTTGTGGCCTCTTACCATGTGTGCCTTTGTCATCCAAACTGCATCAGATGTCTCTCAAATGTGTCAGAGTTTGTGTAAACCTTGGTTTGCTTAATTTCATTATTTCCTATGAAGACTGGTATTTCCACACAATTTCCAAGCTCTTTCACAATTGACACCCAGCTAGCAGTGATTCTGCATCTCTTTGAATGGCTGCAGTGCTTGAAAAGAAATATAGGCCATTCTGGTAAGACTGAATCTGAATCCAAAGATGGAAATTCTCATCTCTGGAATGGCTCTGTGTTTTTTTGGCTATGCAGTATGATCTCTCTTTTTTTTTTTTTTTTTTTTTTTGAAAAGAAGCAGTCCAACCTTTTATGGGAAGTGGCGGAAAAAAAAATTAAACTGGAGTAAAAACGGAGAGAGGTTTTTTCATTTAGACTTAAGAAATATTTTGCAAAAGTTCTTTCTTCCTGTGAGAAAATGCATAGAGGTTAACTTAAATGTAAATGTTGAAAAGTATGGAAGGTACAATTTGTTTCTGAGATGAACTTCACGACCAAGAAAATGGTTGAACTATTGCTCTCCTGTTGCATGCAACATAATTTCTATTGTACTAGCATGCAGAACATCCAGTCAAACTCAGAGCCCTCTGTATTTTTTTATACAAACATGAGTCCCTTTCTCTTAGATATTAGTGATAACTTTACATTCATTGAGAGTACTCAAAACTGTGAAAGCATTGAACAGTCAAATCTTACGATGAGTCTCTGGAAAAGGTCTGTAAAACTATTTATAAAGCAAGTAAGTGACTGATGTGGATGCTGTATTGAGCATGTCAGACTTTATTTCCTGCAACCAAACAGTTGTGCAGATCTTGAATAATTTAATGTTAATCTATAGGGGTATATGCTGTGATAAATGGCCAGCACACTTTATTTCTTCTTTTTACAAATGTCAACTCTTTACTGAGACACTGTTTACAGTAGGTGTACAGTCTGAAACAATACATAAAAGAAAGGTTATAGGAAGAAACATGTCAATAAAGGTTCTAAAGTTGATGCAGAATGTGTTAATGAAGGTTATTGTGTTGTAATTATCTGTTTTTATTTTGTTTTGCATCTTTTTAATGTAATCATTGCTTATATTAAAAGTAGAATTAAGTATTTTTTTTCTTCTTTAATTTCAAAAGTATATAGGATATGTTGTAGATGTTAAGACAACTCTGTATTATGGTAGTGCTCTTGTAACTACTAGGGACATCTTGCAAGTCTATTCAAACTGCCTTTTATAAAAATGCATGCACTAAACCAACCAACTCCATGTGCAATATCAGGCTAATGTGTCTGACAGTAGAAGCAGTGAAGAATTATTATGTATGCAAAGAGAACAGGCACTATTTTAACATCATAAGCAAATATGCTACTAGTTAACAATGGAGAGTGTTTTGTCGTGGATTGCTTTGTAACTAAGCACTTGTAGAAAAGCTGCTTGACAATACCTGACCCAGCAGCCTCACATGTTGAGAGTCCTCCTCACGTGGCAGCATCAGCAGCCACTACAGGGATCAGCTCTTGGGTTGTGCTCTGGCTATGCCTTTATAGAAGAGATGGGAGCAGTAAACTAGAACCTTTCCCCCTCCAGTCATTGCTTTCACTTAGTCTGCAAGTATATCAAAGAGGTAAGATTTGGTACCCTAATAAAATTTCTCAGTTCCACTAGAACAATTTAAAAGTGTTATATGGATATTATTATACCATTCAGTAGGTCAGCAAAATTTCCTCTGGTGTGCTTCATCTCTACTGTTCACGTGCTGGTGTCATGGTTCCGCTCGAGTGGGTAGCCAAGCTCCACCACAGCCGCTCTCTCACTCCTCTCCTCAAAGAGGAACGGGGAGAAAATAAGATGAAAAGGGTTCAAAGTTTGAGATACAGACAAGCAGATCACGCAGTAATTATTCTAACAGGCAAAACAGACTTGGCATAGGGAGATTGTAAGATTTATTGCTTATTACTAACAAGCTAAAGAAGTGAGAAACAGAGGAAAGAAACCAAAAGCACCTTCCCCCCCCATCCACCCTCTTCCACCTCCTCCTCCCAAGCGGCACAGGGGAATGGGGGAATGGGGGTTATGGTCAGTCTACAGCGCTTCTTCTCTGCCGCTCCTTCTCGGTCACTCTCGTCCCCTGTGCTGTGGGGTCCCACCCACGGGATGCAGTCCTTGATGAACTGATCCGGCGTGGGCTTCCCACAGGCAGCAGCTCTTCCAGAGCTGCTCCAGATATGGGTCTGTACCACGGGGTCCATCCCTCAGGAGAAAACTGCTCCAACCTGGGTCCTCCATGGGCAGCAGCTCCTGCCAGGTCACCTGCTCCTGCGTGGGCTCCTCTCCACGGGCTACAGGTCCGGCCTGGGGCCTGCTCCAGCAGGGGTTTCCACAGGCGGCAGCCTCCGTCGGTGCAGGGCCACCTGCTCCACCGTGGTCTCCTCCACGGGCTGCAGCGTGGAACCCTGCTCCACCGTGGTACTCCATGGGCTGCAGGGGGACATCCTGCTTCACCATGGTCCTCACCACAGGCCGCAGGGGACTTCTGCTCTGGCGCCTGGAGCACCTCTCCCCCTCCTTCTGCACTGACCTTGGTGCCTGCAAGGCTGTTCCTCACTCCTCTCACTCTCCAAGCTGCTGTGTGGCGCAGCATTTTTTCCCCTGTCTTGAATATGCTCTCACAGAGGCGCAAAACAACATCGCTTATTGGCTCTGCTCTGGTCAGCAGTGGGGCCCTTACCAAACATAGGGCAGCTTCTAGATCTTTCTCACAGACACCGCCCCTGCCCCCTGCTACCAAAACCTTGCAACGTAAACCCACTACACCTGGACCTCGTAAGAGAGGAAAGACTGTTAGTAGCCTAATGATGGCAGCTGTCTAAGCAACTCTCTCTTTTTTCCTCTTCATCTGAGCTTTTCTTCTCCTTTGCTTTCTAAATAATGTTTTGGTTGAAGTGTTACATGTATGTCCTGGCAAGTTCGCCTATTTGTTATGTCTCAGTCAAAAAGAATGGTAAAATCTTTACTGCAAGGATATGTTATTCTTTCTAGTGGTTAGAATACTTCTGCATGATTGGTGAATAAACCTTGGAACAAACATGCCTAAAGACCACAAAGACTGGATAATGTGTCAATCCTTTACTGAATATTACGTTTTTGTTATGAAGTATAGGTTAATCCCTTTCTTAAATAAACAGCAACACCGTACTCATTATTTGTTTCTTCATTTACAGATGCAGAGCCCCGGTATTTGGTTTCAGTAAGACCAGCACGTGTTTCAAATAACAAGAAATCTTGCTCAGGTATTTTACTGCATCTCTTTCTTCAAGTAGTTTAAGGAGGACAATATCTTGCTTTTACTGGTTTTCTTTGAAAAGGGATTTGTAACTGTAGGTGTCTGACTGGGATGCATGAACTCCATATGAAGGTGAAATGTAGGACAGTGTTTCCTAGTCAGCAGTTAGTCATGTATGTGGCATTCACATGAAGATTGCTCAAAATCTAAGGATAGTTCTTGTAAAAAGTTCTTATAAATGAGAATTGAAATTCAGAATATTAATTTCTGATGTTTAAAGAGATCTATAAATGCACACAAAAAATAAAAGCTTTGAAATACAATGGTTTGGTGGATTTAAGTTATTCTTCCTAAACTGCCAGTTAAGGATTCCTTTATCCACGGTTATGGTAATGCTCTTTTTTTCTAATTAGAAATGGCGGCCTGTGTGTATGTAAATCAGCACTCCTACAGTGCTTGCTGATACAAAGCAGATAAGGAAAAAGGAATGCTTCTAGCTTAAAATATACGTAACACAGCAGAAATCTGAACTTGCTTCTTGTCTGTTTCAAAGACTTTCTACATGACATTGATCATGCCATTAACATTGTTAAGTTTTAGTTCCTTACATTGGTACAAGGATGTCTCTCAAGATCACTGTCCTGTTGCAAATAATAAGTTGTTAGTATATATGTATGTGTTTAGACTTAGAAATCTTTATAGGAAGTTCATTCAAGTTCCTGGTTGGAATTATTTTCTGCTCACTCACAGCCAAACGTAGAACTGAATACTGGGAAACATTTTGAAAAGTGATTCACCTTTCAGACCCACCATGTTTATATATGGGTGTGTTTGTATATTTAAACACATGAATATATTTAAACATGGACCAAAAATGTGTCCAATTTTGTACATATATATGGACATTATTAATTCTAGTATCTATAGTCTACAGAAACTGGTTTGTCAAACAAGACTGATATTTGAGTTTTCAGTCGAGCAGATAAAGGTGTAAGAATAGCCGTTGGCTTAATGGTAACTAAATATTACAGCAGGTCATCTTAGTAGTGAGAGTAGTTAAACTGGACAAATTATTGAGGATGGCAGTAGAATCCGTGTCGCTGCAATTTTAAATTTACATATGAAGACTGTTTACAATTCTGGTTCAAGCTCTGATCAATACAGAGTTGTATGCTTTGTATTCATATAGATCAAAATAGATGATCACATACTTCCTGGTTTTAAAGTACATAAATCATTAGTTTCTAATTGGTCACAAATGGCATAATAAGACAAAATCAAAATCATATGTAGGTCACAAAAAACAACAACAGTATGAGTTCCAGTTACATGAGAGCTTGTGGGGTTTTCTTCTTGTTTGTTTTTAAGTTGCATATTTTCTGTATTTCCTCAGAAAGTGGTCAAAAAGGGATTTCACTGTAGACAGAAGATTTGCCAAATGGTTTGGTAAATGACCAGACTGATTGTTTTAGTTGTTTCTTTAACAATGGAGAAGGAGCCTGGGAACTGGTCTGGAAACCAGGAAAGCTATTTGGATATTTGCCTCCATAGTACATGTATTTTAAAGCATATCATACTTCCTCTGTTAGGTAGAGAGTGTTTTATTTCTCTGACAATGTTCATCATCAATGTACAGTAAAAACCCACACAGTTAAGGTGTCTAAACGCACATTGGTTGAAAGTACAGGTCAAACCTGCTTTGGGCTTGCTAAGCGAACAGGCATTAGGGATCAAAAGGCATGAAAAGAAACTTAGATTTGTTTCACAACAGTGCAAAACATAACCCTTAGATTCATGGCTTATAAACTTTTGGTACGCTTGTGGTCACCTGTATATTATGAGGAGGTACGGATCCTTTAGATATTACAAGTATGTAGAGTGATGTAAGGAATCTATGAATTTCTATTTAACTCATCATACAATGAAGGTTCTCATTGGGCTTGTAGCAGTCCACAAACTTCAGGTTCAAAGTTGTTGCTCTAGATCACTTCTTTGTTTCCATCTATTAGCTTTTAAGCCTCATTTAAATAGAGTCCTTTTTACACACTTGATGAAAAGTGCTGCAGACAGTATGAATTATTTGTGGACACAACTGCAGTGTTATTAGGAATCCTGCCAAGGCACTATTTCTCTATTACATGGAATGAGAGTAATGTCCTGAACCATGTATAACACCTTCAGTGATGCAGTCCGAGACAGCCACAACTTTAAGCTACATGCAGATTAACTTCATACCAAAAACACCAAAAAAGCTTTCGTAATCTGAAAAATGAGTAATAGAGAAAGCTTATTAAAAGATAAAAGTGTAACAAAATTTTGTAAACCAGTGTCCCTCCTGCCCACCAAATAATAGCAAGATGGGTTCTTTCCTTGCGATTTACCTTGTATCCATAAGTCTAGAAGTAAAATATTACAGTTTCTTCAAAGGTTGAAATACATTCTGTACAACTTCCTGAAAAGTTAGTCTTTCTGTTGCCTTTGGGGCTTGACTGTGTTTCTGATATCTGCTTTTTTTAAGTGGTAACCTAATCTGTGCTCCTGCTGCCTTCTGGTTGTATCCTTCTTTCCTTTCTGCAAACTTCATTCTATATTTTTTTCCTCTGTTCTTGCTCAGTTGGCTTCAGGGAAGGAGCAGTTTCTCTTCCATGTGTTTTCCTTTCAGTGAGAAGTAAACAAACAGATCACAGACACTGTCTCTAACCACTGTTTTTAAATCATACATTAGAAGTGCTGGCTGTGATAAAGAGAGCAAGCTGTTGTACCTTTCTCTTTGATTTTTTACTCTATTTACTTGAGTATCTGACTGCAAAAACTTTCCCCTACATACTGCAAGAGAAACTAACTTGTAATTGGAATTGCATGTTTCTAGGTCGGACCAAGACTCAAAAGCCTCTGCAGCTGGTAGTTGGCACTCTCACCCCAACCTCTGTGTTTCTCTCTTGGGGCATCCTAGTGAACCCTCAACATGACTGGACAGCAACAAGTAACTGTGCTAGTGACAGGTAAAATAACAGAAAAGATTTTTTGTGATGATCATTTTTTAATGTAGCATTTCAAGCTTGAAGCTGTGCAGGTTGTTATCTGGTGTGGCTGAAAGAATCTGACAGTGGAAATGAAAACAGTGGAAGCAATAGTTCTGAATAGGAAGTAAATTTTCTCCTTTACTTAATTTCATGATTATTGAGCCTTTACGTGCCTTGCTTGGAAATTAGTCAGATACCTACATGCTGAAGTACAAGTCTTGCTGTTTCACCGTAGATCCGTTGTTTGTAAACCAGTGGATTTGGATCTACCTTCCTTTGTATTTGAATAAGTTGGAAGAAACTTTGTTGAACTTGATGTATTCCATGCTCTGTCATTTTGGTGTTCCTTTTCGTATTCTTCCCTTTATGACAAAATACTATTTTGGGGGGTCTTTGCTTACCTCCTGTAAAGCTCCATTCAATTCAGCAGTGTTTTGGAAAACAAGAACTTTGTGCACCCATTTTCGAGATGCATCAGTATCTCATTTGAAAGCATCATCTTGCTTTGTTAATGCTAATAATCTTTGTTAATAATTTTTGCATTATTGTGAACAGTTTTTACCTTTAAAAATTTCTATTTAGACAAACTCTATAGCTGTCTAATTTAGACCTTGAATCTGCTTGCTTTGGTGTTGATAATAAAAATCTCCTTGACACCATTAAACTGGATATCAGACTTCGATCATGTGAAAAAAAAAAAACAACGTGTAGCTACTATGCCCTTTTCTTACCTCCCCAAAATTTTGAACTAACCCTTTTCAAGCTTCAAAAAATTCTCCCAAACACCTTTGGATCTTTATCACCAACTGGTATTTCAAAGACTATACACAATACTAATGCTTATTAGGAATTTGTTATGAAATATTAGGAAATGTCTAAGCATGTAACTTAATTGCATTTCTTTCTAGTAGAAATAAAAAGGTTTAGGTTGTTCATAGATTTACTTTTTCCTCTTTTGATCAATAAAGAAGCAAATCATTTCGTATTGTTAGAAATGAAAGAAGTGAGCTGATTGTGGAGAAGACTGTGAAGTCTTCTGCCCACACAATGATTTTAGCACTGTTTTTTACCGTGCCACTTATCTTCTGTGTCATCAACAAAGTTACAGCAGCTGTTTAGTGGGAAGTGAGAACCCTTTAGAAGAGACATACATCCTGTACCAACCACTATGCTTTCATCAAGTCTGATTTTTCTCCTCAGTAACTGAATGTTCTTCTTGGACATTCATTGACTCGAAGTTTGAACAAACTGTTTAACACAACGTGTAATGTTCTCCCTTTAGCGCAGTGCTACCAGTGTTTTGCTATGTTTAGAAGATATGTTTGCTACTCTACTGTGTGAGTCTTGCTTTTGCTGTGGCTGTGCAACAGGTCATGGTATGCATCTCCCAAAATTCTCTTTCTTCAGTTAAATATTTAGTCCAGTTAGCTGATTCCTCTTGGATACTTGCTTTTAACGTGCCTTCTTCTTTAATGGAGTGTTGTTGGGCTGAAGTACCACCTATTTACTTCCACTTTGCCCCATAAGAGACCATAAGAGATATATTGTTCATTTTGTTTAAATATCTCAGTGTACTTCAACTCTGTAAAGATGTACAACACCTGTGAATAGCAGTAAAGATAATGGAGAAAAAAAATCACCTATGTAATGCTTGTGTTTTATTTACCTTTAATGAATCTAAATGCTCATGATCTGCCTAAGTGAAGAAAGCAGTTCTCCATGTCACCATGGTGTATGTATCTATAATGCCAAGCCAAGATAGGATTCCAGTATACTTACAGACAGTATATAGAAGAAAAAATATGAATTTATTGTAGCAATTTGAACGATAATTATATATTTATGATAAGAAATATTTAGGAAGTAGCCCATCCTTGGCAAGCTAGCATTGCGTTAAAAGTGCAAGACTGAAAATCAGACAATTGGTTCATCGACATTTGTGTCTACTGCAAGGGCAGTGTACTTCACATACTTGATCCTTCTTCTTCTGGCATGTTCTACTTAGTGATGTGTTGAAATGTTTTGTTAATTATCCTCAAGATAGTTCAGCGATTAACCTCTGCACTTTGACATTGGCAGTATGTGGCAATTATGACCTCCTCACTCAGTTGTGTTCGTTAACATCCCACCAAGTTTTAGGTCTGGAAGTTTGTATGATCTGGAGTCAACTGTTCTCAGCCTCAGATTTTACCATCTCTGGATGGCCTTTAGGCTTTTGTACAAATATTGCATAATATAAGCTAGTTGGCCATGTTACTGACTCAGGAGACGGAAACCATATGGAACAGCATGGGTCTGTCAGCCAAAGTATTCTCTAGTGCAAGTGACTTCAGTGGAATATTCCTTAGAAGATCAGGTTTTGTGAGCAAATGAGTTTTCAATAAGAGGTGCCATGCTGTCAAAGAGCATCGGTATCATATTGCTTCAGTGAAACTATTGCTCGTTTATTGAGAGCACATAGCATTCTTCTGTACCTACAAAGTGCTTTTTAAGAAACTCCAATGAAGAAAAAGTTTTTCCCATGTCATTTGTAATCAAATCATCTTTTGGTTTCTTTCATGTAACTCTCTGGAAGTTAAGGGCATGAGACAATGGAGTGCTACATATTTCCTTGAGATAACCCCAAACCCTTATTCCATGGAGAAGTGAAGATAATCACTGCTCTGTGTTTGGTTGGAATTTCCTCACAAAGTCAAATTTAAAGCCTCCTCGAAATGGTTATCATCTCTGATCAAAAGCACTAGAATGCAAAAAAACAAAAACAAAAACAAACGACCAAAAAAAACCCACAACAACAACAACAAAGCAAACAAAAACAACCCCCAAAATCATTTAATTAGTTTTATGTAACTTATAGAAACTGCACAACACCAGAAATGTTTCTCAAACAATGTTAAGGTAGTTTTCTCGGTATACTCTGTTGATTAACACCAGTATGAGGTACTTGGTAAAGGAAGATGGCAAAGCCATGATAATCTGCTGCACAGTCATGCTGAGTGCCTCTTTTTGTATTTCAGAGAGGGGAGAGACTTGCTTCTCCTGCCTTTCAGTGTTCAAGCAACCATTAATGGACAGAGCTGTAATAATAAACATAGGCGACTATGTTTAGTGGCTGTTTAGATCTAAAAAAAAGGAGTATAGACCACTGTATAGACTTTTCTTGGCCTTCCCTTTGGCTAGAACAACTCCACAGATTCCAAAACAGAGCAAGGGGTTGTAAAAGGCAGCGTCTGAAGTCTGTTATGGGTTTTGTGTGTGTGTGTGAAGAGTGTTCCGTGCAAGACAAAAGCAGGGTTTCCAGCTAGAATTATTTATTTTATTAATAAAATAAATGAATAAATAAATAAAAGCAGGCTTGTTTTTGTGAAATACAAATTTTGAACCGGAAGGTATTTATTTATTTATTTATTTATTTATTTATTTATTGCCATGAAGTATATCTAAGTTAAGAGCTTTGGACGAGTTAATATTCATATTGTTTAAATTTTGTTTGCCTGTAATAGGAATATTCTAATGTCATATTTACAAGTAGTGCAGATCCTGTGCTTTACATGATTTGTCTGATGATTTAGAAAAAGGGGTGGGGGGGAGGAGAAAGAAAAATCCATACTTACTCTTAATACAGTATAGCACAGAGTAGTATTTTTAAAACCTTAAATTCAGAAAGTTATCTGCATGCATCTTCTGTGCATATCTACAAATCTGTGTCACTGCGGGCTGGCAACGTAATCATACTTTGTGTTGCAGATGTCATAGACCATATATTTTAAACTTAGCAGAATTCCTTAAGGAAAACATGCTGCAACAAATTAACTTCTTGAATTTCGGATGCTTTTGAGTTACTGCTGTGAGAGCATATGTTGAAAGCTTATTTAAACATGGAAAGATTTATTGGTTGTCAGCCTCTAATTTTTCAGAACCTCTGACTCTTCAACTCGTTTCCATCGTTTTACTTTTTTTTTTTTTTTAAGCCAGGAAAGTGATCATTAGTGATCATGTACAAGTGAAAACTACATTAGGAAGTGCTTCACAAACTTTGTTGGTAGCCATCAGGGGTGTGATACTTGACATCTTTTCACATACGTCAGCGTCTGTTACTTTGAAGTAAACTTGGAAACAATGCACTAACTTCATTTGCCAATTTGTGAAACAGTGTCTGAGAAACCATAATTCAAACTGTTTCCCTTATTCCTATCTAGCATTAAGTGGGTGCTGTGCTTCTAATGATGTCTTACTATAAACAAATAAATGAATGTGTTAATAGTCTCTTTAAAAGACTGATTACAGAACCACAGAATTACATTCCTATATGCAAGAATGATTTAGGTTTTATAGTGTTTTATCTATGACAACAATCTGAAATGCTCTTATTTCTCCAAGGCATAATTGTTTGTTTAGTGTCATGTCCAAATAAACCCATGATATTTATACAAATTGACCTAGCCTGAAAATCCTGTAAAACCATTCACATTATAAGATTTTCAGTATCTAACTTTTTGGGCCCAAATATTTAACAGTGCTAGCATTTTCTGGTAACCTGTCTAAAAAGAGATTTGGTTAACAATTGGAAAAATATCACTGAAACTTTTGGCAGTGCTGTTCATACTGCTATATGAAAACAGTCCTTCCTAGAACTTTTGCTTCTTGTAGCAGGAAGCAAGGTTTCCTTAATTCCAAAAGCAAAAACCTTGGGGCTGTTTCTTTGAAGTGTTCATAATCTTTTGATAATCTGGTGTAATAAAAGGGATAGCTCTAGCTGAGAAAGAAAAGGTATCACTGTCTTGTACTGTAGGGTGTTTAAAAAAGGGAAAGAAAAGAAGCAAAAGCAGAACTATATACGTTGAACAGAGAAAGGATAGAAACAGTCATCTGTATCACGCTTAGTCTTGCATAGATTTTTATAGATTATGGATTATAATCATACTCTTTCGGATTCGTTGAAATGATGAGATTATTTTTGCTGCTGTTATTTCTGCCGTTATTTCACACTTTGTGTGTATCACAGGTGGGGTTAAGTGAGGTCAGAATATTGTAAAATACTACTTAGGGCTCTTTTATGCAGAGATTTCAAGAATGCCAACATTAAACATAGTATTGCACAAATGCATATGGAGAGAGACTGTCCTGGTGACTGTGGGCTCTTTATGTCTTTCCCTTGCTTCATTTATTGCAGCAATTAACAATGAACAGAGCAGTACTCCTCACCTGCTCATAATAACTTCTGTTTGAATTGATGGAGTTTTCAGCTGTCTAGTGAAAAAGGAGGAGGTAAAATTTCTCCAAGTCCACACAGTCATTGGGTTGGATGTTCCCTCTAATGAACGAAATACAGCCCATTAGAAAGAGAGGGAGAGAAAATCCTTTTTATGGAACTTCGTGAAAGAGCTCTAACGTTTTATACAGTCCTAGCTGAAAAAGAAGTGAACCTTGAAATCTTTTGATTAGTATTTATTGTAAGAGGGAAGACAAGTTCTGTTCAGCAAATGTTGTTCTGATAAAGTGTACCCTTTTTACATCCCCTGACAAAACAAATAAAGAATCAAAACAAAAAGCAGTTAAATGCTGACAGGTTTTTGCACACAAAGAAAATGTAGCTGAAAATACATTTTCATTGAATGTTAACTGCTCTAGCATGCAGGAAATGAGGCATGCCACCTTTTGCTAAAATGCCAACCTAACATTCACAGGTGTGAATAGCATTCCCAGGGCTGTTTCAGTTATGTTTTATTTGAATAGTGTTTTTCTTTTGTACTAGCTATTAGACTGCATTACACTATGATTTTTTCATATCACAGAGATAATGGGACCATGCTGTGTCTGAGAAGCAGCATCGCACACCTTTCCCCCTTCTACCTGACTCCATCTCAGCCTGCCATGTATTATTTGGCAGGAGAATCTGTATAGAGGTTTCTCTAAACATTTACAGTCAAGGAGAAGCAATCTTACAGCTTCTGATGTGCATCACAGACTAACTGCAAATTTTATGTGCATGTCACTTAAACAAGGGGACAATTGACATTTCTGAAAAATTGACGTTTCTGAATTCCTGCACTACAAATAATTGCGTTTTCCAAAAAGTAAATCTTGTTTTCCATCTTTATGTTTTTAATACTCAAACCATTGTGACTTGCAAATTGTTAAATTGAACTTTGTTTTGATTGCTTTTTATTGAAATGAATTGAGGAAATTCTATCACTACAGTCAGTGTTTTTAGTTCTCATGGTGGCAAGTTTCCACTGAAATAATTACACCCTTAGTGAAGTTTTTACAGGCTGGGAAATCTTAGGAGTTGAGAGAACATGCCTTATGCACTGTATATTTCTATTTCTAGTGGCACGGTTTGGCAGAACTATGAAACATCTTGTATTTTTTATAGTATTGAACTTTACTGAAAGATTTTTTATTTTATTTCTTTTTTACATACTAGTGTTCTGAGTGTTTTAATTCATGTCGGGGAGAAGGAATTTGCAGGTGTGGAAACAGTATTCACAAACAGAACATTTTCTACAGTAGAGGCAAGTGAGAGCAACCACTTAAAAGCCTATTCATTGTGAATAATTTGGAGTGTTTTTTTTTTCCCTCATTTCTGATGCAACTATTAATTTAGACTGTTAATAATTACAGTGAATCCATATGTTTTCTTTCCATCACATAAAATCATTTTATGTCTATCCCATTCAGCTAAAACAGGGAGGAAGAGTTAAGGATGAAGATGAAAGCAAATGAAAGTTTCTCTTCCAGGCAAGCTGAGAAGATGGCTACTTTTATTTGTGTATCGCATTTTGTTTGTAGATCTATACCTATTCTACATCTCTTACAAGAGATTGTATGGGGTCCAGCAAGATGTATTCGTGTTTCAGATGGGATTTGTTTATTTCTGTTACTTCCTTTGCAAGAGTGTGACAGATTTCAGTACTTCTGTCGTGTGTTAATATCTATATGATTATGTATGATGGGACGAAGATAAAGGAGGAGAAATTTTGCTTATTTTAACATTGCCAATAATTTCTTATTAAAAACTTTTTGTCGGTCCAAATGACAGTTAGATCTTATATTGCTTGATGTGTGAAATCTGAGAAGATTACAGCCCACAGAAATAATTATGAAGAGTATTAATACCATTATTTGATACTCCAGGAATCAGTCAGGAGAGGATCTACACTAGTGATCATATTCAATTCATTTCCAGGGCTGACTTTACCAGCAGCAAATGTAGCAGAGGAAAATAGTGGTGATCGTTTCTGAAAAACTTGCTAAGCCATACAATGGGGACTGCTGAGGTGGCAAGAAGTGGTGGGATGCCTTGCATGACCAAACAGTTGCAGTGGAGTGATACAGCCTCTTTAGGAAGGACAAGGCTGGGAAGATGAGAAGGTGAAGATGTCCTTCATGTGAGGGGGCAGCTGGAATGTATAGGGATGAGTGATGAGCCAGCTGAGAGTTTATGGACAAAGATTAAGGAGCAGACCAGTGTGGGTGGCATTGTTGTGGATGTTTGTTAAATGCTGGCTGATCAAGAACAACAAGTGGATGAGGTCTCAGACTGGTTGAAAATAGTAAGTTTCCGAGGAACTGGGTGAAGTACTCTAATGTTAGGAACTTTAATCATTACTGAAAAGCAGACTTTTGGGGGTTAGATTATGGCTTGTCTTGAGTGCTAAGTAGTACAGCTAATGAAGACAGTCTTGTGAACCAACATAAATGTTAGTTGTATAACCTAGCAGAATAACTTTTGGTAGCTCAATTTGGTAGGTAACAATCTCACTCTGTTGTTAATCCAGCCTACAGATTTCTGAGCTGTACATGTAAGTACCAAAAAGAGGAGAACCTGTGGTTTCGGTGCCAAGGGAACAAAAATCATAGTTATGGGATAAAATGTGTAAGCATAATCAACCTTGGTGTGTGAAAATATTTTCCGTGATAGACCCTTGCCTTGTCATAGGTTGTGTTTTATTAATGAAGTAGGAATTTCCCTGTCCTCAGTAGGGAAATATATACATATAGGTATATAGGGGGGGGTGTATATGTACATGTATGTGTGTGTATATATGTATTATATATGTCTATACATATGTACTTATTTTCATGTATACTATACTCTGGGAGGGCTCATCTGTAACTTTGGTCAAAGGTGGTCTATGCGTTGACAGTCTTTTATTTTGCCTGTTAAGTGATTTTAATCCAGACCTTGAAACTTGATACCTTTGCAGCGTATTAAAAACCTTTTTGGTTGTTTTCTTAAGGTCCCTTCTTATATCTCGTTATGTTTTCTAAATAATACCTGGATTAAATCTCACAACTCAAATTCCTTTTTCTTTATGTTTCTGAATTATTCTTGGGTTTGTAGCAGGGTTTTTACATAGCATTTCTAGTTTGACCTTAATTTTCTTCTCCTTAATCAATTACTGAAGTGTGGGAAAATACGATTGGATGGAATTCATCCTTTTTCAGCTTATAGCAGTGTAAGATGGATGTGTTTTATTTGTGGTATATGTAACGATTTTCAGTAATACTTGGATTTAAAAAAAATACTAAACATCTCTGACATTTTTTTCAAAAAAAAAAAAAAAAAAAAAAAAAAACACAGAAAACCCCACCCCATTTTGGCAGTGATACAGTATGTATATTGAAAAGGAGACTGTAGCCGGCAGTAGAGTTCTTGTGCCATAACTCACCATTTACATTGTGGTGTTTTATACATATACTGGTTAGCATTGCAGTCATAGTTTTTCAGGGTGGTGCTGCTTGATTTAATTGGGCAATTTCTGTAGAAACGTTTTTTAATTTCATAATCTGTTAGTATTCATTGCACTATTGATGTAAACTGCAGAAAGTAACGCCTTGTTTTAAATGTGGGCAATACATAATGGGATCACCAAATGTCAAATATAAATGTCAACTATTACTGTTTTTTCCTCTAGAGACTACTTTTGGACTAGTTTTGGGGGGAACACCTTTTCTTGAGCAGATCTAGAAGATTTTAAGAACTAGGTTGAGGCTCCCTGACTAATAGGCTCATGATTCAATTGACTAGGTCTGACTTATGTCAGGATCACAGAAACTGCTTGTAAAATAAACTTGCAGTTTGTGCTCGGAACCACACATGGGTGTTTGTGTCTAATGAGACTCTTCTTTTGCTCTGTCTATAACACTTACGATGTTGGGATCTCTATGAGGATCTCATATGTATGTTTCTTGGAAATGACAGGGGCTGGGAAGGTATGCTGGCTTTTCTTGTATTTGATAACCCTAAGGGGCTAGCCTTAGGGTTATCAAATACAAGAACAATGTCAGAACAAATACAAGAACAAAGAACAAGAACAATGGTCAGTAGAAGTTGTTTTAGCAATTCCTAATAGAAACAATTGCAGTGAGTTTCTTTGTGAAGTAAAAAATGACTTTTTTTTTTTTTTATTGAGCAGGTTCTATACTGTTCGCTACAGAGAAAAGGATAAAGACAAGAAATGGGTTTTTCAGCTTTGCCCAGTTACAGAGACGGTAGTGGACAATCTAAAGCCAAACACAGTTTATGAATTTGGAGTTAAAGACAACGTAGAGGATAGTATATGGAGCAAGACTTTCAATCATAAGACAGTTCTGTCTAGTAAGTATTTGGTAATAATTATCCAATAAATAATGCACCTTGATAGCATTTTTCCTCTGTTGTGCTGTTTCCTAAAGTAAGCTACTGATCAGTTTTTCATTGTTTAAATATCATCCCTGCACCCCTAACAAATTATTTTAGGAACTGATGAAAGTAGAAATAATATGTATTTGAAAAAGTGCTACCTATAGTTTTTGAAAGGTGTTCTTACCTAATTATGAATAATAGAGGATCTGCTGCAGGTTGGTAAGACTGTAGCAGTGGTTGGTTTAGACAGATACACAGGAAGTGTTGCCTATGTATTTATACTTCTAGACTGGATCAAGCTTTTTCTTTGGGCCTTGAATAACAAGATCTTCACTAATCTGAGTTGATGGAAAGTATTATCCTTGTTTGAATCTTCTTTTATATCTGCTTATAAGTTCAAGCTTGTTAAAAGCTGGACAGGGCTTCTCCTATCCAGCATGCATCACAACGGGCCCCTTATGACCATACAGAAAAGTTCAAATTGAAGTTAATTTTCAGTCAAGGAATTATATAAATTGTGTTTGTAGGAAACACAGGCTCTGACATATGCCTTTGTTTGGGTTTTCATGGAGACAGGATATGGCATTTCTGGATGTTCACTCAATTACATTTTAAGTTTTTAATGCAAAGTCCCAGGACAGTGCAGGCAAGTTGACATCACATTAACCATGGAAAAACCACATGGTTCAAAGGATCGCTGCGGTCAATAGAGGAATTATGCTGCAGCAAAGTCTTCCGCCTTTTAAAGAAAGGAAGAGAGGAGGTCTGTGACCTTGAGATAGACTTAACAGACGTTGTCTAATCTGATTTATTTTCCTCAGACATTTACATTAAAATAGTTCTGAACATAATGTTTATCAGATGTTGCAAACTCTTACACTCAGTATTTCTAGCTTGACTTGAGACACGAGGAGTGGGATTTCTCATAAGAGAGACTTACTGATTTGAGATTTCCAGCTGAAATTGTATTTAGTACTGTTTCAAGTTGCAGGCAAGTTACGCAGCTCAGTATACTGAGGATAAGGGAGGGAAGCCATAGGTCGGTTTGTAACTCTGCAAAAGCCCTCATACTTTACAGTAGATAACTTTGCTGACCTTCAGAATAAATTAGAAAGCTATAACTTTGAAGTACCTGCCCAGTGCCTATAGTCATTTCAGCAGTACAGAATAATGCCATCATTATACCATGAGCTTAAAGTAGAGAATGGTGGTAGTCTTTTCCCGTATCTGTGTCAAGAAAATAAACTCTACTTGACTGCCCTAAAGAAGGCTTGCTAAATAACTGCTTTCCCAGCATTTAAAAGCAATTTATTGAGCTAGTCCCAAAACAGATTTGAGCATTTGAGAGAATAAGAGTGAATAGTGGTTAGAGTTTAATACTGTGTTCAAGACTATGATTGAAATATGTCCACTGGCATCACAAAATTTGATTTTTATGTATAATATATTTCTAAATGATATTTTTACGGACACCACATGTTTTGAACATTCTTGAGTTATGGAGACAGATTTAGTTGGGTTGAAAGACGTGTTCTTCTAAGAGTTCCTAAAGTTTTTAGATAGAATTTTTTTTCTAGAAAGTAGACTTGTGCATTCAGTGGGTAGTTCTGCAGCAACTAAAAAATGGAGGGCTTGCAATTAATCTGTATGTCTACACTCTGGTCTGCTGATACAGGTACTAACTAGTCTGTTACATATTTGAGGTACCTGATTTCAACAAATACTAATTTCTCATCAGAAAGTTGGCAGCACATTTCAGATTCAAGTCTTTCATACTAGTGCATAGTAGGTAGATGGAAAAATTTTGAGCAGCAAATAGAGTGAACATTTTTTCTTTATTATCATTTGTCTAGGTAGCAGTTTATCAATCAGACAAAATAGCCACTTTTTTTCTCTGTATTATTTAGACTGTCTTGCAGCCACCCAATGTCTTTTCATGTATTAAGGTACATCTCCTTCACGATAAATTTTCTTTCCTCACTAAACAGTATATAAATGACTATAAGCCACAGTTACGGATTCACGTTCCTGTATTTGTTGAATCAGCCCAAATTTTTATTATACATTAAACACTTTGGTAGGATTTGGGAGGAGAATCTGTTTTTAATTCATGATTTGAGGAAAACATAAAAAGCATGGCAAATGTTCAATATTTATTTAACCAAAATTTACCAAAAGAGATGAAAGTAGATTATTTCTGACCATCTTAACATAATTTTCTCATGAAATCATTTTGAAATGTTTGTGAGCTTTCCCTTGTCTTCAGGCCAATAGTAGGTCTTGTTCCTGAGAAATGTCAAGCACTTTCAAAGATTTTCCATGATAGTGTGTCAACTGAAATGTTTTTTGATTGATATTTCTCTATAGTTGATTTTTTTTTTTTTTCTGGCGCTTTTTTGCTCTGGAAATTTTGGCTGGAATTGTGAAGCAATATGATGATATTAACCTTGATTTGTGCTTTTTGTCCTGTTGACTCAAAGGGAGCAGGACAGTGCAAAGGTGGAATATATTGACAAATTTTGCAGTATTGAAGTATTCATATTTAAGAATATGAAGAACATAAGAGATGGGGAAAGGGACTGTTTCTCCTCTGTATCTACAGCTCCATCGCAAGAAGCTTCTAATCTATTAGAAGTTATTTCAGCCTTCTTGCCCCTGTGGTAGAGCAAAAACATTGCCTTCCTGTCAAAATGTGAAATGCAGGCTTTGCACTTGAATTAATTTTAAAAAAAATCTGGAAAAACAGGACTGAACAAAATTGTTACATGCTATGTTTTTGTACATCATAATTAAGTCTTGTTAATTTCTTAGCTGTTGAAAAAGTAGAATAAACTTTACTTGCTTTGCTTGGAGAAAACAAAAGTAATTGTGTGTATTTATTTTTCTTTCTGTCAAATCAGGTAAAAAAGTAAACGGACATCTCCAGAATATGTACAAGTTGGTACCTAATACCCAAACACAGGTATGCAAAAATAGTCCTATTTTTTTAAACCAGATTAGTATTTTGTACAGTCAAATTTTTGCTTCTCTGTTAACGTGAGAAAGAAAATACGACCACAAATCGCCAATACCAAAAATCTGTAAATTTAAGACTAGATAACTATATGAAGAAGTGTTTAAATGTGTGAATTGATTAAATGATGGAGAATGATAGCTCTACTGATCAAACCTACTGATTCTGGTTTAGCAAAGATAAAGCTGATAGTTTCAGTATGTGGATTCTAAACACAAAAATTTGCTTATCCCTTTGTAGTAGTCAGGTTTGTTAGCTTGTGATATTTGTGGTGATTAGAGGATTTTCTGTAGTCAAGATTGCACTTCCATGGAATTCATTTTGTGATAAAGTAATGCTGTTATTTTAGAGAGAGATTTCATACATACTTGGGTCTTCTGTGATCTTTAGTCTACCCACTGAATTCACAAATATTTCTCATGTGAGGCAAGTGTTTACAGAGACAGAGAAAGCTGAAAAGGGCAACGTAGTTTTCATATCAAGATAGGTAAGCAGTTCATTAAATATTTGCAGATCCTCATCTGGGTAGAATTTAACTATTTCATCAAACCATATGGAGATTTTTGTTTTAAAACAAAATAAGTGCTATTCATTTCCGTATTTTTTCTGATTTGGCACTTGCAATAACAGTTACCGAGCCAGCATGGATGGATTTTGTATATTCATAGATTCAGATATAAAGATACTTGTCCCTTTGAGAGGTGAAGCAGTAATCAAGGAATTTTAGACTGAACCTGTTAGTAAGCTAGTTTTAATATGGTGAAAAAAATGAAATTTTATTCAGAGCTCTTGAACATTACCTCTTCTTGTATGAGATTAAGTTGGCTTCTTCACATTTACTTTCCTAATTTTTTTTTTCAAAGGGCAGGGTTCAACAACTAATCCTCAGTTTTGTTTTCCTTATTTATGATTTTTTTTAAGATAGCATCTATGGGGTGGACTAGGGAATAACTGCCCAAGGAAAGTTTTAGAAGTTGTTACTTCAGACGTTTTAAAAGGCTACTTCATGAGTGATTATTATAAAGGAAGAACTCGTTATTCATGATTCTTTTCTGTCTTTGATATTCTGGGTGTTTTGTTAGTAGGAGATTGTCATGTCCGTTTTTTCATTGTTCATTTGTAGTATTGAACAATATTGTAAACTGTCTGTAATTTTAAGACCTGGAAATCCTTCACGAATCAAACCACAGCCCATTACATATCGTTTCTTGTGGGAATAATTAGGTATTCATTTAGGATAGTAATACTTCAATTAGAGCTTTAAATACTGAATTAGAGTAGTATAATGCTTAGGTTGTTGGGGACATGATTGTGCCTCACATTTAAGAGAAAATATTTTATCTGTGGGTAATATGAAGCCAGTTGAATAGATATTCTAGAAGGTGCTCATCTCACTACATTGCTGATGAAGTCAACTTCACTGTTCTTTCCATTGGTCTCATAAACATTTTTAAAGCCACAGGTGACAGCCTAAGACCAGGTAATACATTCTGGCTACTGCTATGCAATCTATGTTCCTTTATTCCTGTGTGTCAGGACCCTAACCCTGTAAGGGCACTGCTGTGAAAGCAGGGATTCTATTTATGCAAGAGAAGTCCTGAGAAAGTGAGCTAAAACAATTTTCCAAATATTTGTACAGCTTAAGCATGAAAAGAGGACTTGAGCCAACATCAAGTCTTTTTAGTCAGCTTCACAGGGCTTAGCTCAAGAGTATTACTGCTTCATCACCCTCCATAGAAATATCATGAAAACATTCCACAGATTGTTTAAAAAAAAAAAAAGAACCTCTTGCCACTCTCACTTCAGTGGTGCAAAAAGTCATAAAACTAAGGCTGGGAAGCTGATAGTGTCCAGCTCTTAAATTTATGTTATTACTTTAGTTTCCACAGTATTAGGTGGAGTATGTTTCATCAGTGCAAAGCCAAAAGAAGTTGTTTAGGCCAAGCTTTGTTTGTGCCTTGTTTTTTCTCCAAAGACACAACTAAATTGTATGAGCATGGTTCTAATTCTTCGCTGTAAGGAGACATTTTTAAGGGCTGTTTATTAAAGCAACATTACCGATCCATCTAGTCATTCTGCCCTTTCAATATCAGTCACATTTCAGCTTGTGTTTCTTTTGGCAGGTTCATCCACTAAGTTTGACTAATCTCCTGGGGCTATGTAAGCTACAACTAACAAGAGGGGGAAAAAAAGAAGACCTCTAGGGACAGTCATTGTTTTTCCCTTTATAAACAATGAGTGGTGGTAGGGTGGAGGGAATGCAGAGGCAATTTCTTTCGTCTTTTGTCTGAGTAGGTTCCTGTAGTTTCATAATCTCAGGCTAGAAGGTGGAGTCCGCCTTGAGATTTTCAATCGAAAAGCAGGGCTCTCAGCTTCTATCATTTGAAAACGTGTTCTTCCCAAGCTTACCCAAGCCATGTTGACTGTAATGCTTCCTTGGGGAGTCTCTTTTCAGTATATGCTAATTATTTGTTGGCTACTTAAATATAAAAAATACAGAAAGAACGGGTATTCTAGAAGTAATGTGGCCATATAGCATTTGGTCAATGAACTGTAGTCCTTTATGCAATATGCAACAGGTATGCAGTCAGAAGTTAAGATACCTGATTGATGGTATAGCTTACAAAACTAATTTTCCTCTGAAATTAAGCAATACTTTTTGTCATCTTCCTGCATGGAGTTTCCACAATCACTTTAATAACTAATGTTCCTAATACCTATGTGCTTTGTATTCTGTGCCTAGAAAATACAGTTAACAGTGCTATTACTACAGATGATACGTTAATGTTTCTGAAATGTAGTCATAAATTTTACTAGGTACAGAAATACCTGTATTAGGTGCTTTTTAGAGACTAAGAGGACTGACAACATGGGGTTACATTTCAAGTGTAGCACTTGCGTACTGATGCACATAGACAGCATAAGTACAGCAGCCGCAGAACACAGATTTCATGCCAGAGATTTGTTCTGAAGTGATAAGCTAAATTCTGAATGTATTTTAATGCATGCTTAGTGTATTTAACTTTTTTGTTTTGCTGTCATTACAGTCATCCATTATTAGTCAATACAGTATGCTCTTGTCAATGAATGTAAGAGTATTTTATTAGTGTGAGGACTAATAATAATTATGATTACAAGTTCCACACTAGAGTTGTGTGAGTGGACTCTTAAGAGTTGTTTATTTGATTATAAGGGCTCCTGGTGAGAAATACAATTAAATAGACTGCTGCTTTGGATATATGCATTTTATCCCACTTGTTAGTTACATGAATAGCAGGGTTACTTCAAAAGCTGATCAGCTGAAACATTTTTTATATTTTTTTTTTTTTACTAAAAGGCAAAATAAAAAGGTAGGCTTATTAATAATAAAGGCAGAATAGTGATAGGAAAGGAACATAATTTCATATCCTTTGTCAATGGCAATGATTGACCATATTCATTCCAATACAAACTTGTTACTAGGTAACAGAAAATAATGGCTTTTGTAGAATAAGCTTTTCCATCCATTTTTCTGGAGAAAAAGCTATCTAATTTATTAAGATCTGTCTTCTTCCAGCTTCCTAGGCTTTTGGTTTGTTCCAACCAGTACTTTTTGAAGATGTAAATATTTAGAAGAGAGCAGAAATAGATAGCCTTAAGTAAATAAATTCATCAAATGCTGAATTTTCATGCAAGCATTTTCACATGAAGTAGACCAGATATCATGAATTGCAAAATTAACTTTAACTGATGCTGACTTTAAGTGGTGTACATTTAACACAGAGAGATAGTTGTCTGAGTTATTTTCTTTCTTGTAACTCAGGTATAACTGAATAAATAAATAAATAAATAAATAAAAGCAAACCTCCACTTTTAATGTATTTAGCATTCTCCTACTGCTGACATGAGAGTTTTCCTTTTCCCCTCTCCTTACTATATTAAAGGCTTTCAGAAGTTGGTCCTACGAGACGTGTGGTAGGGAATACTGATTTATAATCATATAGAAAAGCTATTATCTTTATTTAAAAAATGTGAGGTTTGTTCATGTACTCCTTCTTTTCATGGTTACCAGAATTCTGGAAAAGATGCACACTTAGGCAAAAGCTAATCTGGGTAAAAGACAAACGAGCAGCAGAAGAGTGCTAGCGTTTAGCGTAACAATTCTGAGAAGAACACGGGTGGCTGGCCAATTAGTCTTTGGAACCACTTTCACTGAATTAAACAACTCTTCAGTTACTCGTACTTTATGCAGACTACGGACCCAAGCATGCTGATAGTTACAAATATACACTTGGTTCTGGAGTAGTTGGTGTTCAAAAAATACTCTTCCTAAGAATATAATTTTATCCTGTAACCACATTTGTAATTGCCTGTATTTCGGATGTTTTGTTTTAGTTAAATGACAGTTTTTCTTAGCTTTCTGGCTTACACTCTAGTGAGTGCTCAAGAGATTCTTAAAAGAAAAAAAGATTGGGGTTTCCTAAGCTGTCAAATACTGTGTTTTTATGAAGCAAAACATCTCAAACTGAAACAAAGGAGATTAAAATGCAATATTACTATGTTAACCCATGGGAACTGAAGCAATAGCGTAACCCTCAGTAACTGGGGCCAGAGCCATATCCAGCATTAGCTTGGGGCAGGCGCGGTTTTGGATTAGAGCCCTCTATTTTTGTTACTAAGAAAGTTCAGTTACTATGATGGCAGTTATCCCAAGACTTTTTTTTTTCCCTTCTTTCAGCTTACGCTACGAGATAATAAGAAGTTGGTCCCTGTCACAATAATCAAACAAGGTAACCTTCGATATATTTTTAAACTATTTCTTTTGTTCTGCAAGACTGATTTAAAATTAATAGGAGGGAAAAAAACTTCTGATGTGATGTGAATGCATGAAACTTTCCTTTTAGAATCGGTAGAACCTTAGAAACTATCATGTTCTTTAATTACAAATAATGCCAAGCTGTTACCCAGTTGTTAATAAAATGAGTTATTAATTCGCATTATAAGCAATGCCTTAGTTGATTTCCTGAATGGATACCAATCAATTTTGACTTCGGCTACTATCCATTTTTTCATGTTTCTACTGAATTGTCCAGGTGTCTTGGTCTTCCAGCTGTGCATGGCTCAATATTTCAGCTTGAAATGCAGTAGTATAGATGAGAATAACATTGCCAAACTTTTGATGTCTGCACTGTGGATGTCTTTAGCTCCACCACTGTCTTAACCTTCTGTTCCCTTCCCCAGTCAGTTGAGAGAGACAGCTACAACAGACTTAGATATATTGACCTTGAGAAGTACCTGTTTCTTACCAGTGACTGTAGTAGTGAGAGGTGGTATAGTAGTGTAAGCTTTGAAAATGAACTACTTGAAGACAGTGGTAGAAAATAAGGTGCAGATTAAAACTTGCTAACGGAAATTACAGTGTAAATAATTTTAAGTAACAAAATCAAGCAACTTGTCTTCTGAGGTATTTCACAGTTCGAGAAACAATGGAGGGTGGTGCAAAAGCAAATTAGAGTAATTACTGCTAAATTATGACTGCACTGACATTTACTTCACATCTGTTTTTTCCAGTATGTGTCTTTTCTAAAGACATACGAATGGTAGGGAAATGAGATGTGCCAGAGCTGGCCATTTACATGTATTAACACAAGCATAGAATGATATTTTTCTCCAAGGATCTCAAACAGATATGCTAGGGGAAAGGAGAGATGCACAAGTAAGAGGTAATATAGAAGTAACACAATTTGCAGTTTCTTAAAATGAATGCAAACTTAGAAAGATTACGATGATGTCTTCATCTTTTAGTATTAAATTGAGGAAAGGCTTTCAGCATGCTGAGGCTTGTCTCAGTGGTGGCTTTGTTTACTGTTGCAGGCCTTTTCAAATGATTTTCTGATCTTGTTTTGTCTCCACAGTCATTCAAAATCGGACGCAGCCCAAAACTTCAGATAGTTCTTCTCTGCCTGGAGCAATATTAGGTGAGGAGATTTTTTGTTTCAATATTTCTTTCTCTATGGCTGAAAATTTGAACTGTGTAAATGCTTTCTGTTTTCCTGATCTTGATAGTTATTTCATTAAATGTGTCTTTTGCATGTAAATGTGGAACATATAGGGAATGTCTGTCATATACTGCTTAGAGTAGTGACCTCTGATAACCACATGTTCGGTGTTGTCCTCTTTGGCCCACTAGACAAAATGTCCCGGTATCTGTGGTATTACAGTACTCCAGGGCTGTATGCTTTGGTATTGAATTGTGTGCCATTCTGATGAATAGTGAAATGGTGTTAATACGGTGAGTGATTTAAAAAAAAAAAAAAAAATCAGTTAATTCAGTTCCCAGATATTCAGGCTAAACTCCCAGTGGTTCTGTAGTAGTTGGTCACATATTTCAGAGGGCAGACTATATATTTATTGTTCAGCTCAACTGGAATTAACAGCTCACTCACCTTTTTGTGTAGTGCACCTTATTGTTCCGGGTCTCAATGAAACTCAGCAGAAACTCTTTCCTCCCCTGACAATAGATGACATACATCAAGCATCCAGGAAAAAACTGGGTAAGCAGAAATGAACTAAGCTCATATTTGTTTGTGAGAAGCATCTGTAGTACTGGGGGCTGTGAGATTGCATATGCAAGAGAAAAGCCCTTTTTTCCTGTTGTACCTTTAATTTTCTATTTGTTTAATTAATGGTTTCTTTGGAATTCCAAGAGTTTGTAGTAATACACTTATTTTAAAGCAAATGATCAGTTTGGTTTTTTTTAAAGTATTTCATGGTCATGCAAAAGAATATGTACTAGCTTTGATCCATAGAGAAAGGAAGGAAAAACACAACCATGTTTGTGGTATTTAGGGTTTTTGTTTTGTTTTACATTGTAACTTTTTTATATAGGTGTTATCTTTCAGTGTTTGTAAAAACGGGAGTTTGTGTCCACTTGTAAGACCAGATTTTCTGTGAATTTTATTTTATGAGTTCTGATTTGAGTAGATGTGAGTAATTGTTTCATGGAGAGATTCTTATTGATTACCTAAGGAACCTGCTTTGGCAGGGGGGTTGGACCCGATGATCTTTCGAGGTCCCTTCCAACCCCTTCAATTCTGTGATTCTGTGATCTGTAATTAAATCCATGAGAAAAGAGTAGCCACAAATTTCAATACAAATTTCATGCATATCTCATGAGTATTCCTGGAACTTGCTGGTTCCAACTCCATGTGAAAGAGATTTATTGAGGCTTTTGTTTAATTTCAGTAAATTAGCAAATCACCTGTGAATGGCACAATCATGGGAAATACAGCTGTATTTATAACCTTAAAAATGTCCCTGGTCCCTCTTTCCCAGATGGCTTGAGCAGAATTCTGGAACTGGTGATTTTTGGCTTGCCTAGGCCTAGTACTTCATCTGAACTCTTTACTATGTGAGATTTTTTTTTTTTTTTTTTTTTTAACTCTGTTGGTCCATTGCTGGCCTTGGCACATTCTCAGAGTGGTTTGCTTTGCAGTGAGAAGAGAGCACTGCTTCTTCCTGTTCAGGTGTTTTGTGCATGCAAGGGTAGAGCTACACAGCAGAGTAACGTTGGAACGTGTTTGAGTAAGGATATGTTTGAACTAAGGCTGACTTACTTGGACTTCAGCAAAGCTTTCAGTATTGTTTCTTGTAGTATCTCTCTGGACAAAATGTCCAGTATGCAAGTACATAATAGGATGGGTGAACAATTGGCCAACAGGCCGGGCTTAAAGGGCTTTAGCAAATGGGGTTACATCAGGCTGGCAGCCAGTCATTAGTGAGGTTCCACAGGGCTCCATTTTGGGGCCAGAGCTCTTCAGTGTTTTCATAAATGGCTTGATGCAGAGCTTGAAGGAATGATAAATAAGTTTGTGTACAGTAATAAATTGGGAGAAGCCATTGACTCTGTCAAGGGCAGAAAGGCCTTGCAGAGAGATCTTGACAAAGTAGAGGGCTGGGCACTGACTGCATGAAGTTTAATATGAGCAGGTGCTGGATTCTGCACCTAGGACAGAGTCGTTCTGAGTGTACGTACAAACTGGGAGACAAGAATCTGGAGGCAGCTCCACAGAAAGGGATCTGGGATTTCTAGTTAAGAGCAAGCCGAACGTGACCCAACAGCGTGCCCTGGCAGCCAGGAGGACAAACCCTACCCTGGGGTGCCTCAGGCACTGCCGGTTGAGGGAAGGAACTGTCTCGCTCTGCTCTGCGCTGCCGTGGCCTCACCTTGAGCACTGTGTACAATTTTGGGTATATATCCACAATATGAGAAGAACATCAAACTATTACAAAGCATCCAAAGGAGGTCTACAGAGATAGTGAAGGGACTAGAGGGGAAGATGCCTGAGGAGCAGCTGAGAACCCGTGGTTTGTTGAGCGCAGAGCAGAGCAGGCTGAGGGGAGGCCTCATGGCGGCCTGCAGCTCCATCATGAGGGGAGCGGAGGGGCAGGCGCTGAGCTCTGCTCTCTGGGGACAGTGACAGGACACCAGCCTGTATGTTAGGAAAAGGTTCTTCACTGTGGGGATGGTTGGAACAGGCTTCCAGGGAAGTGGTCACAATACTGAGCCTGTTGGAGTTGAAGAAGCATTTGGCCAACGCACACAGACACATGGTCTGATTTTTGGGTGTTCCTGGGTGGATCCAGGAGTTGGAATCAACGATCCTTGTCACTCCTATCCAACTTGGGATATTTTCTGATTCTGTGAAAAATTAGTATCTGAATTGACTAAGTATTTACGAACATTTGACAAACACTCCTAGCATCTTCTGTGACTACTGAAAATCGAAATGAAGCAGAAAAACTTAATTGCGGTATATATATTACAGAACATTATTATATTTCAGTCATGGTAATGTCATTTACCATATTGTTAACTTGATAACTAATATTTTCTTTGGAGATTAAGTATAGAAAAAAGGTGTTTGTCTTTGCTAGCTTGGTTTTAATTTAGTTATGGATTAAAGGTTTTAAGGTTTAAAAAGTTAAAGGTATGAGATGTGCAGGTAACAAACAAATGTACCATTTGAAGTCAGTAGACCATATTTTGACAAATCCATTTGTGACAACCCTCACTTCTAGTAAACTGTAATATAAAACGTCCAATATTGGTTTTGGACTAGGAGGTTTTATTGTTTTGGTTCTCTACTGCTAAAATTATGTCTTTCTGCGGGAAAACATTTTGCTTTCAAATAGGTTGTAAGGTTCAGTAGGGTGCCCAGTAAAAATAGGAAAGTGACTATGAGCAAAAGATAAGGTAAAAGAGAAAGGTAACTTCAGTTGTTCAACTTTGTCGGTTGGCTGAGCGTAGAACTCGGACTTCTAAATTTAGATGCTCTAATGCGTCTAAAATAGCTGGTGTGATGCCAGTTTGGAGCCACTCTTTATGGCAGATTACACAATCATCTTTGTGAAAATAACTGGGGTAAACAAATGATGTTTTGTTTTGTTCCATTTACTATTTGTTCCTTACCAGAGAACATCAAGTGCATGGGTGTACACACAGGGGAATACCGGATTTCAAAGGATTGTAAAACAGGAAAGAATTATTGCTTGCAAATCAAAAATACCCCCAGAAATAATTTAAATTTGTAAAATAATTGACAAATAGACATATTGATCAAGTATAAATTTCCTTCACTCATACCTGAGAACAATTTCTACAGCAAAATGCAGTAAGGCTTATTTTGTGTATGAAGTTACGACTAAGTATGATTTCCTGACATATTGCAACTATTTTAATTTTATATTATTTAGAAAAGTCAAAATAACACATTTCAGAATAACATATTTTTTAATTCTCAAAATATTTTTTATTTACTTAATCAAAAATTTGCTATTTTTTAAAAAAAAGAATAGTAGTCCAGAGGGGAAAAAAAAAACAAAAAACATAGTAAAGAATTTCTTCCTAACATCTGATATAAATCTCTTCTCTTTTACTTTAAGCCATTACTTCTTGTCCTTTCACTATACTCCCTGTTAAAGAATCCTGATTCAGCTTTCTTGTAGGACTCCTTTAGGTATTAGAAGATTGAAAATCGGTATTACGTTTTTGAATTTTGAAAGGGATTTTACTGTGAATGCTGAAATGCTAGACAAATGAAAAACACTGAAAACTATTTTGTATTGTGAAAGTAATGACTCATAAAACTTGCTCTAAATGTTATTTTCAAAGCATCCTTTTTTATGAATAAAACAATACCAAAAATTGCATGCATGTTCAACATCACTAGGCAGATGATTGTACTCATTGTGTGGTGGATGTTCATTGATTCCTAAAGCTCTTCAGCCATTCAAGCACATTGGTTTTATTTGGCAGACTGAAGTGGGACAGAAACAAATCTGTAGTGGAACAGAACAGCTGCAACTTTTTTATAACTCTCTACTATCTTTGTCCCTTTAGCTAAGAATGAAACCCATGTATGGCCTGCTGAATCCAAAACACCAGAAGTTCAAGAAATCTCCCCAGAGTCCCTTCCAGGTAATGAGAATTCTATTTTTAGAAACTCTGTTGAATATCTTTGCCAAAGATACAAACTTAAATTAAATTCATCTTTGTGTTGCTTAATGCAGTTGTTGTGTTACTAAACGTAGTAGGTGGAAGAAAGGAGCATAATGAAGCCTAATTAGTAGCTCTGAATGGTACCTAGAATTAGAATGTAGATAAAAATCTAAATATAATTTTGTAATAAAACTCTGGTTGTTAAGTTTGTAAAACAAAACAAAAACAAAACAAAACAAAAAACCTGTAATAATAATGAAATTAATTAGAATAGAATAATAATAGAAGCACGGAAGCATATCTTCGTGGGCTGATGGATATCTTGAAATTGTGAAAAATGGCAAAACAGAAGTCATCTTGTGATGCACCGTGATCTTCTGACTTTCAAGATAGAAAGAAAAAGAGGAATGCATGTGTGAGATTAAGATTGAACAGTCACAGTTCACAGACACTACAAAAAATATATATAGGAAATAAGAGATACAAGATGAAGTTATGCAGCAAAAACATGTAATGATCACTAACCATGTTTTAGATGAAGCAAGCCGTTGTTTTTAGTATCCAGAAAATGCTGATTTTTATTTTGCACCCTGTAGATAAATCTATTTGCCAAATTCTGCTTTTCACTATGCCTTTCTTTGGGCCAAACCTTTATATGAATTGCTCTTTTCTGTTCATCCTAAGTATTAAAAGTAAAACAAAAATGTTCCTTCACAGGAATATTTTATCAAAGTAGGCTCTAAATTCTAGAAACTTAGCATATGTTTTAATAAGCAGCTCAACATTAATTGGAAATGTGTGGATAATTAAAAAAAAATGTGAAGAATATTTTTGTTTGTTTTACAATTTGAGGTCTCTTGTAGGCTTAAATTACAAACTTACTTTACAGAATAATTTACCTTGTTTATATAACTACAGAACAAGCAATTTACAAATATATTTTACGGAACTTCACAATTTTGTGAAAGTGAGAATTGACTGCATAAATTTATGTAATCACTTGTCCTGCAAGAAATCCTAGTCCTCAGGCTTGCATTCCAATCAAAATACACCATTTCTTGTGCTGGAATTTTCTGGTTAGTCAAGTTAACAGTGTGAAATCTGACAGGGTTGATACATCAGCCTGGGCGGAGAGAATCAGTCCATTCCATTTGCATTCCTTTGTGTTCTTTAATTAAGTACCTGCTATACAGTAACTAATCATAAACTTCGTCATCTCTAGACATAGTACAGAATAATATTTTTTTGAAGTTGGATAGTGTGTTTCATTATACGTGGTAGTAATTGACAACTACTCTCTTTTTAGTAGCAAATGATATGTAACTGTTTGCTACATCTAAACATATTCATATGGCTATCATACCATCAGTTATTTACTGAAATACTTGAAATCCTTTTCATCTTCTACTTCATGCTTCCTCTGTGGTTTTGCTTCCATATCTCTTTTCCATTGGTGACCATTCCTTTTATTCGTAAGTTGCTGATCACAGTACCAATGTCTCATGTTAAAGAAGATTTTTCAGGTGTGTCACACTATTTACATTAGAGACTGTATTCATTGTGATTACAGTGTTTCAGTTTAAGGGGGGAAATGGCAGTAGCGGGAAATAGAAACGAGAGTGAGTCCCTTAAAAGAACACAGAAGTTATCTGAGTTTAATTTCTGTTTAGCTATTGAATAGGCAAAAATAACCTGAATAGTTATGCGTTTGAGACAGACTTGCACAAGCAACTGAAGTGAGAGTTCTGAGCACCAGCCTTTCACACGGGTTATATTTGAGAAACAGGGTAACATGTAGGCACAATTAATATAGCTTATCAATAAGATCTGTTTCATTATATTTCATTCAGACTTACCAGTTTGAAAATCATACTAGATTGACCTGCAGTAAGACAGTCATTACTTACTGTGAAAGGTTTAGGAACTGGCACCAGAAGTGGCAACAGAATACTCATTTAAAAAGAGCTGGGTGCTTTCTGTCATGCAAGAAGGGAAGAAAAGAACTTAGAGTATTTCAGCAAGCAGAATTATCTGAAAAGCTCCATGAGCTGGGCCGCTCTTATGTTCCGCTGGGTCTTTGCCAAAGGGTGTGTTTTGTGGTGTGGTGTTGGTCAGCAACTTTTTTTTGATGTATTTGTCAGCCAAGCATCCCACCATTTTCTTAATTTCAGGCCTCCCCTCCCTTGGCATACACTTCCATGGAAAGACTAGTTAGTAAGCTTTTTCATGCTTCGTTTTTGCCAGGCTTGTTACAATATTTTCCAGTTAAGAATAATATATTCTTAACAGAACAGCGTGAATTCATGCTTTCTTACTTTTATTTTTTTTCAGTCATGAAAATTCAGTTGAATCCAATGTGAGCATTTTATTAACTTCACAGGGAAATTGGAACTGACCAACAGTTACAAATAGCACATTTGTCTAGGACATGGAAGAACTACTTTGGAAAAAACATAACAAACAAAACCCAAAACAGCAGGTTATTTATTTATGTAAAGAATTATACCAGAAATATATCAAAGCAGACTTGTCAAATAGAGAACAGACTTGAAGTAAAAACAACCACTTGTGAATCCAAGGTAGAGTTAATGCATAGTAGGGATAGGTAGGGATAATGCATGGTAACTCCTTTGTTGCCATATTTTCCAAGTTCTGTTCTTCCTGTCCTCCTTCTGGATCCTGAAGTCTTCCCCTTGTGCTCACATGGGATACTTGAAGAAGTGGAATTACTGCTTCCATCAGAATATGCAAATGCTGTCTGGGGAGGAAGAGAGGAAAATAAATGAGAGAGCTGAGAGAACTTAAAGAAAAATAAGAAATGCTGCCTAAATGAATGCTTGCTATGTTTCATGGTGTAAGAGTAAACTAGCTTATCATGCTTGTTATATTAATGATTTACTTTGCAGCTACCTCTGAACCAGCCCAGAAGAATATTAAACCTACTTTACCTCATACCCTGTAAAAGCCAGAGGCATTTCTGGGTGAATTCCTCTTTTTCTGTAATTTAACTTTTAAGGTCTAAAGTTTCTGCTTCATGTACCACTTTATATATAAAAAAAAAAAAAAAAGTCATCTCTTGCTTCATATCAACCCTACACCATTCTGTGCAAAATAGAGGAGAGCCTGGTTTCTTTTATCCCAATTTTAGACACGGTTTCTCTTGTTCTTGCTCAGCTAACTTAGTGGCCAAGAGTCATGCTTCATATGAGTATAAACCAGCTAGCCTCTGAAAACAAACAAAAAAACAGACAGTGCATAATGAGGCCTAAATGTCTGCATTTGACTTTGTTTTCTCATGGTTACATTTCAACAGAAAAAAAAAAGTTAGCTTTTGAAGTACTTCTGTGAAATTCGGGTTTGTTTGTTGTTTCCATTATCTTTCTAGGTCTCTCACGGGTGAATTTTCTCCCACAACCTTCATAAAGATAAATTGCTTGAACTTCTCTGTACTGCTAAATCCCCTTTCCAGTGATGACAGTAACAGCACTGTTGACTTAGTAGAAGCTGAATTGGGTCCTGATAAGGCAGCATGTGTGGAGATTGAAGCTTTTGTGGCACTACCCACCCCCCAAAAAAAAAAATAAAATGTGGTAGAATGTTTGTAACTTTAGTAGTAACTATCCAGCTATTTGCAAGCTAGAAACCAGTGCGTTTTCTTCAGAAAATGAAATAATAAACTTAGAAATACACTTGAGTAGTTCTTTCTTGAAGCATACTTAGTTGATCAGGGAAGAAGTATGGAGGTGAAAAAGGAAAATATCTCCTCTTTTACTCCATTTCAAAATGAAAGTGTTCTTTTATTAAGCTAAATGAAGACTAAAATTTTTTAAAGGCTAAAATTATGATGCCCACCAATATTAAAGATCTTCTATAAATACCAGTTTGTGCTAAATGCAGTGTAATTCACTCTGTGGAAGGAATTAGTGGTCTTACCCATTCAAGGCTGAGAACTTACCATCCTGTGTTCCATATTAGTACACTTTTTCATTTTATAATCACAGATTTCTGGTTTTGTGTCCTTCACGATTGATTAAATGCTACGGGCCCTCTGACAAGATGAAAAAAGTGATACATACCATAGTAAATAAATGTTATGTGAAACAGGAGGCATATAATTATGCACTAGTGTATTAAAATATGGCTAGCAGTTCAATTTAGGTACAACAAATTGCTGTTTAATTAGCTGCCCGTGGTTTACTCAGAAGATGTAGAAAAAATAATAAAAATCAAAAGCTGATTTTATTGTTATTACTGGCTAAATGGAAGAGCTAGGGTATTACAGGTGAATCTGTGTTCTTTTCCTGATAATTTTTGCATGAGCAGGATTAAAAAATAGCTGGGAATATATTTGTAAATACACTATGTGATGTAATAAGTCTATTACACTTAAAAGGTATGAACAAAACTTGAGAGACCATAGCAGTAGTGCTGTTTGAACTTACAATCTTAGCTTTGTTCTTTTTGACTAATATTTTCCTTTTGCTTATGTAAAATTGCAACAGAATAAATCCAATGCATATGGACTTCACATGATGAAGTTGAGCCACTGCAGAAATTATTCTAATCAGATAGCATAAAATAGCGGTAAGGAAGACAGTGGGCTTTGAGCAGTAGATAAAGAAAAGCTCAGATGGATTCAAAATTAAATAAAGCTTCTTCTTTTCTAGCTCAGGCTGAGAGAAAGCATGGACCTAAGGAATTTAAATCAACGCCTAAACCCGAATTGCAAACTCAAAACATACTGGGTAACTAATTTTGCTGCTTTTTACCTTCTTTGTCCAGTAAATGGTTCTTTTTTTTTTTTTCCCTCTAGCAGAATTTTTCTACTACATCCTCTTTCTATTGAGCTACTCCAAATGAAGTCCTAATTAAAAATGTTTGATTCCCTTTCTGTTTCTAGTAACTCAAAGATGAAATGTAAACCAAAATGCATCTAGCTCTGGCTGAGCTGTGGCTAGTATGTACATCATTATTGCTAGCAGATTTGACTGGTTGATTCAATGTTATTTTTCAAAGTAATGATTTCTGTTTATGTGATTTATAAAACCAACAAAGAAAATTTCCATCAGTAAAATAACCTCAGTGATACAATTGAAATAACGACCTCAATGATTTTCCTCTGATGACAGGTTCGTTTAGGTAGCATCAACAGTAATGCAAAAGGAAAATTTTACTTTGTGTGTGACAGGATGTATTTGTGTTTGTCCTGGAGGCCAAAAAAAAAAGAAGCTTTACAGATTTTTTTTTCTATTATTCTTATTATTTTCAGAGTTTTCTTGTAATGAAAGATCTTAACTTCTTATAAGTATTGTAATTAGTTTTGTGATTTGGAACAGCATTTACTTTCTTCTTGCATTCATAGTTCTACGTTCTCCAGCGTTGATTTTGTTGTCTTTATTTTAATCCCCAAACTATGCAAAATTATGAACCCAAACTGTTGGTTATTTATATATATATATATTGATTTTGATTTTCTAAAGCACAAATGGTATAAATACAGGATGATGATTCATAAACGAGAAGCCCGTGAGCTTTTTCCACCACAGAAATACAAATGTTCCTTGTGAAGAGGACTGCTAATGCTTCTCAGTTAAGATCTTTTTACATATTCCTATTGATTCATGCTAATGTCATACTCTCTTTTGTCTCTTAGAGTTGCCAGCAGGTTTCCAGAATTTACTGAAGCTAAAACATCAATCTATTTTTCATGCTAACATTTAATCAGTTTTTAAGCATAATTAATCTTGCTTGTTTTTTTGTTGTTGTTGTTGTGCTTTTTAAGATGAAGATATGAAACGTAATCCGGATGCGTTACTACTTAATTTCAAACTAGGTGACCATAGTTACTGATGGATTTTCATTACTAACTTCCTCTGATTGATGATTCTTAGTATTGTGTTTGGGGGAGAAAGTGTGATTTCATGCAGATTCCACACACTTTTTAAAGTGACCAAGATGCATGTGCTTGTGTTTTTTTTTTCTAGGTTGGAACCACTTTTTTGTTGTTTAACATCATTGGTTTCAGGAGTGCTTTATAAGACAAAATATACTTCCATACTGTTCCTTGCAGCATTCTTTATTAAATAAAGCCTTGATTATTTCTTTTATCATAGCTTCTAATGAAATACACCCAGTTCCTTCTGGATCCAGAATCTTTGATGCTCCAAAAAGTCCGTTGACACAACTTGGTAATAACTTTGTTTGTAAATTCGAGTAAACTTCCATGGAAAATTACCTGTAATACCTGATATTTGTCGTTGTTGTTTAGCTGATAGGTTTTAAGACTTGAACTGCAATAATATCATTCAGTAAATGTAAATGATGGCAGCAATTAGATTCTTCTTCATGAAATTTGCAAGTTTCTTTTTTCATTCTCAGTCTAGTTTTGTTTTATTGTAGTGACAGGCTGTGGTACTATATAGTACTACGAGAAGATAAACAATAAAAATTAATTGATACAGTCACTTAGTCAGTTGGAGGAGTTGTTACAGCTAGACCAAAGCAAACCAAAGCTATAGGCATGTCAAGGAGAGTTTGGGCAAGGCAGACCTGCCAGGCCTGGGTCCTGAACTATGTACAAAGTTTATGGCCTGCTACCAGCAGTGGCAATACCATATTACAGAGCTATACAGTTGCACCCGTGCCATTACAGATTGTGGTTTTCTTTTCACTAGATAACTGGAGTAATCTTATGTCAGTGTGGATTGGTATTTCGTTAAGCCTTAGACAAGAAGTTATTGTGTAGTGCTGATTTATTTAGACAACATACTTTTACCTAATGCACTCTGCCAAATTTTAAAATAATTTCCAGGACTAGCTCTTGTTTCTTGAAGTGCATACATGTATTTGAACCAAGCAGAATATGTGAAAGATCTTCACAATTTGTTACAATTTTTGAGAACTCTTTTCCAGTTGTGTTTGTGGGAATGGGGATACATATTTGTTTTCACTGTAGTGAAATAATTTCGGTTAAATGCTGGTAGAGGTAGCATCGGATAGAAAGTCATTCGGTGTTTTAAGAACATATTTGATGGAAATGTAGCTTAAGACATGGAAATTACAAGGGATGAGAAGTATTTTTTCTTTCTGCTGGGGAATAATGATCTAATTTTATGCTGTTATCAGTGGTAAAGGTAAAGTAATAACAATTGAGGCAACATAAGTGTTTTAGATATTTATTTTGGTCTTGTTTTAATGTATTCCATTTCTGCCAAATAATTCCATATAGCAAAAACTAGGATTTAATTATGTGAGGCTGGACCCTGCCATTGGGTCAACTGGAGCGTCTGTTGACTTTCCAGTGAAGTCTGTGCTGAACTCAGATACTGTGTGAAAGTGACTGAGTGGTCACATATGGGAGATTTCACTGCTCTGTAAAATCACCCTGCATGTTGTGATCACCTCGGGTTATATAATCAGTGAAGAAAGCAAAATTTATTTCCTGATGTTTAAGTATATGTGACCTGTATTCTGCCCTAGTTCCCCAGAAGGCTTTTTTCTTTATTTTTCTATCTAGACTGTACCAGAGGGAGACATCTCCCTTATTTTATAAACTAAATATACTGACCACACAGAAAGAATTCAAAACTTCCTGAAAAGATAGCTTTGTTAACGTGGCCTTACTGTTCTGTTGCCTTTGGGAGAGCTCTCATAGTTCATACATAATGGATCAAAGGAAGCTTTTGTTGACAAAAGCTGTGAATCATATGGCTTTTGTTTGTATTATTTTCATCTCTATAGAAATCATTATGGTAACCTGGGATCATATTTATTAGTATGACATACTGGATTGAAGGCAAATGGGAAAGCGATCCAATATATGAAACACAAATGTTCACTTTTTGGATTATATTCATATTGTCTGCACTAAAAATGAGCCCCACACCTTGTTTGAATATTTTTTTGCGATCTCAAAGAAGATGAGTTTTAAAATTCTAACGTAATTGCTTTTCAAAAAGATAAACCTTGTTTTGATAAAGAGCAATTAAACATAGAGATGGAAATTTTCTCTTTCAAATATATTATAATTCAAACAGGCATTAATGAGTACCAATTTGTTTACTGGAAGGAATGGCACTCACTGGCCTGTACACATGGTTGACTTTTAGTAGGATCTGTTTGTTAGAAGCAGAACACTATTGTAAAGCCCACACATAGTGGAAATATACTCATCTTGGACTTTAGGTAAGAAAACCTAATTCCATCTTGATGGCTTGTGTGCTTTTACAAAAACAAGCACATTTCAGTTTACCTGTGCTTCTAAGTGAAATAACTTTAAGGGCTTTGTAGTAGTATTCATTACAACATAACAAATGAAAGATGCTGTTCACTCACTTCCGTGATTATTTCACTGACTTCATCTTACTTACTCCTTTTTGCTTTTTCTATTACACCTTCCTTTAAAATAGCTATATATAATGAAATAGTAACCAGTTGGTACACGCTTGAAAGTGTTATATCAAATGTGTTTGGGTTGTGGATGCTGGACAGTGAAGAAAAACCTCTCGAGTAATATAGATTCAGCCTGATTTGATGTATGACAATGTTTGAATAGGGTAAAAATGTATAGAAAGAAGAAAGATTCAAACCAAACAAAAACTTGATAGTTACAGTTAAGATTAAATTTCATACCACTTTGCAGGGAGACTGTCTACCTGGTTATCTCACTTTTTTTTTTTTTTCATGTTTGCTCTTAGCTACTCAGAGTCCAACCTTGAAATCTGTATTTCTACCTTCAGCAGAAACCAGAAAGATGGAGATAGGTAATCAGTGGATTATTTCCATATTTTTTCAATTATCTTAGCATCACTTAGATCTGCAAATGGTAATTTCAAAATCTGCCTTAGAATCTTGGCTACCAACTCTCAGAGCTGCTTATTCAACATTTTTGTCTGTGTAATCATTTGAAAAACATATTTATTACTGGCTTAAAAAACTGACTGCTTGAAGATAATGTCATATCTTACTGTGTTCTCACTTACTGTAAAGCTCTTATCCTAGAAAATTTAATGAGATAAATTTTTCTTGCTGATAAACATTCTTTTGGGCACGTGGGACTCAAATTACAAGGCCAGAGGACTCATCATCCCTTGTTGTTATGACACGGTTGTCTTGCACCTTACTTCCAGGCAATGTGCCATCTTGCTTAGCTTTGCATTACCATCATCTGGAATTTCACAGCCTTCACAAAGCTATCTTATGCTAACCCATTAAGTCACAGGTCTCAGCATTTTAAGCTCAGATTCTTTTTTCAGCTTTTGATGAAACACAGCCTGTTTCTTCAAGATTCAAAACATCTGGTACCACAGAAGTGCAACCAACCAAGTCTGGTAATGATTTCTCCTAAGATTAATTCTCTTGACTGTTAGGAATTTTCAGAAGAGACATAGTGCTTCTCATTAAACTGTTCAGTTTGACATCATGAAGAATAACTGCAGATATGGTATTGCTATACGAAATTACAGGATTCTAAATGATGTTTTTTTTTTTTAATGAAATACTGAACTACTGTTTTGCTAGGTGTTTTTACTATCTATTTTCATGTTTGGCTACAACATGTAACTTTAAGCTTTGAAACGGTATCAGATTTATGGTAAATGCTAAATTTAAATAGCTCTGTCCACACCAGAGTTTTGTAGGTAGAGTATCGTGACTTGCTGAAGTGCTCAGAGTCCTAAGAGATGAATGGAAACTGCGTAGTCCAACACAGTTTGAAAATATCGGACTGCTTTTAGCCTTCCTATGTGAATATAGATGTGGTTACTTTTAAACAGCCAGTTCTCAAAACCGGTACTATGAAGACAATGCTATTGAAGATTTAAACACTGGCTACTTGATCTTTAGAAAATGTCTCTGATGACTTTACTCTTATTTTACAGATAAGGAGACTTGGGTGTTAAGAACTGGTTATTTATGTGGGGCCACTGACAGTTACCCAAAAGAGAAAAAAAAAAGTATACAAAGCCAGTTGGATAGATTTCACTTCATTAGCATGCCAATAGTGAAATGTCAGATGCATATGTTTTTAGAGGAAATCAATTTTTGAAGGAAATCCATTACTAAAGGGAAGATCAATTGGAAGTGTCAGCCACTCACATCTGACAAAAGACAGTTCATTTGTTTCATTTGGTATCATTCCTGCTTTGTCATACTTTATTTCTCTAGTTTCAGCACCAGGATATCCTCCTGTTTGATCCCTGGAATCCTAGGGAAAAATTCCATACTGTTCCAGTCTGCTGATTTCTATTCATAATTTGTTCCCTTTCTTCTTTGAGCTGCCTTTCTCCTTTTTAATGCAAAAATTCTTGTGTGGTTCTGCTTACAGTTTGGTCATCAGTTGCATTATGCATCTGTGCATAGTATTCTAAATAAATACAATTGTTTTGAACTCATATTTAATTGGTTATGCTACATGTGAGAGTCTTACCTTTCTGGAGGATATCGTGTTTAATACTAGCTAGAGATTTCTTCAGCTCAAAAAAAAATGATAATGCTGTTGTAGATGGTTCTTTTAATTTTAAAACAATATGGCATGATTTTTGTTTTTGTTTTCCAGCTTCATACGGTTTTCTTCATGTTACTTCTACTCAAACTTTTACAGCTTCAGAAATACCAGACACTGGTAAATTACAGTAATATTATTTCAGAAACATAACTTCTTTTTTTTTTTTTTTTTTTTTTTTGGGGGGGGGGGGTGCCAAAAAGTTTGCTATTCCCGTATTTATCATTTCAGACAATTATTCCATACTGCCTATTGGCTGTTGCCCTATATGGTAATTTTTCAAATCCTATAACAGTGCCATAGCTCCTGGGATCAGGCACACCACAGATGAAAAGCAAGACTGCAACAGATACACAATGCTGCCTGTGTAAGGCAGTATTGATCTGACAGGTTTATCAAGAAAAGATCTAACTTTTGCAAGGCTGCAAAAGTCAAATAAGAGTGATATAGTCAAGTAAGACATACTTTTCCAGTGATAAGATTTTCTTTCTCACTTTCTTTCCTTGACCTAAGTTACTTAATGAAGTGGTACAGACAGACTTTCATCTCCTGAAAATACACTTGTTTTCTTAGATTTTATGAAGAATTCTTACCTTAATGGAAAGACGTGGAAAAGTTGATGATGGAAAATTTTTCATCTGTTGGTTTGGTTTTTTTTTGTTGTTTTTTTTTTTTTTTTTCAGATGCTCTTTAAGTCAAATCTACATGTAACTATATATATGTTAGTTTTCAGTCCCTTTGTAAACATTTTTACAGATGGGAAAGTAAGATAATGTCTTCAGCCAAGTAGGTAGAGAGGGTATTTAAAATACTCAGAAAAAAAACAAAGAATGCTTTGTTATAAAAACAAATCTATCTTGACTTCTACAGAGCAGTGGAAGGTAAATTTTCTCTCCCTTCCCCAAATCTTCCTCCTTAATTTGTTTACGTGAAGCTGTTTCTCAGGTGTATTTACATTTTCTTCTGCAGCTGGATATACTACTGATCTGGAGATAACCATGCCTGTAGTTACCACAGAACCTCATTTGTTAGAAACAACATTGGGTAAAATTGATAAGTTGCCTTTCTTTAGTTTTAATGATTTACTTTCCATCTCTATCCTTACAGCTGTTTTTGGAACTTTTCCTTGCTTTAGTTGTCACCATCCCAGTAATTCATACCATTTATTGCTGCAATTAACTCGACTCTCATTTGCACTTGTCATTCATTGTGATAGATGGGGGATTGAGGGGCCTTGGAATGGGCTGTCTTTGGTTGGTTTTGGTTTTCTCATTATTGAGGTTCCCAGCTGTGGAGCTGCCGTTCCAAGTTTTATTCCTGTGCTAAGAGCACTTAACAGTGGAAGGTAAAGAGGGGCTTAACATATACTTGTGCAGTATTTCTGTGAAAAGATTGTTTTGACTGGCTTTATGTTAGCTGGCCCACTGTCTGCTTTCTAAATCAAAAGGTGTTTTCTTACTACCTCCAAATCTTAATACGTGTTTTAAGATTTTTAACCAGCAATAAGAATTTTCACTGCTTCCATTTTGACACGCACACCACCAACCAGTTCATGAGACATAGTCTTTCCTAGCTGGCTTGCAGGCAAATTTCCCTCTACTTCCATATTAACAATGCAACTTCTGTCTGCTGAGTCATGTGCTGTCTGTAGTAGCCCTGAAGTAAGTAAGTCTTTTAACAGAAGATTATCTTTTCAGATTTAGGTGAAACGAAGCCTTTTTCTTCAAGATCCATAACATCTGGCATGCCAGAAATGCCACCAGTCTCAGCTGGTAATGATCTCTCTCTTCATTGTAGTTCTCCTGACATCTAGGCAGTCTTCCAAAAGGCACAGTGGCACTTTGTTAAATGGAAAGTTTATTCTGACTTACACTGTTGTAATTGGGGAGTACACACTGCTGTGTAACTGGTGGGGAGACAAGGAGGCAGAGGGGGAGAGAGAAAAACCTGTTGTATCTGCTGCAATTTTAGAGAAGTTTGCAGTGGAATGGTGAAGTGATACAAAAGTAAATTTTCTTATAAACATAAGAAAATCTCCTGAAACAAGTAGCAAGATTGTCCTGTGCTGTTTTGTCTTACATTGTTCTGTAAAGGATTGTATATCCAGGCCTGTTCCTTGGAATAGCTCAGTTTCTATGATTCTACATATATTATCATAAGATAATGCCATAAAATGTCACATCTTGCTCTGATGTGACTTTGATGTGATTGAGAATTCTGGGGTGTTGTTTGGACTGCCGTAGCAAGACTGTAGGTATCTCAGGGTCATTTCAATGTCTGTAGGAGACCATTGGTTTCTTTGTTTTTGTTTTGGCCCTTTTTCTGTTAGTGGAAATACCAATTGTCTCAGTGATGTGATCAGTCCCATTTAGAATCAATAATAACGGAGATACTTCACTGTTAAGCTTCTCAACTCCTTCACGTAAATTTTCTGCTTGAGAGGTGTAGTTCACTAAAATGTTAACTGTTTGTGTTATACATGTAAATGCAGCCAGCCTACCTTGGTTTAAGAATGGAATAATACCGTAAAAAGGGCAGGTATTTATGTAAAATAGCTGAGTGTAACGTGCTCTTCGTGTATTTCCAACTCCATGCGGGTACTGCTTTGAAAAACACTGTTCCTCTGTAGAATCTGAAGGCAATTTTCTGGTTTGATCTTAGCTACTCAGAGACCAAAGGTGAAGCCTTCTCCTCCTTCCATTGCAATCCAAGGGACAGTGGAGGGTAAATACTTTTGTTTGTCTTTCTTTTCCCCTTCCATCACCTGATGTCATTTTCACCTGCTTTGAGCGATACCTGGGTTTCTTAATGTACATTGGCTTGTGAAAACACTTGCCACGCTAGTTCCATGGTTCTGATGGCTGAACTGCTGCTTTTGCTGTCACCTGCAAATCATTTTTTTTGCAGGGCCATTTGGCAGAGAGAGTCTATCACACCATGCCTCGCTTGTCTGTGCGTCTGTCTCTTTCTAGAACAAAACGTTCCATCATGGCAGAAAGCTAACTCTGCTACTACTGGTGTTGCTGTTGATGTGGTGTAGGTGTCCCAGAGCTTCCTTATGGGGAGCCAGTTAGCCCTTTTTCCTCTCTTGTTTCAGAGACTTGAGCATCTAAGTTCTAGCTGGATGAGTAGGGATGTTGCCCACTGGCTTAGGGACTAACGTAAGGGAAGACTTGGGGTTTCCAGTTGTCACGGGGAGTGGTGCGGCCTTAGGTAGCCTGTTCTGGCAGGACCGTGTAGGTATCTCAAGATCATTTCCATGTCTGACCGTAGCGACCCAGAGACGGGCTCCGGAATCCACCTCGTCTGCTTCACCGGAAACCACGAGGACTGTGATGGGTAAATAGCCAGCGATTCCCTTCCTCCTTTGGGTACTCGGGCAGTGCTTTTCCCTGCAGAGTTGAGCCTGTTCTGGTGTTGGCAGTCCTGAGCAGTAGGTGCATGTTGCTGCTGGTCCCTTACGGCTCTTGGATAAGAGCTACACATTTAAGCTTTTGGATTCCTTTTGGGGGCTCATCTGCAGTACGGGCCTCCTCCACTTCAAGGCTTCCTCTGTTACCTGGGGCTAGCTCTGCCATTTGAAGGCCAGGAGGATTGTTCCAGGGGAGGGGATGCTGTGATGTGTACGCCTGCCTCGAGCAGGGCTCCATCTCCCTGTTTGTTGCTGCATCTTGATATCGCCTGTGTGATGGCAGTCAACGTGAGGACCTGAAGGTGGTTTTTGTGTTTGATCTTAGCTACCCGGCGACCAAGGCTGAAATCTACCTCTTCTTCCCCCCTGGCGACCCAGCAAACAGTGACGGGTAACTTGTAAAACCCCATCTTCTTCCATTTTCTCCTTTCCCTCTCTCCCATTCACATCCTCTGTTTCAGACCATCCAGCATCATTGTCATCTGCCAAAGAGAGTACAGATATTTGTGGGTGCAGCTTGGCTTGCAGAAGCGCCTGCTGCATTTGTTACACAGTTGTTGCTTGATGACCTGCTTTTTCCATTGTTTGCGAGTGTTGTCTGTGGGGACGAAATGACAGCTTGCCTAGTGGACAACGTGTTACTCCACCTTGCTTTCAGCTGCCATTTCTCCACTGCTTCCATCAGAGGAGGTGTCTTTCTTTCTCAGGCCCATTCAAATGAGACAGCGCGCACACCAGCTGGGCAGTGATGGTTCTTGTATCATTTAAATAATGTGGCACATTTTTTTTCCAGCTTCGAATAACCTTCTTCATGTTACTTCCACTTCCCAAATACCTGCATCTGCAAAAATGTCAGAGACAGAGACTGGTAAATTATGTTTGTTTTATTTCCAATCCTTGATCTTTCTTGATATTGAAATAGTACTATTCTGATGTTTATTTCTCCTAGCTTTTTAATATTGCATGCAGTGGTGTTTTATTTGTTCATTAATGCTTCATGTTACATTTAATACTTGCCAGTATCCAGCAGATCTGGCTTCAAGTTAAGTGATTTATGCCTACATCACTATGTTCAAGTAAGTAAAGTATGCTCTAGCCTTTTCAGGATAATAACTGAGGGGTTGGAGAGGAGGGTGGGACAGAATTTAGCAGGTGAGACACAAATGTCCAGCTTGATGAATTTCAGGTTTTCAAGATGATGATTATCCTTTGGGAGGAAGTGTTTTGTCTTTAGCTAGTAGGCATTTCTTAAAGAGATCTTGTAGCTGAATGTTTGTTTCCTATTACAATTTTTTAAACTAGTCTCTGGAAAAGGTAATATTCCAAAGACTGCTGTAGTACAGAGTTTTGGCATTAAAGATATTTTTATGGTTGTTTTTTCTAACCATTAATTTTTTCTCCGTCTTTATAGAAAATGTATTTTTTTTAGGCAGAATATGTGCATTTATATTTGAGCATGGGATTTTACCCAGAATCTGGTCATAAAAAAGGTAGAGAGCTTTCTCACAGCTATTCTCAGCTGTGTTTCAGTTCGTGCTAGGACAATTTAAACAAGGGGTGTTTTGTTGCATTGTTATATCAACCATTCTCTTTTGGGGGACCAACTTTAAAATATCTCAGTTCTGCAATATAGTGTGCTCAGAAAACAAAGCAAGCATATGCAAAACTGGCTTCTGAATGAAAAATTAGTTGGAGCTATTGTGGCTTACAAAGGACTCTCTGTATTTCCTTTTCTCTTGTGTTTCTCATTACCATACCATACGAGTCTCTATCTTGGGTTTATTTATGTGCTTTCCATTCAGCTGCAATTAAAATTGAATTGTATATATCTTTGTTTATGATTTCCCAAGAAACTAAGTCATCAGCAACAGTTATGGGTAGCAATCACATTCATTTGATCTGTTTGGAGTCGTATTTTTGTTGTTGTTGGATTTTGTTTTTTAACGCTTCTGTAGTTCTCTCCATCATACAAAGTCTTTTTCTGGTACTGACCTACTGACGAATGACTATCAGAGCTTATTATTGTCTCTTGCTGTTCCTTTTTTACTTAGTTAGGTTTTTGTTTGTTTTCCTGGAGCTGCAATTCAGCTCAATTTCCTGGAGCTTCAAAATGGAGAAAGCAAATTCCTAGATTATAGGAGTCCTGTCTAATAGAGAATAATTAAAAGAATTTCACTGTTGTCATAAAATAGTAATTTCTCAGCTGACTTGCAAGCCATCTCTCATTTTGCTTCCATTTGGACTGATACTGCCTGGATGGCTTGTTTTCCTTTACCAGATTCCTTCTAATATTCTGTTGTCTTTGGGGTTGTTAGAACATTTTAGGCCCAGATTTTCATTTCAACTTTTCATGAAACCCGGGCTTTTTCTTGACACTCAGGATTCAATATATCTAAAATGCTTAGCGTTCCATAAATATTATGTGGCATATCTAGTAATTGGTTATTCTGAAATTCATTCAATTGTCTTAGAAGCTGTGGGTTGATTAGTGTACTAGATTTAGTATGGAATACTTCAAGAATTGCAGAGAAAAAAAAAATTACTTCCTAAGAGCATCATTCATGAAGGTTTCAGGACTGCATTTAGCATAATACTGTAGTATGATGTTGTCATCTCTTCTTGATGTGTTTATAAGAGTATGCTTCAATATTTTAAGGGCAATGAGCATTAACCTTACTAAATGGACTTGAGTGTTGTACAATGCTTGTGTGTCAAAGATACACATTGTATGACCTGATTGAAATACCCTTATTTACAGATTTGTTGAACACACAGAAATTACCTGGAAACTGTTGGTGCTCAACATTTACTAAATAAATAAACACAATAGTAGGAGTCTCAGGAAGGATTTGGTCTTTAATTTTAAGTGCCCAGATTCAAAAAGGCTGGCAGTATAAACTGTAAAATACCTTGAGAAATTAGTAAGCTCAAGTACTGATGATTTTTTATTTGCATAGTTCTAAAACTTAATACATCAGCAGCTTTTTGCATTTGTTGCTATATTAGTTAAATGCAACTTAGTAACGTAGCTACAGGAAAAGTGAATTTATTAGCAATGTATTTGTGAAAGACAGTGTGATCTAAAATCCTAACATGAGGAAATGGTGTATTTCTCTCTTACAGTAACTGTTCAAGCACCCTTCAAACTTGTTATATCTGACAACAGTAAAGTGGAATTGAGTGAATCATTAACATTTTTTGTCATCTGGGGCTTAGCCTATTACATCATACGTACAGTACTCATGTTTTCCCTAGTATTTTGTTAAACTTCAGTCAATGTTCCTTCAGTTTCTCATCACCAATACATTTGGAAATGTCTGAGCTTTCTTCTGTTATAAAACTCATACTGAACACAAACATGATGCAGCTGTGTTGTTGCTCCATGGGTGGCACTGACAGTTATCCTGCCTCCGCATTAGTGCAGTGTTTTTGTTTCCTTTTCAAGTTGAGAACTGTATGCTTTCCAAGGTCATTTCAGTCACATCATATCTTCATCAGATGGAAAACTTTCAGCAGCTAGTCAGGTGTGGCATTATTGCTCTCTGTGGCGTGTGCTGTCAGAACTACCACAGCATTTTCCATAGATGTAGAGAATCAGACAATTTGGATTTCTTATTACTTGTCCTTTGACTTTAATAGGTCATGAATGTTGCTGGTATCAAAAGCACCTATTTCTCAGTTTTTCATAAAACGCTGCCCACAGAAGTAGTAAGAACACGTTTCTATCACTGGCTGCATGTTTTTTCCAACAGAAACAGTGACCTTACTGATTGGGTAGAAACTGATTTTTTGCATCTGTGTTTTCATTAAAATATAATCACAAAAACTTAGATGTTTTTAAGCCATTTTACACCAAAGGATGATCGTTTTTGGTATTTATATTAAATGAACTTTGTGGCAGCTGGGGGAAATTAAGGTCCCTGGGCTGAATATGAATCTAGCATCAACAGGAAGTATGATACAACCTTTGATAACTCATCTTCTCGACACAGCCTGCCTCAGTGTTTTAAACTTCTCTCATTTGGCGTTAGCTATCCAGAAACCAGCACTAGAGTTCATTCTTTTTTCCTTCATAGCAACCACAAGGGCAGTACTGGCTAAATAGAATAGATTCGGTAATTATTTACATCATTTTGGCATTGCTTTTCAACAGGCAGAGACTTACTTCAGCATATTGGCTGCCAAGTGTCTGCAGCAGGCTTTTTCTTAAAACTTTTATATCAGCTACTTCTACATGTATGTAACTTATCATACAGTTGCTACAAATACATATATATTTGCCAATAATTTGTTTAGTTTTAAGCTACTGTTCTGATTCCAAAGATCTTAGAGATAAGAAAAAAAGAATTGGTCTGTAGGATGAGATTTTGAATTGTGATCCTGCTTTAGGTTGATACCACATGGTTTTGTTAGGCAGACAACCATTCCCACAGGATTTTTTAAAATGCAGACTAGCTGGATTTAATGTGCATCCCACATTGTGTCTGCTTTGGTGTGCAGACAAAATAAAGCTTCTTGTAACGAACCATTAATTTACTCTGTCTCTTTGTCTAAAGAACATCTACAGGCTTTTCACCAAGCCAGTTGTATAGGATTTCCAATCTGTGTGCATGCAGTGATGTTTCTAAGTGTAATTAAGCCCTGATTCATCACATTATGCCTAATCTCAGATGAGAAGGCATTTGCAACTCCTTATTTAAAAGGCTTATCCTAACTAAAGGTGGGGGGAAAGGGGTTTCCTGTCAGGTGTCGCTATTGGATAGAATTTGAAAATCAGATACAGAAAGTTGGTCTTGTATTAAATGCTTCAAAATTAGATTTTATGTGTCAAAAAAAAAAAAAAGTGTATATATATATATATATACACACACAGAGAACAGAGTAAGCTATCATAAATATCACTTTAAAAATGTACATACAAGAAATTTAAAATAAATGTAGCCTTTTTGGCTCTGCTAATAAAGGGAAAAAGATCACCTTATTTAAAAACTAACCTGACTCGTTATTTCAAGATCGTTTTCATATTTGATCTTAGCTACCCAGGAGCCAGGCCTGGAATTCACATCTCTTCCCTCCATGGAAACCACAGAGAGCGTGATGGGTAAATAGCATGTAATTCCATTACCATTTCTCATTCCTTGCCATCACGTGGACAATGCTAAAATTCATTCAAACACATTGCTTTGAAGACTACTTGATAAAAGGCGCTTTTTAAAAAAAAATTATTTCTTCCCATCTCAACCATTTCTTTGTAATCAACTTTATTTCAAAGAATAGGTACTTAAAAATCAGTAAGAATAATTCTACCTAGCATGAGATATCAGCATTGACCTTACTTCACCTCATGCCAGCTTCAGTGTTCATGTAGCACCTCATTTCACAGTCATCTCTAAAGCTGCTGCTATCTTGCTTGATCACATCCGTGTTGTCTTGAACTGCTCAACAGCTGCTGTTCAAATACTGTGGCTCTGAGGTCCATTTTCATTTTAACTCCAGATTTTATTTCAGCTTTTGATGAAAAGCAGCCTGTTTCTTCAAGATCTGAAACATCTGGCATCCAAGAAATGCTGTCAGCTGTACCTGGTAATAGTTGAAAATGTGGTTTTAAATAAAAATTACAACACAGATTTTATCATACTTTTGGCATGTTACTAGTTAACATGAATTAGAATAACTACAGAACTGTAGTTATGTAGTAATTTGTTCTCTCAAATACCAGGCTAATTTAGGAATTTTTTTTATGATACAACAAAATAATAAGCACTCTTTTCTGTCCTTGGTCTACATTCCTAATATATTAAGAAGTCTGTATTGCAGTGCTTGATGTTAATAAGCTTTAGCATGTCTGTGAACTGTTAGCATGAATTAGCATGAACTGTGTGCAGGAGCTACATCAGTTTTGTTAGCGTTCCACAGACAGTAACTTGAGAATCCTTAACTTTAGCAAGGTACTTATCTAACTGGAAGGCCACTTTTCTTTTTTCTTTTCCCCACGACAGTTCTTCCCTCTGTTGACTGAGTCCCGCTGTATTTAGCTTGTAGGAAATTGTTCATGATCCTTTGCTATCCTGACATTCGGTGGAAATAATGCTTATGCAGTTGGTCTTCCTACCTGTTCATCTTTATTCCTTTCACTTTAATAAATTAAAACAGTTTGATCAATCAGATGAATTTGCTTAGACAGTTTAAAAACTTAATGTTAACATTAGAAATATGAGTCAATATACAAATACCTGTATTGACCTAATACAGATTTTTAAGCCTTAAAATGGAGCATGCACGTTTAGTAAGTTTTGGCCAATGTGACTAGTTCCTTTATTCCAGCATTTTTGGTTCAGTAAAAATAGTATTAAATCTGCAACATATTGGCAGTGCAACATGAAATTAAGCAACAGCCTGATGCTTTACAGATGATGATATTCAGCTGCAAATATAAATGTAAAATAAGTAAAGGTAACCTAAATCATTTTGTGGGATTATCCAGTTTGCATGGAGATGAATGAATATGGAAGGTTTAATATAGCAGGGAATAGATCCTTCAATCCCTTCATTCAAATAACTTCAAAGCAGTTAGATATCTAAGTTAGACATTTTGCTTTGCTGCCAGTAAACAAGACAGGATAGGTCCAAAGCTAATAGGAATTAAAACATGATTATTGCATGCATTGCAATGCATTGCTTGAGTACAACTTCTTAAACAGCTACATAGCACTGTAATTAAACAAAATATTTGTAAAAAATTGCTCCACTTCTATATGGTGTTATCAAACTTTTGGTGTTATTGCTAGACTCCAATAAAATTTAACTTGTTAGATTATTTGCACAATATTCAATAATTAATCTAAAGCATATATAGTTTTCCTGTTCTTCCTTGCCAGCGTTTATTCTATAGGGTTCTTTAACATCTTGTGTGCAGAGATTACATTAAAATTTGTCAATGTGTTGCAGAACAACTGTGAACAAATGCAGTTATATCAATGCTCAAGGTTCTACTTGTTTTACTGTGTCTGTATGAAGACATACTTTGTTTCCTTTCAATAATGACAATTCCATCCAAAGACCATTTCATGTTGTTGCCAGAACTCCCTTGCAGTAAGGAGTGGAGTGAATGTGCATTTGATTGGAAACTTTTAGCAGCTGTCCAGTTGCTTGTAATTGCAAACTAATGGTAAAGCTTGCACACTCCAACTAAACATTCTTAAAATCAAGACATGGAGATGACTTAAGTTTTATGCATTTATTTGTCAGAGGTAGTTATCAGTATTTATCACTAACACATCTTCCATACTGAGCAATAACATCTGATCAAATGCCTTAACAGAATCATTCAGCAGTGTTTTCTACGTATTGGCGTAATAGCGCATTCAAGTTCATCTCTTTCATTCGGTATGCTTTGCCTGTAAAGAAAGTTACACTGTGCTCTTTCCAAACCAGATGGTGGATAGGGGCCCAATACTTACAGTGTCTGGGAGAATGGATAGAATCATGTCTGTTCTAGCCTGACGTTAATCATTTTAATGACACATGGACATTCCCATGCAAAGATGAGCCCCAGATTTCCAGGAGAGTTGAAAATGTGATTAAGCATGATAATAATGACTGATTAACAGATTTTAGGCATATGTTTGGTTTGAGATGAGAACAGTTAGCATATACAGTTGTTCATATTTGAAGGACTGCCTTGCAGTAACCTGCCTGAGGAATTCTGGTTTGATTCGGTTTTGCATGTTTGTGTGTGTGTTGGAGAGAGAAAAGAGCGAATGGAAGAGTCTTTCAGTTAAAGGAAGATGAGGATTTCTAGACACACAATGAGGACTACCCTAAAATACTTGCTTATATGTTATTTCCCCTGGAGCGGGTGTTTTAGCTGTGATCAGTGATCTTCATGATGCCTCTCAAAAAACCAACTGCTTGGTTAGTTGATCAATTACTTATTAGTGTTTTTGTTTGTTTGTTTGTTTTTTTCCAGCTAATGTTGGTTTGCCAAGGTTCTTTAAGCCTATTTGGAGTCTTACTACATTTTCTAGGTGTTTTGTTTTAGGCTGGAGGAATCTCATGGAGTTCTTTCAGAACAAGAATTCCATGTTTGAAATTTTCCCTTTGTTAGTCCATCAAATCTTTGCTCTTCCAGTTTTCCTATAACATATTCTTACCAGTGTGTTTGGCAGTTCCAAAACTTTTATTCCATTTTCCAAAGTATCTACTGTTTGACCTGTCTTCTGCTTGTGTTAAGAATTAGCTTTGCACTTTTATCAACTTTCTCTTCTCTTCTTTTTCTTTTTCTTATTAGCAATAACACACTTACATATATATATATATATGTATATATATATTTTTTTACCATTATCTTTGCATTTCACTATACTCATTTGCATATCAGTTCATTAACTTCTGGACGGTAGGTGTGACTCTTCTTTTAGCCCGTGCTCATTTAACGGTGTGGATATGACATTCTGTCTGTTTGAAGTATTTCATGTTTCTTCCAGAAAGGAAACCTGATGCTGTAAATTAAGGAGGTGCTATTCTGTTAGAGATTCTTACAGATTTTGATTAAGAAAGCACAAGTAGTTTTTCTTATTGTTCCAGATCTTGATGGAACTCCGTGTTGAAGTTACCTCTGTGTATTTTTCTGCAGAGATGCTATGGTTTCCTTTTCTGCCCAGGCATACGTTCTTTTTTTTCCCAAAGTTGAGATTTATAAGGATGACAAGGAATGTAGAAGTGAGAGCTAGCTTAGTGTTATCCAGATAAAATAAAAGGTGGCATTACCAAAATATGACAGTATCTTGGATGTAGGCTGAAGTTCTGGCCGCACATTAATCTACTAGGTTTCAATTTATAGCTTGAAATTATTACTTCAGTGCTAGAAAATGGATTTTAGAAACTGTCATTTATTACAGTTAAGAAGTAACTGTAGAACATCAAGACAGTCATTATGGTCTACCAGAATTCAGGTTTTCTGTTGTTAATTCGTGTTGCTTAAATTTCTGATCCAGCTCTAATCATCTTGTGTATAAAGAATGCTTCATTATTGTTTACTTTTCTTCATAGCAGCAGTGTTTATCAGCTCATTGGGGTGGTTTTTTCCTTTTTTTTTTTTTTTTTTTTTCCCTTTTGGTAGTATGCAATGATTAAAGAAAAAAAAAAGAAAAGTGATTTATTTGGTACAAAAAGTAGACCTTGATAACCACAAATGAAATACTGGTTTATTTGGATGTGATTAAAATTATGCATTCATACATGTAGCAAGAAGGCCTTAACATCTCAAGATAGCTTCTATCTCTGACTTTAGCTTTCACAACATCGGTCCTGGAGTCAACCTCTTTTCCTCCTCTGGAAACCACAAGAACAATGATGGGTAAATAGTTCCATTACAATTTCTGTATTTTGGCAATACTTAAAAATGAAGAGCACAATTTTAAGGTTTAGCAACCCCACCTTTTTTCCTTTTTTTTTTTTTTCTCCTTGCTAGTGGCAATACCAGTGATGTTTTACCCATAATATCAGTGATGCGATCAGTCCCTTTTATAAATGATAACAAGGAGATACTTCATTGTTGAGCTTCTTGATTCCTCCATGTAAATTTTCTGCTCAAGAGGCCCTGTTCACTAAAATGTTAACTGTTTGTGTTATACACGTTAACGCAGCCAGCCTACCTTGCTTTAAGAATGGAATAATACTGTGACAAAAGCAGGTATTTATGTAAAATAGCTGAATGTAACGTGCTCTTTGTGTATTTCCAACTCCATGATGGTACTGCTTTGAAAAACACTGTTCCTCTGTAGAATCTGAAGGCAATTTTCTGGTTTGATCTTAGCTACTCAGAGACCAAAGGTGAAGCCTTCTCCTCCTTCCATTGCAATCCAAGGGACAGTGGAGGGTAAATACTTTTGTTTGTCTTTCTTTTCCCCTTCCATCACCTGATGTCATTTTCACCTGCTTTGAGCAATACCTGGGTTTGTTAATGTACGTTGGCTTGTGAAAACACTTGCCATGCTAGTTCCATGGTTCTGATGGCTGAGCTGCTGCTTTTGCTGTCACCTGCAAATCATTTTTTTTGCAGGGCCATTTGGCAGAGAGTCTATCAGACCATGCCTCGCTTGTCTGTGCGTCTGTCTCTACATGTGTTTTTTCTTCAGAAACTTCTTTCTAGAACAAAACGTTCCATCATGGCAGAAAGCTAACTCTGCTACTACTGGTGTTGCTGTTGATGTGGTGTAGGTGTCCCAGAGCTTCCTTATGGGGAGCCAGTTAGCCCTTTTTCCTCTCTTGTTTCAGAGACTTGAGCATCTAAGTTCTAGCTGGATGAGTAGGGATGTTGCCCACTGGCTTAGGGACTAACGTAAGGGAAGACTTGGGGTTTCCAGTTGTCACGGGGAGTGGTGCGGCCTTAGGTAGCCTGTTCTGGCAGGACCGTGTAGGTATCTCAAGATCATTTCCATGTCTGACCGTAGCGACCCAGAGACGGGCTCCGGAATCCACCTCGTCTGCTTCACCGGAAACCACGAGGACTGTGATGGGTAAATAGCCAGCGATTCCCTTCCTCCTTTGGGTACTCGGGCAGTGCTTTTCCCTGCAGAGTTGAGCCTGTTCTGGTGTTGGCAGTCCTGAGTAGTAGGTGCATGTTGCTGCTGGTCCCTAATGGCTCTGGAATAAGAGCTACACTGTTAAGTGTCTGCAGTACGGGCCTCCTCCAATTCAAGGTTTCCTCTGTTACCTGGGGCTAGCTCTGCCATTTGAAGGCCAGGAGGATCATTCCAGGGGAGGGGATGCTGTGACGTGTTGGCCTGCCTCGAGCAGGGCTCCATCTCCCTGTTTGTTGCTGCATCTTGATATCGCCTGTGTGATGGCAGTCAACGTGAGGACCTGAAGGTGGTTTTTGTGTTTGATCTTAGCTACCCGGCGACCAAGGCTGAAATCTACCTCTTCTTCCCCCCTGGCGACCCAGCAAACAGTGACGGGTAACTAGCAAAACCCCTTCCTTTTCCGTTTTCTCCTTTTCCTCTCTTCATGCCCCCTGCTGCTGGCTTTCCAGGCAGCCGATCTGTTGTCTGTGCATTCATTTATGTTGTCACCACCTGGAAGTGAGTGCTCTGCTGTCATGCTGCTTTTGAGGTCATGCTAGGACTTGAAGCACGCTACCTCTTCTCACCTGGTGGTGAAGCACAGGGTCATCTTTGGGGTTCAGAGCTACCATCAGCCAGCACCTGATGGTGCTGCTGGCCTAACCTGGTACCGATGGTTCTTGCTTGTCTGGAATTGGTGCAGGACGGGTGTTTTTTCCCCAGTGGTGTTGTGATTTTAGATTTCTGGGCCTGTGTTGGGGTGAAGCACCGTTTGGAGATGAAGCTGCTGCACTTGGCTGTGGCACTCGGAGACAACGTGGGAGAAGCTCATGGCGGCAGCTTCTTTTGTATTGGCAGGTGTGCAAGGCCAGGCATGTGGCCTGGCAGTACTGGCAGTTTTTTGACCCATGAGGTCATTAAGCATTGCGTGAGCAGACTGTCAAGCCTACAAACTTGAGGTCAAGTACAAATTAAAAATGTATGAAGCTTATTAATGTATCCTTCCCTCTAAGATGCAGGTAAATAGTAAGTTCCTGAAGCTCTGGCTGTGGTTCTTGGAGCATTGCTCTGTGTTAGAAGCTAATTGTGAAGTGTGCTGTTATGGCAATGGAGAAATATATATCTATATCTATATGTGTATATATATAGATATATACAGATATATATATATAGTGTGTGTGTGCTTACTACTGAGAAACTGATCTGATGGTGTTTCTAGTCTTTCATTTGCTTATCAAAAAGCTATTAAGGGTATTTTGAAATACACCTAGATGAAGTAACCTTGATAAATAAATTCAAAGTGGCTAAAGCTTAATTTATTTTTTTTCTTTAAGCCAATTAGGTACCTTCATGTTTAATTATTATATGCTCAGATAGATGCACACATATATTCTCTGCTGTTCTTTATGCCAGAGTCTTAAATCTTTTTCTTACTGCTTTTTGTTTGTTTTAGTATTTGGTGCTAATTTTTTATTTTTTTGTTTTAACCTTTGTTTGGTACGTCTCCGTGTTTGTGTGTGAATATTACTTATAAGCACGTATTCTAAAAAAATTCAAACTCACAGCATCTTCGAAGAAAACAAAGCACTGAAAACAACTTAGTCTTGTGCAGAAGTATATTAGTTATGTTCTTATGTTCTTGTGTTCATAAATTATTTTTTTCTACCCTTTTTCCTTTTTTTTTTTCTTTTTAGCGCTTTGTGCTTCTAGCCATTGTGTCCGAAATTCTTTTATCTTTTATATTTTCTGGGTTGCTTTCAGTTATGTGGACTATGCTGTCTAATATCATATTAGCTTTGGTTGGCTGCCACTTAGTTTCAGTTGTCACTTTATCCACTAGCTTCAGTTCCTACTCTAAACCAGCACTGCTCCATTTTCAAGGTAAGGTATGCTTATTATGGATGGACATCTGCATTGCAAATTAGGTATAAGAACAGAAAGCTACGTATGGAAACAATAATAGTAGATACTGTCAACTGTTTGTTTGTTTGTTTGTTTTATAGCTTTCAATGATATTCAACCTGTTCTTTCAAGCCCTGTGACACCTAGTAAGCCTGAAATAGCAGATACCGAATCAGGTACAATACAACGCCTAGTTCTTTTTAATCAGTAGCTCAGATCAGGCTCTAAAACTCGCTGAAATGACTACACTGGTTGTCTTCGCTTTCAGTGTACATTTGGATTAGACCGTAACATCTGGATTTTGAGTTTAGGTTGCTGTTAGTGGTTGACATTATTGCTTTCTCACACTTATGATGTATATGGCAATTCATAGTTACCTGATTCACCTTCAGTATTTTGAAAAATATGCCACATAGATAATTGAGAAAACAGTATTTATTGTCCAATGCTACTGATTTAAATAGTGTGATGTATGCTGTAAGCTGCATTCTACTGCTGTAGTCTTGCTAAGAATATTAAGGAGAGTGTTTCCTTTAATTGCACGAAATTGGTCACAGACAAAAGTCACAGTCACAGACACTTGATACTTTCAGACTGAAACAGTAGTTGGATTGTCAGCTTTCTAGTCCAAATTTTATAGTTTAAGTGTCTTGGCTGACTGATCGTTCAACACATCCTCTTCATTACATTCATGCATTTTACACACCATTTTCCTTAAGTAATGGGTCAGAACTCAACATGTGGAAATGCTAAACTTCAAAATCTTACTTGGCAGTGATTGAGATCCAGACCCGTTACAGTAAAGACAGGAAGAAATTAACATCCAAAATTCCTGCACATCACAAATGCAATGATTTAAAGACACTGAAGCTCTATGCATTTCAAAAGACTGAATTTCTCTCTAATGCATACTAGGTAGATAAACTGGAAAGTGTCCAAGAATTAGTGAGATACTTATGTTGTTCTTGTAAAAACAGATTTGTTTTTGCTTGCGAAGCAAGAGTTTCTTCCATTAGCTCTTTATTGTCTTACAACTGTCACCATTTCTTCCAACAGCAACAATTGAATCCATTCTGGAATCTTTTACACCTAAAACTTATCATCCTTTCCAATGGCCAAGGGTAACATTAGGTAATGTTGTTGTTTTCATGCAGTGAAAAACTGTTTGTTTTGAGCACTTCATCCCATATGAATGTATTTCTTCCAGCATATCATTTCACACACATAATCATTGTTCTTTTTACTGGTTATAGTCTTGTTCTGCCATTGTCATTAGACTTCGATTATTCTTGATGCACTTCTGTATGGGAACATAGTTCATAGCAGTTTTGCTGTCCTCGATGCAATAAAAGTTGCCTCTTAGTAACTTGCATGAAAAACTCCATGATCCTTTCATCATTGTGTTCTGTCTGTCTTTTTCTCTGGTGCACACGCATGTGCTCTCTTCCTCTCTGATATGTAGAGCTTTCATACGGAAAATTATAGTTCTTTTGAAGACATCAGATCTATTTCTGATCAATGCACAGCATTTCAATATCATCTCCATTCCACTCTTCAAACTCTGATTTCATCAGATGGCTTTAATGTTCCACACTGAGTTATCTTTTCTTCACTATAAACTCGTGGCATGTGTTGTGTGTTCTGAGCAACCCTTGTTAAACAAATTTTGATTGCAAACTGAGCTCTTTCTTTCAGCTCCAAAAGAAATACCACTTACTCCTCCTAAACCGAAACCATCTGCTACCCCGGAAGTACATCGTGTGAAACCTGGTAATTGTGCACACCATTATTTTAAGTTGGTATGCAGAGACATATGTTCACTAAAAATGTTTTAGCAACACTTTGTAAAATGGATAGGAACTGTGCAATACATGTGAGCATCTCGACTAACTCACAACTTTGTCATCAGTCATGTGATGTTACCTGACAAAGGAAATGAGAGTTAAGCTCATCAGTTTTACACAGTTGGGTGTAGTGAAAAAAAAACACAAAACAACAACCTTATATTATTCTATTGCTTCATTTGTCAGTCCCAATCTTCCACTTTCATACAGGCATAGCTTGGCAAAGAAGGCATTTTTGCTAGTCACAACACTGATAATTCAGAGTAAGGTACTACTCGTGTGATTGATAAGCCCTCCCTTAAGGAACTCAATGAAAAGGATTTTCATTTCAGTGGAAATAGGAGAGCTGCCTTCAAAGTAGAAGAGTAATCTTTCATACACGAGTGAAAAGTTCATTCTTTGACCATTGGAGCATTATTACCATGTGGTATCTTTTTTCCATTTTTGCTTTTTGATCAAAAAATAGATCTCTGTTGTGTTTTTTTTTTGTTTTGTTTTGTTTTGTTTTTTTTCTTCTGATTTGGGATTAAGGGATATGAGTTTGCCACTTTTAGTGACCCGGGTATTGGACAAGTAAATATTATGATGTGCATTACTAGAGCTTTAAATAATGTTTCTATTCTAATTTCTTATAAACAGGCACGTCAGTAAAAAGCAAGAGTTGCCTTTTATGTCTCATACATGTCTTACAATTGACTGCAACTCTGACTTAAGATATTCAGCAAGATTTTGGCATTCAATAGTTGCCTCCGGCCTATTTTGTGGTATTTGTTATGGAATGTGGTTTTTTCTTCGGTCATAGGCCTCATCTGTTCTTTCTTTTTATTCTCCTGTAACTTTAAAGATATCTGTTTGTTGATTGAGCCAAGCAATGGATTAAAAATGTCCTGAAAACATAAATACGGGAAAGAAGCCTCAGAAGCAGATTGTCACACAAAACCTTGAACGCTTGAACATATAGTGTGAAGTTTCATAGGAAACAGAACTAAAAGGATGTTATGCGTATGAGTAGGACTCTTGCGTGCTTATTTAGTCTATTTTAAAAAGTAAATAAAAGTCAACTATTGGAATCATAACATTTTTGGTTTACTGCTGATACGTCTACTGATTTGTTCAATTACACCTCAATTTTTGTTTTTTAGCCCCTAAACCACCACTTTTGGAGCCTAAAACTTCTAAGACTGTTGAACAACCAAAAGCTACAAGAGGTAATATGTGTTTCTGTAGCTGTTGGTCACTCTTTGCAGTCCAAGCCACAGTCTGAACTCTCTTACTTCATCTCATAGTTTCTTTTTTTTGTAATCCATTTCTCTTACAGAAGAAAAAAATTAAGAAATAAGCATTCTGAAATAATGTTTTTCTCAATGTAAGAGAAAAAGTTCATTTTTTTCTACATGAAGCAGAATTATCATCCTTTTTGTTGGGAGTTTTGCTAGACCAGCAACACAGTTTACCCCCAAAGAATCATCAGAAACCCATCAGAAATACTACTGAAAGACTAAGCACAAGGTCAGCATTGTAGATGTTAATCCTAGAACTCTCAATGAAAGACTCTTCTGGCACTATGTGGATACGTTAATTTCACTGTTCTTTCCTGAGTCCTTCGTGAATGTCAGCTTGGCTTCAAAAACGTTTCTCAGTCACTTCATGTCTTACTCTAGTCTGTTCTCTCTGTATTGTATGCTTTTCCACTGTGTTTGCTGATATGTAACTTTTGGAAACTTCTTTGAAAGCAGTTTCATTGCACTGCTTTATAAAAATGAAGAAAATCACTTATTATACTACCTGAAACTCAGCTTAAGCTTTATCTGACGTCCAATTAACAATCTTTTAAGCTAATTACACTTTTCAGCAAGTTCAGGGAAAAATAATTTCTAGAACTGATTGCTCTTGTTTTTTTTTTTACCACTTAGATGACACTAGTTCTATTTTTCAACAGAATGCAATGAATACAATAATGAAGCAACTCCCTTTTATATTATTGATTCCATGCTTTTCCAGCTCCCTACCAGTAATTTCCTTAGTGTTGAAAACTGAGGACATTTTTGCAGATTTTGTATATGTGGGTGTGGTTTGATGGCTTGAAATTGACCTGCAGTTCAATAGGATAAACAGCGTCATTATTTACCACATAGGTATCTTGCAAAAATATATTTCCTATTAATGAGTACCATTTAATGAGGGGAACATTTTGATGTGATTATAAGATATAATTACATATATTACACTTACTAACTGACTTTTACAATGAAGAACAAACAGTTTTGATGGATAGGGATTTTGAGAAGTCCTGTTAGCAAATTTGATTACCATTTGCTTTTCTTCCAGTAGCCATTTATTGCTTTATTTCAGGCTTGAAGAGTGCGATTCTTATGTGATACAATGGAAAGGATAATCTTGTAATCCAGTATATTTCTTTCAGCTCCCAAAGAAGGAAAACTCAAACCTTCTACATCTAAACCTAGACCATCTGCCAGACCCAAAAAGCCACGAACTAAACCTGGTAACTAACTTCCATACCAAACATTTTAAATTCATTCTGTGTGAAGCTCAGCACTTTATCATCAGAAAGATAGGTAGTGAGGAAAGCTATGTTCTTTGAGGAATATTATTTTTGTATTGAACAACAACAAAAAAAAATGAAGCAAAGAAAGTAACCTTTTAACTTTAGATTTGTACCTAAATCAACAAGCTGCATGGCCTGGTGTGGAAACAGGTTGTTTCCCACCTTGATTCAGCACAGGATCCAAAGATGCACATTCTCTTGCTTTGGTGATGTGTATAGCATCTTACCTAGAACTGTAGGGTTTGTATCGATTCTGTGATCATTAATACACAGACTTATCAGAAACTGTTGAAAGAAGAATGAGTTCTGGAATTTAGTAAAGGCATATTTTATGATGACAAGTGAAATCATACCTTTATACCAGAGCTGAATTTGGTCTGTGGTATATGTCAGAGAATAAAAGACACCTGGCCTTGCCTGAAGCTGAAAAACATGTCGATAGTTTTGCATGGGTTGTAATGAAGTTTAAAAAGCTTTAAAATGTATAATTGTATGTTGTGAGAATATATTACTTACTCAGGGAAGAGATTTGTCAGTGTTATTTAAATCTTTCCCGATTCCCTGTGAATTAATCCCTGGTATTTTTCTCATAAAAGAAATTACTCTCTTCAGATCAAATAATTCCTTGTAAAGCTTGTTGACTAAATGGTATTTGTGTTTTATAACTGTCTCAAATTAGTATGCATAATTAGTTTTTCATTGTGGCTACAACTACAACTTTTTTAGTGTAGAATGTCAATATTTTAATACAAGAATAATTGCTTTAGTCTCTGCTGTCAATGCCTACATCTCTCTGAATATAGAGATTTCCTTGAAATGACACAGAAAACAACTCCATTTGGAAACCTGTGCATAAATTTGTATCATACTTTTGGGTCATCAAGATCAGCCCTGTGTATTGATGTTTCCACATCAATGAATGGCTGCTTTCAGCTTCTACATAACTACAGAGAAGGCGGCATGATTTTTCATTTGTGTACGTGCCTCTTGTCTGTCTTTTCTGTTAGTGGTTTCCTTGCTCAATTCAGATGGAATTCTAAGGAGCACTTTTTAATCACTGGGATTGTTTAGTCTAGAGAAAAAGAAGCTGAGGGGAGACTTCATTGCTCTCTACAACTACCTGAAATGAGATGGCAGCAAGGAGGATGTTGGTCTATTTTCTTAGGTGACAAGTGATATGACACGAGGAAACAGCCTCAGGTTGTGCCAGGGCAGGTTTAAATTTGACATCAGGAAGAACTTCATGGAGGGTGTGATTAGGCATTGGAACAGGCTTCTCAGAGAGGTGGTGGTAGTGTACCCATCCCTGGCAGTATTTAAGAAATGTGTAGAACTGGCACTAAGAGACTTGGTTCAGTGATGTGACTTGATCGGTCAGGTTGAGGGTTGGACTTGGTGATCTTGAAGGTCTTTTCCAACCAAAATGATTCGATGATAATAATAAGCTTATAGTGATCTCAGATGTATTCCAGTGTCACTTTGGGTGTTAAGCATAGATTGGAAATTTGTGTCATGATAGTGGTTGTCACCTTTACTTAACCATTAATCAAAAATAATTAAAAACACATGCCAAATTCATATTTCATCAACTGCCTGCTATTGGTTTTCAAATTTCCTTAGTCTCAATACAGTAGTGAAGTTAGGATACAGTATTTTTAGATAGACTGATGCATACATGTAGTTGTTCCTTTTAGAATTGTGCATCCCCTACCAGGACTATGAGGGTCCTGGAAAAACTTGAAAACATGCATCCTATGAAGTATAGTCACACCAGAAAACCATGCATTCTCTGTCTCTGAAAAACATGTCTGAAAACGTGGTTCGTGTCTGTCTTATTATTTTCAGCCCTTCAAAGTCTCAGGTTACGTGGTTGATCAGTGCTTAAAACCCAATAACCTGGTAGATCATTTAATAATATTTGGGAGTAATTTCAGAAAGGTCAGAGGAAATGAAAGGCATTTCATTTCCTGCAATCTCATTCCGCTCTCATTGTCAATCTGAGAAACACCATCTCCCAATTCTACTTTTTCATTTTACCTAGAAAAGTCTACATCATTGTATATCTGTTAATGAACTTTTAAAAACTGGGCTGAAAAGAAACTGTCAGAATCTCTTTAGGATGGGGAGAAGGATGGCATTGTTGACTTTTACATTGAAAAAGCAAACAAATGAGAAAGAAAAGCAGGTATGTGATTTAGTATTCATCAGAGAAATATGGTGCAATGAATGTCCAGCACTTGGTTAGTTCTGGAAAAATCTGCATGCAGCTAACTTGTAGGTTAGTATGCTTCATATTGGATTTCCCTTGGATTTAGAGCAAAGAATAGTGCTGTAGCACAGATACATTATGCAGGACCATGCACTGCCAGGTGTAGAAAAATGGTCTCACGTTGTTAACTAGGTAAGGATACGCTGTTGATCTCTGTCGTGACAGAGTACTACTTCCACGTGTGGCAGCTCAGAAAAGAACATGGCAAAGAGTTCGTACTACTGAATTTCTTTTCAATAGCTGTTTCTGTGTATTCTCATTCTTCATCTTTTGACCACACCTAAATGCCAGAGTTCTGGGGTTGAGAGCGAGAACTGATTGCCCTGGCTGAGTTAATATATACATATAAATTTACTTTTTTAAAACTTTTCTGACTTCCTCATGTAAGCTGACAGAACCATGCTGTCACCTGACATGGACTACTTCATGCATTATCAGTTTGAATGATGTGGCTTTTAAAGGAGATTATTTTGATGAGAGATTTACCCACTCAAGTACAATTAGTTTAGAGATCAGAGTCCCAGAGAACATAAGAAAACTTCGTAACTGCTCTGTCAGATTCTTTTAATTAATTTATTTTATTTTTATTTTTTAACTTTCCTGTTCACAGTAAAGCTTCTCCTTCCAAACCTAAAGTCCTTCTGTGTCTAGAACAGCCTGTGACAGTGCTGGTTAATTATAATGCTCTTTCACAGAGTCACAGAATGGCTTAGGCTGGAAGGGACCTCTGGATGCCATCTGGTACAACCCTTCTCGTGCAGGGCCACTTAAAGCAAGTTTCCCACAACCATGTTCAGGTGGACATGAAGTTTTCCAAGGAGGGAGACTCCACAACTTCTCTAAGCAATCTGTATTTTTGCAACAGATAAGGGATCTTAGAATATTTCGCTTAAGGTAGTTGCAATAGTATTAAATACATCAATCATTAGCTATAAAAAGTTAAAGCCAGTTACAAATTAAAGCTAGGAAAGGGAATGAGGGAAAAAATAAAGTTCTGAATGAAATACGTCAGTTCTTTTACTCGGTCTTAAACACAACCTCCTTAAATATAATCCCTTCATCGTAAAGTTTTGTAACCTACTGAGATCTTCAGCCTTATTATATGTGACTTTGCAATTATTTATACCTGGAATCTTTCAGATCTAACTTTTGCATTACTTTCAAAGAAACTCAGTAAAATTAACAGAAAGATTTACCAAAAGAAAAAAGATTTCTATGGAGCTGTTTATTTAAAGGTGTTGACAGCCTTGCAGGGAAAAGAAAAACTTCTCAGGAAAACAGGATGAAGACTCAAGAGTTTCTCTTCCACCAGTGTTCCTATAGCATAAATGCACCTTTTCTTTTCAAAGAGCAGCAGAAGCTACACAGAATAGTTATTTCTTGAATTTTCTTGATCAATATTATTACTTACTCAGTGTTTCCATTTGAGTAGAGAGGAGAAGGTAGATTTTAACTGGGAAGCAAAAGATGAAAAATATGTATAGATGCACCTGTATTTATCTCAAGAAAATGTTCTTTATTCCAGCAGCAGCCATTCCGGTGTCAGTCACTACTAGGAAACCCTACACATATGAACATCCAAAGACTGCAGAGGGTAATGATTACTAGCAATCTTTAGTCATTCTTCTTTTCTGTGGTCTAATAACATGTGTGATTGTAAATACTCTTTTCTGTAGGCTACTTGCTTATTCATATGAGGTCTGAACAGCAGAAATGAAAATACACTCTTGGTGCTTTATTATTTCTTCACATTTATAGCATGAAGATACTGTATTTTGAAAGACAGGATATCTTCAAAGATATCTGATTAAAAACCTTAATTACATGAGAAGAAGAAAGAGTAAGAATTATTGCAGTAATAGATTTCATGAAATACAAAACTAATACACTTAATTTAAAAATCAGATTAAAAATCTACAAACTGTTGAACAATTCCTGCAGAAAGGTGAGTTCTATATGGCACACAACATTGTGTAATCATTTTTCAAATTTATGGAAAATATTGACTCTTTTTGATTTATCTATATTAATCGATTGGAACTAGTGGTCAAAGTATGTTCAAAACTCTTCTAATGACATTGATTGGCCAAGGTTGGCATTGGATAACAGTATTTTCTTAGCATCATTTCTTAGCACTTGTTTATTTTGCTTCAGGCTAAATTTTTAGAAGCTAATATTGCTCCAGAATAGCATCTGACTCTTCGAATATCCCTCTCATTCAAGGCTCTGTCTGCTTGTTTTGCCCATACTTAATACATTTCATGTATTAAACCCATAGCATTGGTTTTCTCTGTGCTTATTCACTGATACTAACTGAAGGTTGTTTCCTAGTCTTCATTTCTTCTTTGGCAAATGTAGATGAGTATCTTTCATGGGACATCATTTACTTTCAGTTAAAATTATGATTATTTTTTTTTTGCAAACCAAGTTTTTTTTTTTTTCCAGTATCCAAACTCACATTCTGTACACGTGAAGCATAAATCTGTTGTTAGATCGAAGCATCTCAGACTAAAGCTGGTAGTGACATTTCTTTTGAAACTGTATACATTCAGGAGTGCTGTTACTGCAGAAAAATCAAAAAGTGAAAGAATTAAAACTTCTTTCCTGAATGAGGGGAGAAGGAAGACACTCACTACTTTCTGATAATTATACTAATATATATTACTTCAGAAAACGTTTTGTAGAGCTAAAGAAGAATTTAATTTTCTTCTGAATTTCTGAACATTTTTTATTCTTTTTTAAGAACTCACTGATGTTTTGAAGGCAACCTGTGAATAGAAATGAGTGTTCTAGAGAGAGAGATTTCTGAATTTGAATTCCAAAGGTAGTTGACAAACCTGAGTAACAGAGAAGTCATTGCAAGGCAAGAATATACTGAGCAGATTAGAAAGATTAGTGACTGGTTTAACCTTTCTATACAGTGTCTGGCTATTGTCAACAGAAAGAAGTTAATGCTGTTTTTTGTTATTGTTGTTGTTTGCAGCAGCATTAGTAATTATTATACTGTGTATGTTAATAGAAGGATAAGAAATACTCTGTTATTCAAAAGAATCAATTGCAAGCAAAGCATTTTTTTATAGTTTTATTTATTATAAGTTCCATTTTTAAAGCAGGTGGAATTACAAGAGAGCTTGGGATATAAGTGAGTATAGCTGATGGATAGGGTTCTAACTTTAAGTGTATATGTCTGTATGTTACTCTAGTTCTTACTGCCTAATGAGAAAGGAGAATTTATCCATTATTTTTGATTTCCTTTAGTGTCAGGAATTTTTTATAGACTGTCAGTTTGTATTTTAGGATTGTGTTCTTTTTATTTTTTTTTTCAATTTGGCATAGTTCGTGAAGAGGAAAATGGTATGGTATATTCTTGTGCCATTGTTTGTTTGTTTGTTTTGTTTCTAATCCAAACGATAGGATTTGGATATGAGGAAAAGCTAAGAGGCTTTTTCAAAATAAGTATTTTTGATATATGTAACAATAGCAGCCTTTTCATCCTCTGTTTGACTGCTCACCTTAAGAGGAAAAAATCAACTGTTTTGTCGTGGTCAGTATGCCACTTACAAATAGCAGCAGACTTCAGTATGAGGGATACCTGGATATTCCCATATATCAAGACTCTTGCTGTCTCTGAGATAAACTCATCTAGTCCTTTCTTTGTTGTATGGTTTACTGATTTCTGTTACATTTTTCCTTCCATTATCAGCAAGTTTCTGCAATTATTCCTTTTTCCTATTGAACCTGTATTATTAGAAAGCTTAGTTGTCCACGATTTTAAAACTAAAGTCAATTTCAGGGTAGGCATTATTGTGGGGTAGTACCAGCAGCTGCTTTTGCACTTACCAGTGATTTTACATTTTATTTATTTATATTTATATTTATATTTATTTTGAAGTAGGTTCCATACTTACTTTGTCACACTGTTTCTGTTGCAGTCTGGGAACCTATTACACTTAGAGTTGAACCACCAAGGTCAACAGTAGGTAATGATATTTCTTTGGCAAGCTGTTGTTTGCTTTCTTCACTGCAGACAGCACCACTGAAGTTACTCACCGTATGCTTTAGGATTCTTTCATTAAACTTCATTTTTCTTCTAGGTAGTTCTCTTGCTTGGCATCCATGTCAGTTGGGCATATTGCTGTCTTCACAGTTGGAATGTCTGCTTTTTGAGAAAATGAGCCTGGAAGCTCTGAATCACCTTTGTTATAATTATGCTTGTCTGTGCTCATCCCAGTTTTTTATTTAAAAAATAAAATAAAATCTGGGCTTCTGAAATTACCAGATTTCATCTCTCTTGCTTAATCTGTTGAAAACACATGGGTGGTGCTACTTGACTTCCTTTGCTACTTCCTATAAAGAGAATTCTTTTCTCTGTTGCAGGTGTGAGGCTTATGTGTTTGTGTGTTCAACTCTATATCAGATGCTAATTGCTGTGTAAATTAACCAACTTATCACCCACCTTTTCTCTTCCAGCTCCAAAGGAGATTCCACATATTCCTTCTAAACCTAAAACTTCACCCAAACTTCCTATCCCACACGCTAAAGATGGTAAACTGCTTTGTGTGATTATTTCTAATACAGTAGATATTGGACTGAAATATATCTCTGAGCAGCTGCTTACTTATCTGAGCCAGTTACAATATAATAGGGTTCTGTTCTGCTGTATATTCTGTGGTTTCAATTCAATTTTCAGGAGTAGTAAGAGATTTACTAGGTTTTATGATCATATAGAAGAATAAATCTCTGCTGCCTCGTGGCAGCTGGATGAGAATATTGCTAAACTCAAATTGCAGTGGTGGCTAAAACAAGTATCTAGCAATTAAAGTATGTGTTATGGCTACTTAGGTTGTACAATTCCCACCCACACTGCTTTGCATTGATAGAATAACAATGTGTCTCCCTTTTAAATCACAATTATTTCAGCTCATGACATTATTTTTTATAGCATCAATTTCACATCCTTATGCAATTTAAACATCCTGTTTTATTTAAAAGGTATACCATAGAGTTAAAGCATGTGGTCATGTAACCCAATACACAGCAATGCTGTTTAATAATACAGCATGCAGAAAACAAGCAAGTGGTCTCCAATTCCAGTTGTATATATAAACAGCATTTGAAATACAGTGAAGAGTTTTGTATCTTTAAAAAGCCGTTTTCTTAGTAAGATAACGATTCGTATTTGGATATCTCATTGCAGCCCATGGGAGAATTAAGCTCACAGTTAAGGATTGTTTCATCTTACACTGCTTTGCCCCTTATTTTCTCAGTAATTTAATTTAATACAACAGCTTTTGTATGAAGCAGTGTATAATTCAAAGCATAGCTACTAGACAAATAATTCTAACTGTAAGTGAAGTTATTCTCCTCGATTCTCAAAACAGCTTTTATGTTTTGTTTTTGATACAGTCCTGGAGTCTATAACACTTAGAACTGCTCGACCAAAACCAACAATAGGTAACAGTTATACCTACAAGGACCATCACATTTGAAATACATGTTGTGGCTACTTAAGTGGTACAATTCTCACCAACGCTGCTTTGCATGGTTAGAACAAATATTCAGTAGACATCTAGCATCACAAGTACATCTTCATTGTACGCCACTGTCATAATTTTTTACTGTTATATTTTGTCCTTCTGAAGTGTTTTTTATGTGTGTGATTTTACACTAACAATTCATATTCATCTCATTTGGTTTTCCTCACGCAAATGTATTCTGTAAAGTGGACGGATGCACCACGATCTTCCTTTGACTGTGTTTCATTGTATTCAGTTTCTGTCACGTGCTTCATCTTTTCTGCTAGTCTCCAAATCAGGCATCCATCCTGGCCTTGCTTCGTTTGATTTTGTTACACAGGTTCTCCATCAGCAGTATTTCTTTGTGTACCAGCCATTCATACTTCTTCACTACTCATATAAACAGTTTGTGTTTCCAGAGGGTCCCAAAGGCATGTGTTGTTTTTGTTGTTGTTTTATTTTTGTTGTTTTTTGAATGTTTTGCTTCCTGACTGTCTCAGTTCTTGAAATACTTTAATAGCTGCGTTTCTTTTATTCCAGTTCCAAAAGAAACACACCGTATTCCCTCCAAACCTAGAACATCACCAAGCTCAGAAGTACCACAAACCAAGCCTGGTAAGTACATTGTTTTCATTGTTTTGTATCATCTTCATATGTGTGTCTTACAAATTCTACTAGTGGGAAGCTTGTGAGTGATTATCTTTGCATCACTTGTTGAAGTGGCAGTAATTCTGAGTTGAATAATACTCTGTGACGTATTGAGTTTTAAGGAGTGGCCATGTCTCACTGGCTGTAGGAGGGGATGGTAAGATCATTGTGGAGATAGTGATTGTAATGTTTTAATTGTTCTTGGTAAAAGTTGTTTTTGTTCTTTATTACACTGATGCAGTTCTGGAACCAATTACATTTAGGACTGAGAAACCAAAGTCAACAGCAGGTAATTATACTTTCATATTTGTATAGTCAGACTGTCTTTCCTCTTCAACACAAATCATTAAAGGCTGACCTGCAAATATTTCATCATTTACATGTAATAATGCATTTAATAATTTAACAGTCAAGATTCTCCACCTCTTCTCATATTTTCTTCAAAACATTTGAGGAGGACCCTTATGCCTTTCAGGTGTTTATGCACATAAGATGGGGTAATTTTCTTTGGTATTTAAAGAGACAGAGGGCAGTTCAGAAAAAAATCCTAACTTAAACATTCTAAGACATACTGTGAAGGTGACTGTGTTCCAGTTAGTCACATGGCTTCGGTGAGCAAAGCTGCATGCTCTAGGTTATCTTTCTCTACTCCCCATCCCTTTCAGTTTTACTAAATTCAGTCCTTTATAGAATTCTGAAAAATATTTCTGTTTCTCTTAAATATCAATTCCACTGTCAGAACAGAATCACTTCAGTGATCTTTGGGACGTATGGATCCTTGAAGCAGATCCACTTGACTAAGGCACTTTTATTGCTTGTATGTGGTACTGAGAATTCTTCCAGTACAACCTCCATTAAAGAGCAGTGGTGTCTTTGTATTTGAAACTAATTTCCTTGTTTTCTTCTTACTTAATTGGTTAAGCCTTTCTTCTAAACAGAAACAATAATTCTGTCACATGCTCTGTTGATGATATGTCACAGAAGAGTATTTTCTCTACAAATTGGTTTTGTTCCAAGAAAACTCATACCCCTTGCATCACTTCCATACAAGCATCTTTGGCTCAAATCTTTGCTCTGTTTCTGGTGACTGCAGATGGTAGTGGACACTGAAAATGGTAACACAGTGTAACCCAGTTTCTTTCTTTCAGCTCCTAGAGAGACGCGTCATGGGCCTTCAAAACCTAAAACATCACCCAGTCCCCGTGTTCCTCCAACCAGAGCAAGTAAGCTTCTCAATATTTTGCACTTTAGTGTATGATTTTTTTCAGTTTGAAAATTGCTAAAAATCATAAGTTCTTTGAAAGTACACAAATATTTTATTGAACAGGCTGTGTTTTACTGTCATAATGAAATTTTGCTACATAGCTGTCATGAAACAAGACAGATATTTGTGTTTGTCAATAACTTGTAGAATGGTTGGGGTGTGGGGGTTAAACACTCTAATTTTGGAAGTTAGAAAACTTGTGTCTCAATTTCCACAGCATGTGAAAGAGGTACTTGTATTTTCTAGTTACTCATTTACAAGTGCAAAATTAGGATACTTTCCTGTTCCCAAAACTTCGGTTTGGGAATAGCTCTGTCCATTTGAAAATTAGTTGTAAATTTCCATGTTTCTTCTGCTCTGACTGCTTTGCTGGAAATGTTGTGGGTTTTTTTTGTTGTTTTTTTTTTTTTAATGCTCTGTTAATTTAAGCAAGCAGCAGATTTTTGGAATGTGAAACACTGGAGAAGTGCAGCTAAGGGAACTGTTAGAACTATAGCAGTCTGCCCTGTGGAAAGATTTGTTGCAGAGAACTGGGAGAAGTGGAGAGTTAATCCAACACTGCACTGTAACAGTCACTTTGTCTGTAATCTCAGCACTAACACTTATTGCATTGGCATTAGGTCTCTTTGTGATTACCTTCAAATGGAAATAATATTTCCTAAAAAAAAACCTTTCTTTACAGAAAATGAATATCCTGTCAGGAAAATCAAAAGACCTCTGATTAGTCATCACCCTCATTACAGCATTCAAAACTTAGCTCGTTTTCACAGGTCCAAAAGAAAGTCGACGAGTCACTTTCAAGCCCAGAACATCACCAAGTCCAGATGTGCCATACACAAAACCTGGTAAATACCTTGTTGTTTTGTTGTCCTTGAATATTTGGGTTTTCTTTTGGGTTGTCTTTTCTTAATTAATAAAGCATTGATTAACATCTCTTCATATTACAAGCGAATAGATTTTGTAATGAACATGAAATACATGTGTAAAGGAAGATGGAGCTGGTTTATATATTTGATTGCTGCTTTTTGGTGGGTTGCATATGCTTTTCTGTCACATGACGGTTGTCACTGATGACTAATTTGCATAGCAGAGTAAACAACATATAAACATTGTAACAATGTTCGTGGAAGAAATTGCATCTCTTCTGTTCAAGTGTGCCCTGGTAATGGAATTAGACCCTTAAAAGTATTACTTGCATGCTAGCAAATTGCCAAACCTCCCTAACTTGTAGTGGTTCTAAAGGCATCAGTTGAAACTTCCTTTAGTTAGTGCATATTCACTAATATTTATTGCAATTTAAAAAGAAATCAGTAAAAGGGGGTATTGTACAGTTTGATGATACTTACCACTAATTCTTTGTACATTCTTGTTTTATGAAGTATTGGTACCTATTATATTTACAGTTGAGCAAACAAAGACAATGTTAGGTAATGATATTACCTTGAGATTATTTTTTTTTTCCCAGCTACTCTGTGGACCAAATATTGTGGATTATTATTCTGCTTTCCACATGATCTGTTCGTGGGTTTGATTTGTTTTCTTGTTTACATATTGATCTTAATTCTACTCTGTTCCAGGTACTGAAAGAGTCCTAGCTGTGTCGTTGTCTTCACGGAAAATTTCTGTTTCACTCTTACATGAATCACAATTGTTTTGACTCTTGTAGGAGACAAGCATGCCATGGCTACTGCAGTTGTCAGCTTTGAACTACGGATGGGAACATCTCAGCTGTGATTGTCTGTGTTCTTTCAGATTTTGTTCCTTGACTCCAAAGGAGATTTTGCTTACTTGATCGTTTTTCCACTCATTTTAATTCATGTTTTTCTTTTCCTTTTAAACACTTGCATATGTCTGTTTCTCAGTTTTTCAGTCACTCATGCGGAGATTGCAGTTTGTTTTTTCTTGAAGGCACAAGGCGTGCAGTGCCTGTGCAATACCTGACTAATTTCTGAAGAGTATATACCCTTAAAACAAGTCTTTTCTTTCAGCTCCTAAAGAACCACAACATGTACCTTTTAAACCTAAACCAGCTCCCATTCCAGATGTTCCACCCGGCAAGCCTGGTAAATTACCTTGCCTTTTGTAATGCTGTGGTTGATAACTGGGCACCCATTTGTGGTGGAGGTGTGGGGGGGGGAGGGGGGAGGCAGGGGGGATGTAGAGTTGTCAGCAGTACATTTGCTATTACCTCTGTACTACTATAGTTTAAGAAACCTATAAGTTAAGAAACTACAGTAATTCAAGATTTTTTTAATATTGTGTTTGTGTTACTGGAAGAATAGTAGGGACCCATATATTTAGATGAATGATATGAAGTTATTAACAACTTGTACCCGAGCAACACACTTTGTTTTTTGTAGCATCATGTTTTTGAAATTTATCAGAGAACTCTCATATGGTTGTTGAAGTGCTTTTTCCCTTAAATACACATTTTCACCCAAATGAGACTGAGTATTCCCTTCTATTGTATTCCATTTAGGAGAATCCCTGTCATAAATCTGGCTGACCTGTGTAAGATAATCACTGATTTCACTGAAGAGTTGTCGTGTTTTTTTGTTTTTTTATTTTAAGTATTTAAATGCAAAAAACAAACAAACAAAAAAAACTCTTCATAAACATAAATCTCTGAGTTTTTTTTTTAAGGGAGTGGGGAGAGAGGAAGGGAGGAGGATCTCTTCATTCTTCTGAGCATTTATCCAAACTTTTTCCAACAGGAATCTTTCCATCCTTCCATGAACCAGTTACTGCTATGATTCCTCATGTTCCTGAAAGAACAAAGGCAACACCGGGTAATCATTTGCTTCATAAATAATTACTCTCTTTTTATTCTTGTTAGAGAAGGTGCTCATTACATCATATTAAAAACTAATAATGCAGTTTTGCTCTGATTCTAGATACCAGCTTGCTCTTTGATCTTGATAAGGGAAGTAATGCACAAGCTCATTTACTTTTGAAGGTTCCTTTCCTCATCTTCTAGCCATTCCAATCAGGAGGACATAATTCCTTCAAATGTTATATATTTTCCAGTAAAAGTGAGCTTTATTTAAAGAACAGATAGTGATTCCTGTCATTTCTGCATCTGAGGTATGGATACTGTTATCATAAAATGCTGTTCTGCTTTACTATTCATTGTATAATTTTACGGAAGAATGTATGAACTACAGCATAACATACAGCAAAGCATACAAGTTATGTGACTTCACAAGTCAAACACCACTTCTTAAAACCATTTTCTCTGTTAACTTTTAGTAATACCTACTGGGAAAACTTTTTTAAATATGTGAAACATCAGTCTCAGAATTCTTTCTTCTTAACTTGCCAGATGGGGACTAAATAAGGGTGAATGAATCCATGCAGAATAGGGCAGTAGGGTTAACAATCTTTGCTAATAATTGTTCTCTGTCCCTGGTTTCAGGGGAGACGTCCAAGATTTTCTGAGAATTAAGTGGTATCATTAATGAAGTAATAACCACTGTTTAATAATCTTTTATGTATGGTTTTTTCCCTGTGGCAAATAGGACACTAGAAATGCTTTTCATCATGTTCGTATTTTAATATCTATTCTCTGTATGCATTGATACTTAGGTATTTGGTATCTTTACATAACTTTATGAAGTTTATGTGCCTCATCATACACATCTGGGCCTACCTGATGGAATCTTTTACGTGCACAAAATGGTTCTTTAGAACAAGTGGGTGAAGAATGTACAGGCTAAGGTCGATTTTTGAGGACCTTTCACATTGGTGTGGATCACAGACTTGCACGTGTTTGCTGAAAGTGCTAAATATCTTTTCCAGTACGAAAGTCATGACAGAATTACTAGAATAGAATAAAATAGTTCTTGTTGGAAGAGACCTATTGATTGGTTGATTGATTGATTCCAACTGCCTGATAGCTTCAGGGCTAACCAAAAGTTAAAACCTATTAAGGATATTATGCAAATGCCTCTTAAAGATGGACGGGCATGAGGTATCAGTCACTTCTCTATGAAGTTGTTACAGCACCTGACTACCCTCTCAGTAAAGAAGCTTTTCTTAATGTCTGGTCTGAACCTCCCTTGATGCAACTTTGAGCCATTCTTACAAGTTCTGTCACTGAATACCAGGGGAAAAATGTACCTCCCTCTCCACTTCCCCTCTTCAGGAAGTTATAGAGATTAATGAAGTACTGAATAGTATGGAAATGACAGGGATAAATAGTTCCCATGTAAAAACAAGGAATTTAATTTATATATCAAGTCTGATATGAAGGGCCCACTGAAAAACAGGTACTGTCTTCAGATTCTCATGTACAGCACAGAAAGGCTACTACTGTCTGTTTTTGTCCCATTACTTTATTGTGTGCTGTTTGTGACTGTATTCTTCACTGCTTCATCCAAAGCTACAAATCTGTGTATAACTGTTGGGAAGTCTGTCTGTGTCAGTGGCCATTTAATTTCTTTTCCTTTCTTTACAGGAATTCCAACTGACTGATTTTCAGCTTCTCTTAATATAGATTAGATCATACTTCCTTGTGTACTACGATATTCCTTGTGTACTATGGAAACAGTGTTTTTGTTTGTTTTGTTTTGTTTTAAAGAATATTTCAATTATTTTTATGGGTGCTTTTTTTTTCTTTTTCTTTCTCTCTCTCTTTTTTTTTTTTTTTTTAATTTCAGCTCCAAGTGAAAAACAATTCATTCATACCAAACCAAAAAAACCTGAAAAACCAAGAGTGCCACACACCAAACCTGGTAATTGAGTCAATCTTGTAATTTTGTGTGTTTCTATTTAATCATTCTTTTCCCCTAGCCTGAGTTTTTCTGCTTTAAACAGAATTATTCGTATCTGGTTTTATGGTGAATCAATGGTAAATCAACCTTTAGATCAGTCAATCCAAAATGTCAAAACTACGCTGAAATAATAGTAGCATCTGTAGTATATGTTTTTCCTCCTCCTTATTACATTCAGCAAATGATGACTAATAATTTGAGTGTTGACAATTTTCAGTGGCTTAGATACACTGAGTTCTCTCTTATTGCTGTCTTGTAATCAGAGGGGCTTCTCTATGAGCATGTTTTTTCACCCACAAAATGCAATCTAACTCCTTTGAAATATGTTGTTACACGTAGCAACTGACATGTGTTATACTGAAACAAAAGTACTTTTAAAATAGTTAAGATCTGTGTCTCTTCCCATTTTTGTTATAGAAGTAATGTATAGATGTTAATAGAAGGATACTGATAACTGTCAACAGTTGATTTTTAAGATATTCTGCTACTCTTTAGTTTGGGGCATTTTGAAAGCTTTAGAAATAGTGCAAATACTGCTTTGTTTCTTTACAGTTAAATTTTAAGATTCTCAACATTTTCTCCCTTAACAGCAATACATCAAACAACCCCACAACCACTTATTACAAAATCTTCTACTACCACTGAGCAGTCAAGGGCAACAATGGGTAAATACATTTCCTTAAACTTAAGATGCAGGTCTTTTTAACTGTTCGATGGGGAAGTTTCTAGAGAATATGCTCTGGTGTGTTCTTTTATGCAGTATCAGTCCACTGTCCATCATTCTGCTTACACGCGTGCATGTTTCTTAATACAGAAGAGTCTCAGTTCTATCTTCGAGCTAAGGCAGAAATTGCCTACCGTTCATGTCTAGCAAGAAGACTGTATTTTTCAGTTCTCTAACCAACTTCAGTGGTCTAATTTTTCTTTTAGAGCAAGAGTTCTAGCCACTAACTCACATTATCATACAGCACAGTATTAGAATACCACTGTGTTTTGGAGAGCCATTTTGTTTCAGGTTCCAGAAACCCATGGAATTGTTATTGTCTTTTTTTCAGGCACTTGAGGCATGCACTTTCTGTGGGCTAAGTATGGCATTGGATTGTGACTCCTGAAAAATACAACAATAATCTTTTTCCTTTCTTTCAGCTCCAAAAGAAACACTGCTCGTTCCTTCCAAACCCAAAACATCTGTTGAGCCAGAAATACCACAGACTAAACCTGGTAATTTAAAGTTTTTAACTTTAAAAGTGTTATTGGAGCACTACTTTAGTTACACTTTTTGCTGTCATTTGGTACTACAGGGATGTGACATGATCGGTATTTAGAGAGAAATTAGTGTAATTGTTCAACTCGGAATACCTCAGTGAATTACATCGAAAAGAATGCCCCAGAACTGGGTCATGTCTATGGGTACACACAAGTTAGGGTGGCTATTTTTTATAAATTTATTTTTTAATTGGTTGATAGAAGCCATTAAAATATGAGGAACTTGATTAATTTGAGTGAAGATACACTACTGTAACTGGTTTCACTAAGTTCTTTTATTTGGGGCAAATTTATTACACCAGATAAATGTGCAAGTACTTTTGAAACTCAGGCTACAGGATCGTAGTCCAAAATAGTTAGGTGGTAAGAGTACAAGTACCATCTTCTAATCAGTGCAGTAATAATAGTAAAATTTACGGATGCATAATTATAATGAAGGATGTATATTATATCAGCTTCACCTGGGGTATGAACTATTTCCATAAAAATTACTACATTGGAAGCTTATAATGGAAAAAAAATAATCTAGGGAAGGTGTGACAACATGATCATAAGAAAGAACAACACTTAACTTTTCTTCATTCCTAATTCCCAGTCCCAAACTGGTGATACTTTATTTTTTAGGCAATTAGGTTTGTGAATAGTTTTATCATTCCCCCTTTTTCCTTAGACTTCTCATGTAGCCAGAAACAATTTAAACAGAGACCCTATTCATTAAAGAATGGTACACGTATTTTATTATGAAAATCAAATGGAACAGTCTAGCCAAAAAAAAAAATGTTTTCTAAAGGATTATTTTGGAAGACTCTCTGTAAGTAACCAAGCTAGATTCTAAGTCTCAATTGAATTAGAGCTATTTCCAATCTTGTCATAGTTAACAAGTACCACATTTTGGCACCACTACACAGTTCAGTTTAGTAGAAGAATTTTAGAAAACAGAACTTAAGGGGTTATGTTTTTAACGTTTAAAATTTAAATAATTGTAATGACCTATATGCAAAAGAAATTCTACTGTTATCTGGAAAGTTGTTAAAATAAATGGCACTAATTAGTCATTACCCTTCATCCTAATAAGTAGGTTATTTTCCAGCTTCCATATTTTAACCTTGTTTCTGAAAGAGAAGAGACACATGTAGCATGCACTTCTGCTTGCCAGTCTTTCCTTTTCATCCAGTAACTTTCTATCTTTGACAAAATGTGGTCAATTTTGAATGAGGGAAGAATGCCTTAAAGATAATTATATTATTACAATCTTTTAGAGAATTTTGAGGGAAATGCAAGTTAGCGTCCTCTATTAGGGTGTCTGTTCTGAAGTAGGTGGAGGCCCAGCAGAATATTTGCAATGTCTGTCTGTCAGCATGAAAATACCTCCAGACTACTCAGAACACAGGCCTGTCTTAAATCTGTAAAATTGTCTTAAAAGATGCGTAGGTAGATGTTTATGAAACAAAGGACACAGATACTTAATGAAATCCAACATCATTGATTTCACATCTCACAGAACAATGTTTTATTTCTCATAGCTCCAAGGACAACACACCTGGGATCAATTAACCTCATAACAGTTCATGTTGTTGATGGGTCCAAAATGACTTTGGGTAATGAGAATATTATGACATTTTATTTTTATAACTTCACTTTCTCTGCTTTTGCTATATGGCTAAACTTATCCTTTAATCAACAGAAGTACCTTAATATATCTTCATCTTCTTCATTAGTTAGGCACGTTCCAGGGCATGTACAAAATGTTGCTGGTTTAATTTTCCAGTCATGTTCCATCCAATTTGTTTGTAATTATTTATAGAAATAAATGCTTCATGTACATGATTGAGGAGTCATATAAAAAGATGTCTTGCTCATCTTTTCTTCTGTTGTCTAGCTTTTTAATTACGTATATCTTCCCAGTCTTGAAGTTCTGGTATAAATCCATGATTTTCAGTCAGGTTTCTATCACTCACCCTTTTTGTTTATGGTCTGCGCTATGTTTGAATTTCCCTTCCACCTGTGGTATCTGATGTTTAAAAGAAAATCATTTGCATTTGATAAGCAATCAAATCTCCTCTTTCAGTTCCAATGAAACATACCAGATTTCACCCAAACCTAAAACGGCTCTTGTAACTGAAATTCCACGGTTACATACAGGTAATTCTTATAATTTTCTTAGTTTGTTGCATTGAGAGTCTATTAAACCTCTAACTGAGTATATATAAACCTCTAATTGAGGTTTAGTGGTCTGTTGTTACTACCCTTGAAAGCTTTTAAGCATTATTAGTGTTTTGTGTCTGATCCACAGATCAAAAGCATTGCAAACACAAACATAACTGACTCCCACCTTTTTCTCAGTATTTGTGAAATTTTTACCAAATTTGAATGTCAGAACTTAGTAATATGTTCTTTCCTGCATAAATGTTTTCTCAGAAACTTCAGAGAGGCTAGAGTAACTGATGTTGATAGAATGGTTGTTAGACTCAAGTATCAGGTGGATAGCTGTATTTATGTAAAGTGTTTGAGTTACTCAGGTCAGTTATTTGGCATAAGATGACAGTGATGACTACTTAAATTTTCAGGTTTCAGTGTGATTCACACACATACTGTAACAAATAAAATTTCAAAATTGTTTTGCAAGTGAAAGACGACAGTAGGAAAAGGTTGAAGGCTAGTAATTTTAATTTTAACTTTGATAATGACGCTATGCTTCAGCAGCCATGCATAGGCCTTTTCCAGTAGTCTTCTCGGCAATATTTTAATGTTTCATGTTTTTATCTGAATATTTGATTTGGGGGGTTCAGTTTGGTGTTTTATTTTGAGGTTTTTGTTTTTTTTTTTGTTTTTTACAGAACCTAATTAAATGTCTTAAGGCCATGGATACCTTGCAGAGCTAACTCTGTATCCATATACAGTTGGGTAACTGGCTGTAAATATTTTATATCTTTTCCTAAACCTAAACATGAATATAACTGGTCAGACTGCATGATGGAGTCATCTGACCACTAAAGAAACTAGCATTTTCAGCGTGCATTTTGGATCGGAAACTCATAGAATTCTCATACGTCCATTTTGCTATATCGCATTGGTGCATGGACCTTTTTTTGTGGCAAATTACACTGCTTATACACATAGCATTTAAACTGAACCTTATTTCTTTTAGCGGCAGTATAAAACACGTCTCACTTCTGCAAGACCAAAACCATCTGATAAATCACAGACCAGACCTGGTAATAATTGTTTATTCACTTTGGTATGGGAAGGAGGTCCACTATTTATTTCTTTAATGATTTTCACCTGTTCTTAGAGGAATTTTAAGTATTGCTAGAGAAAAGGGTGTGCTTTCTTTCAATTAATCAGTCTTCAGGTAAAGCCTTTTCAATTTAGGAAAAAAAATTGTATGCCACCACAGCAACTCTTGCTTTTTCTTCTGTAATACGGAATTGTTGGCATCACTTAGAAGTCTCATTTTCTTCTCATTAAGCTTTTTCTTTTAAACTTCCTCACAGCTCTTAGTAAAACTACACTAGCACCAGCTAGAACAAAATCACCTGGCTTGCCAAAGTGGATTGTGCCAACAACAGGTAGAGCTGTTTTTTTGTGTGCTTTGTTTGTTTGTTTGTTTTTAAGATATTAGCAAAAACACACGAATGTTACTTCCTGAAATGATCTTAAGCCTTGCAAAATATTTAATTACGTATGATTATAGAAGCTAATTCTTTAGAGTACTGTATGTAATTGCTGTTACTAGTAATGCTATATTGTTCCTGACTGCTACCGTGAAATGGTACTATATGTGATAAGTGTAGTCTTAGAGGTAAAGTATATAATATGTCTACTGTTTGTTGATGTTTTCCATATGATAGGTCCAGAATAAATAACCAGGCAATAGGCCAGGTGATAATCCAGAATAATAACCAGAGATGGTTGTATATCTAAATTGAATTAAAAATAGCCTGAACATGATATGCTCTTTTGTATTACATATAGAGGGGATGTCATCATTGGAGAATGTGTTCTCTGACCTTTCATATTCCTTCTGGGAAATGAAATGAGCCCATCTGACTGCAGGACATCAGGAACAGTTATAGTTATTAAATGACTTAGGATGGCAGTAATCCTGGCTCAAGAGGTTTGCTATTACTAGTGCTGGGCAATCTACTTCACAGAAAGTGACCTTTCTAATGTCCGATCACCAAATGTATGAATACACAATTATGTTAGACAGTATGTGAAGTTTTGTGTTCTACCATATAGCAATGTCTTTGGCAGTGGCATTTTTAGATTAAGAAGGTTTTTTTTTAAAAAAAAAAAAACAACACACAAAACATTCTAGGTAAAATAGCAGTATAAACATGATAATAGGTGTTTAAATTGTTTTAAGTATAGTTTATTGTGCTTTATGCTATTTTAGGTGATTGCTAAGTATTAGTTTAAGCAATCTTTATTTTAAATGCTCCAGTTGGAGTACCTGCTAGTCATTATTTCCATGTCGTTACAGTAGGGCCAGTTGTCAGCAAGAAGTAGTGTTCCTTTATGGTAGATGATGTCAGAAATCACCCAAGGCTATTTATTATTTTGCTGTGTATGCTAGGTATATTCACAAGCAAATAGGTATCTTCATTTAGAGCTCTTGAAAATTATGCTTTTGCAATATTTTCCATTGCTCAGTTAAGCAAGTCTTTTTTCCTAAGTGAAATAAGTGTCCTGAAGATGTCTGTTACCTAGATTTTGCATCCTACTGAGTGAGCACTTTCAGTTAAACATGGTGTTCAAACTGCTTAGGAAGAGTTGGTATTTATTGCCTGTTACCTGTTTATTTGTACTATAAGCGCTGCTGGCATAGTAACTTATTGATAACTTCCTATGAGAGTACATCTTTCTTCTCTGAATGCTAGAGAAATCATCAGTGATTTTTTTTTTTTTTTACATTTATGGCATGATGAAGAAGACTACAACTTTTAGTGAATTCTTTTCATTCTGCGCTTTATTCCTTCCTTTATGATCAAAAAGTGAAATCCCAAGTCTTCTTGTAGAGTAAGTGCGTCACAATATTGTGGCAAATGTAGTGTCTGAGCATACAAGGATGTCTATGCTCACAAAAAAAACCATTTTGTACAAGAGAGGGTTCAGGTAATCGATTAAAAGGAAATCTTCTATATTCCTCCTAAGCAATGTGCCATTATGTTTAGCAAACAATCTTGAAGTCTGCAGAAGAGACTTAAAAAAGAGAATTCCACTAAATTCCACTAACCTGGAACCTTAAATCTTACCAGCTGAGCAAAGGCAAAAAAGCCTGTTTTTTTTTTTTTCTTTTTCAGTAGATGATATCTTAGAGAAATTATCTTTTAAGATATTTGGATGATTTTTGAGGATAGAGAAGTTTATTTCTTCCATTAGGAAAATGATGGTATTTTCTGTGGTTAACTGATCAGAATCCTTAACCAAGCTGTAAGGGACAACATGTTTTCAAGCTTACATTTAAACATTACTTTTTTTTTTTTTCTTTCTTTGAAGAAGAGTACATTTGATAGTCTATTGTTGACTACTTTGGATCTTACTTCCTTGTTGTGCGGGCAATGCTTATTGGAAGCACACCAATTCTTCTTCCTGAGTGTACGCATTAGCATCAATGCAAAGATGTTCCACTCCATGCAGAGTGTGTTTGGCAGCTGTGGGGCCCTGATGATAAGCTGTGGAATTTGTTTTTCCCAGCAGCAGCACATGGGATTGCGGTTGGTTTCCTGGCAGGCTTTTCAGTCTCCTGGCTAGCTGTATTGTTAGCTGTAATGCCAGGTGGTAAACTTGACTTTGGGAAACGGGCAGAGGTTTCAGCCACTTAACTAACATTCCTTTTAGTCTTCTACCATGTTTCCGGCCACATTCTGTATAATTTATTTTTAATGACATGGCTTTTCATACTTATTTTAGTTCATGTGATATATCTTAAACATTATTTGGTTTAATCTTAACAATGTAAAAGTTGTTCATGGTCTATTAAACTTCTGGACAACCTTCACCCAAGTTTCAGCAATGTTTCATCTCCCTTGTGAGAGAGTTTGTTTTCACTATAACAGATATCAACTTCATGCTGTGCTTTGTTTGTATTTTTGAAAATGTGAGCATATAGCTAGGTTCTAGATGAACTCAAATATTAAAGTATTCCAGGTTTTTTTGTTGTTTTGTTTTGTAATCAATGGCACCTTTTCCCACTTCTTAAAATGATCCACGCTTCTGATAGTATTCCTGCTATTCAAGGTGCAGTGGTTAGCTTTAAGGTGTTCCAGATCCCATTAATATTTCCAGGAAAAAAATGATGAAAGTAAAGAAAACATCAACACACATTTGTCTAACACATCTATTCTCAGTTCTGTTAAAAGTCTGGATGAATGTGCTGAGTTGAAATGCTTATATGATGCTAGGTAATGTTACTTGCTTAAGGCAAATGCTATGATAAATGCAGCAAGTTGTATGACATTGCAGATACTTTGTGTGGAGATACAGGCGAACTTTTACGTGACTTTGAAGTGCATTGAAACATTAAAGAGGAGATTTTTGTTTTCCTTTCACATAATTTGCACTACTATTTTACTAATGGCAGTAATACCATATAGAATATATACAGCATGTTGTTTGTTGATAGCCAATACAATTCAGAAGAGATTGTAATTCTAAACTATATAGTGAAGAGCAAAATAGAGGCAGGCTTTTCTGTAGACACAGGTGCAAAACTAAGTTAGACATGTAATAGATATCTGGATGATTTTGTGAGATTGAGGCAATGGGATGATGCATATTTATTGTGGGATGAAGTTTAGAAGCTAATATACTTTGACTGTAACCCACGGTGTATACGATTTATTTTTCTTTTTAAAGCTAATGCTGATGTTCTCATGTGTCATCCTTGAACGCTAGTCATGTGAAACATTGATTAGTACTCTGGTGCTTTGTATATCTGAAGACCTAATTAACCAATTTAGTTACCTGAAGACAAATTTCAGTTATAACAAAAATCACATTACGTTTAAGAATTTCAGTCACAGGAACCAGGAGACCTTCATCGTATTTACCATGAAAAATTTATGAAAAACTACTTGTTTTATACTGGTGGAATATAGGTGTAGTCTAGTAATAAACTGAGTACCAGATTAGAAACGTGAAATCTTCAGTTGAAATGTTTTGATCATGTTGGAATAGTCTTTCTAAGTTGGTAATTTATATGTGTGTGTGTAGGTATGTGTGTGTATTCTTTTAGTTGATACATTAAATTGCTGGAGGGGGAGTGGTTCTAAGGTCATGAGAAGGGTGAACTTTTCACAAAAATGATGAAATTGTAAAGCGTCTTCTCAGTCTACCATATATAGAGTTTTATAAAGTAAATATGCTTATTCTGTGTAGGGAAGGCATATTAATTTAACAATTTGGCTGTCCTATAAATGTCAGCATGTGAAACAATTGTTCTGTACCAGGGGTAGTTGTGTTGATCTTTTTAATGCCATTTACTTCTTTTTTTGTGTTTGTGTGTATGTGTTTATATTACTTTTAAGTGGGACATTCTTCTATATACAAGCTGAATTTTACGCACACTTTTTTTATGCCTCCACTACTGCAAATATGGGATGTGTTTGGTTTAGAATTCCTCTAGTTATTCAATATGGAGGATAATCGAAGATCTTATTTTTCAGGAAGAGGAGAACTTTGCCCGTAACAAAAATCAACAGACATTTTATTCTGTGTACAGAAATACTAAAACGTGCCCTGTATTCATCCTTCCACATATAATTTTGGTTTCTTAGTAGTTATCTCTTAATCTTACCCTCTTTCTAAACAGGTCTTTTACAACAAATATTTAAAATTAAAGTGTAGACTCTCTATGCCAAGACCACTTTCTACATATTCAAATAGGAAGGTAATAGTTATCACTAAAAATACCAGTTTTACACGTCATGTTACCTAGAATTTGGACACATACAATATAGAAGTATTATATAACTTGGTACTGCTCTGTAGATAATTAATTCATATCCTTTTGTTTCACAGATGACGTTTATACACCTGAGGATATTACTAGACAAATTGGCGTGGATGTAGAAAAACCTTTTGAATATACTGATACCCACGAAAAGCCATTTTCTGGTAAGATGAATAAAAAGGACAATGTACCAATTTTTAATAGTCATGAAAAATTGGAACATCGCCTTTCCTATACACACACATACCACACCAAAAACAAACAAACAAACAACAACAACAAAAAAACACCTCCACTGAAGAAGAGAAAATAATTTTTGGTCATCCTCATTAGTGCATTGTCTCTTGGCTTCAGGATGGTATTAAGAGAGAGAAAAACAAGAATATTTCATGGTCAGTACTTAGTATGTGGCATATGTTTGTGACTAAATATTACCATTGCCAGTGCTCATTGTATCCTTGCGATTAAACAGCCACTCTACTGTAAACACTGATCTTTTTCATATCTGTGGGTTCTAACTAGCAATGGGAAATGCTTATCCAAATTACCTACCCACTTATGAGAACGCTTTTTTGGACCTTAGGATTGTTAGGAAAATTAGAATGCTAGGATTGTTGCAAAACACTGTGGGAGTGAATAAGCTTACAGTTTTTTAACTTAAGTAGACTTTACATGTGATTTTTAACTTTACATGTGCTATAAAAGACTTGTCAGTTTTATTTCTCTTGCAAGTCTTACAATTCCATTTTCAAAATATTCTAAATATTTTTACAGAAAAACAACTTCCCTGAATAAATCTTTAAAAATAGCCTTCTCATGTTTCACTTTTTTTTGTTCCACATCTACACATAACAATACAGACAAGCATGCAAACACACTCGCAGAGAATTTTCTTGGTTTTATTAGCATAACTAGGAATAGACCTTGCTTTTAACTGTGCTTTTTTACTGGCATAAAAACTGACTAAACTCAAAATATTTCTGACTTTGCCCTTGGATTTATTTTTCAGCTGCGTCTGTTGTTTTTGGTTTAGATTTTCCTTTTGAAAATATGTTATTTGGCTTTAAAAAAAGAGATACAGATATACACTTGTTAGTAATTAATAAACTGCTGTTTGCTCCTAATCCCTACTGGATTTCCTTTGCACCTAATTTACCTGCACAAAGACAGCAGCCTTGCTTGACGGCTGAGTTCTGATGTTTTATCTTTTTAAATTTAATTCAATCAGAACGTTGTATTCAGCACAGATTATGTAGCGTGGTATACTCTTAGGAGTAGCTGGATTCAAGCTACAAACTGAAAAGAAGCATGGCTCTCTGTTTTGCTTTCTTTGTTTTTTGTTTTTCTGTCATGGCATGTCGAGCAGTGATGTCCACTTAAGTAAATCCAGTCTGTGATTTGCAAACACTGCAATATTATTTTTTTTTATGCACAGAGATTTTAAGGATGCTTTTACATACGCTTTTACTCATCTTTTGACATTAGATGTTTAAAGTTAAGCTTTTAGAGCTTTGAAGTAAGCCAATACCTTGAATTCTAATCATAATAGACAGTCGGGTATGTTTGTGAAGTTAGCTACTACTGTTCCATAATTTTTCTTGTATACTTTTGTGATCTCAGCTCTTTCTATGGTGCCTTAATATGTATATGAAAACTCAATTTATTGGGTATAGCTATAAGTTAGCCAATATTTGACCTAGCTTTTATGTATATATATATTTTTTTCTTGAAATCTTAATGTGTGTTAACTGACAGACTGACATTTACACCATACATGAGGTATGAAGAAGATGCATTACAGCATGCAGCACTGATGCGTTGTTAGTAGTATGTCCTAAGAGGCTATTCAGCCTCCTTTTTCATGAAGAGTGATAGGGGTGATAAAGTAAAGGAAATACATTCCCTGTCCAAAGAACACCTGAGATTAAATAAGTCCTAATAGTTCACAATGCCACTGTTTTAACAATAAGCCAGGCTATCAGAAAATCCCTAAATTCTTGTGTGTGTCCTAGTTTACAAACTCAGTTAATTACATTTGGTAACATCATAGACTGTCTTCTAAATTACCGTGGAAGTAGAAGGGAATGGTAAGGATTCTCATTTTTTTTTCCAGAGTGCAGTATAGTAGATTCAACGTGTGACACACTGTTTCAGCTTGCATTTAACTACTGTGGTTGTGTTCTTTGGAAGATACAGTAGAAACCACTAACAAGTCAGTGCCTACAAATTTTTACCCCATAAATACCTCAGACAATCCCATTTCCTACATACGGGCAGTTGAATACTAATTATGGGTACTACTGTGTAGTAATATCTAGGGTACGATGACATATAAACAAGTAATATATAATTTTTCAAGTCTTTAGGCATATTTTTTCATCTCTGCCTGATGAAGAATGAATATGAAACTTATATATACTGTTTTTGAAACCACTAAATCTTTCTGAATTAGATTTAGCATTGTTAACTGTCTTGGTCTGAGGGATAAGAAAAGGAGAAAAAAAAGGGGAGGGAGGGGGTTGTAAATGATTGCAGAAGTCCGAAAGTAAAAGTGAACCAAGAAAGATGGAGATGTTCATGTTTGTATATTGTAAGTATTTCTAAAAAAGCTTTCCCAAATGAGTCTTTGGATCTGTTCCCATCTCACCCACAATCACTCTATTTATAGGGTAAACTAGGGTCTGATAAATAGGTCCTGGGGAACTCTACATAGCCAGTAACTCAGTATCAGGCAGCTCACAGTTTTGTTGATATTGGCAGCATATTAAGAATTATATTCTGTTAAGGGTTTTCTCCTCTTAGGTACAAGAAGTCTTTTGTTACATATACATGTTGCACACATCTAGTTTTTTCCTAAGGAAAAAAGTGCAGAGGTGAATAGTGGAAGAAAAATCTTTTCCTTTAGCCTTTCTTTTACATGATAAAATCCTTTGTAATAGCCTGGAAGACACAGAAAAATGTTCTGTATCAGTTATCAGACTTAGGTTCTCCTTTCAGAGCTAGCTGTCGAAGGACCCTACCAGATAAATTTAATGCATATTGGCTGGAAATGTGCATTGAAGCAGCCTAGTTGGTTGCTTCAGGAGTTTCTAACACAATAACAGTCTTTTTTTTTCATATCAATCCATGAGCTGACTGTGACTTTCATTGTTTATGTTAAAGTGACATAAGATAACATATCCCTAATAATCATTTCGCTTTTGCTACATCTTATGCTTTAAGCTGAAAGTGACAAGTTTTATCAGTTAGAAAGCACAAATGAATTGGAATTTTGTGAGTAGGATACTGAAGACATTTCCATCTAAACTCAGGTGGTGTTTATTGTGGGAAGAAGTATCCCGTCAGCTGCCAAAAAATAACTGTTGACAGAAGTGAGTAACTACACAGAAAATAAATCTCTGAAGTATTTGTACAAAATCCCAAAGGAGCTACATTTTCTCATTGTAAGCTTGGTTTAAAGTTCCACACCACCACTTCCCAAAGAATTTAAGTCTGAAAATACAACTGTTCTTGGCTCCTTGCTTCACCTCTTTGCTTTTGATTATAAATGAAACATTAAATATTATTTCAGAAGTCAGAATTTAACTTGTAGTAGGTTTTCTGATTTTATGGAATTTGAGGGTAACTAATTAACGACACTGTCCTGTAATGTCATTCAGTAACTGCATCACCAAGACCTCAGCGTCCTCCTATACCTCCTGTCAAGCCTACACCTATGCGAAGAAAACCTCTGCCTCCAAATACTGTGACTGGTAAACCAGGGAGTCCAGGTATCTCAGCCTTTCCCCATAAATATTTTATAGTGTGTTAGATACTAAACTGACTGGTTGTGTACAGGAAAATTTTACAGTATAGATTCTCTGTCTTGAATCAAATGTGTTATCTATAGAAACCAGTTTTCTGGAACATGCATGCCTTGTGTCTTTTGTCTTTATACATTGTGTTTTCCTTTTGTTTTCCTGACCTAGTTGTGTAAAAATCATCCATAGCAAGGGAGCTGAAAGCCAAGTAGCGTCATGCAAGTCATCCTTTAAAACATCTCAATGTCTACTAATAGCATTTGCAGTTACTTAATGTATGTGTCAGATGGGAGATATCAAATACTGTGCTTCAGTATGTACCCACAATTGGTAATTAATAAAGGAATTCTGTCCCATGTATGTGTCCCTATACGATAGATATGGCACATCCATTAACCCCTGCTAATAACTTAAGCTAATAGGCAGCCAGAAAACTCACTGGCAGGTAGAGGGATATGAGTTATTACATGTACAATGAGTTTAACTTAATCTATGTGTAACAGTATTCCTGCTTCTCAGTATCAGTGTAAGAGCGCTCAGAATCTTTTACGTTTACTATTTTATTTTAATTTTATCCTGAAGCTAATATTCAGTGTCATCTGTATATTTTGTCTGTGGATTTGAAATTTGAAATTGTGTGTGTTAAGGGAGTTGTGATTTTTTTTCTGAAATTTCTCAAAAGGAGAGACTGCCTTTCTGTTTGGGCCTGCTAGGGAAGCCCCTTTTGTCCTCTCCCTCTTTTGCTCATCTACAAAAAAACTGGTCCATCTCTGCGTCAGCCAACATCCTTGTGAGAAAGTTTACCCCTGTGGCAGGTCTTCCTGTTGGCAATGGTGGAAGGACCTAAATAAATCTTCAGTATTCTGTGCATCAGATTAGAACTACAACCTCAAACATGGATGAAACAAGCTGTATATATTCTCAACAGCAGAGCCAAGATAGAAAAGTTGTGTCTGTACTTCCTGTTGACTGGTGGCGTTTCCTTAGTAATAGCTAAAACAGAGCATAAGACGTTGTCAGTCTTGAGCTATAGCACAAAAAATCTTCACTTCTTGCATTTTCTTTTGCTTGTAATGAGATCTATGCTTATTTTCTTTCTTAAATCTGTAATTCATCTACCAGCATTTTGGAATTCCACCTTTTTTTCCATACGCTAGAGGCCAGGTTATGGAGTAGTCAGCAGTTATCATGCCTTCCTAGACATTCAAGATGGAATAAATCAGTTAGATGATCTGGTCCTTCCTTGTGGGACTGGTAGTAGATTTTCCTTTTAGTTTGTTTCATAATGTTTGTCCTGCTTGGTTTTGAACATCATATGAGTTTCTTCTAGTTCCCAGGAGAAACTGTTCCACAGTATTAGCAGGAAAATTTTGCTTCAGTGTTCTTCTTGGATTTTCCCTTCTATAATGTTGTTCTGTTTCTCTTTCTTATTAACACTGTGATTAATTCCTTGCTTGTATCTTTCTTACTCATCCACTAGTTGAGTGTTATGGGAAGGTTTCTATGCAGACATTAAAAGTCTCCTGAATGGAAAAAAAAGGAAATAGGAGTGTTCCAAACCTTTGTCAGTCTGCACTCTAGTGAGAGTCTTCATAAATTTCTACTGTTATCCCTACTTTCCATTTTTTTGAACTTGGTTTGTCAACATTCTGCCTTCAGTCACCATGTTCTTCTGTGTCATACATGCGGTGAAGGTGACTACATTATGTAGTTCTTGGCTTTTTGGAGGTGAGATTTTGCAGTCTTACAGTGGTTGTCTGGGAGGTTTCCAGGTTTCTGTTGGTGACTTCAGCTGTTCTGTGGTGTGAAGAAATGTGCTCTTTTATTTGTGAAACAGTTGGTTATTTTGCGTCTATTTACCAGCCAGTGCTTAATAACCAAGTCATGTATGTTCTAGCTGACTGAATCTGTCAAAGACAATCTCCAAATAGCAAAGAATTTTCTTACTAGACTTCAGGAATAGGTTCTGTTGGCAATAAAGAAAACACAGAATTTTCCTAAACCCAACTGGGAGCTGTTGAGTAAGTTTTGAGGAGAATGTCATAGTTTAAATGAAATCATGTGCCCATTTCTTTTATGAATCACTCGTCAGAAATCTGAGGTTTTTTTGAGTTTTTGATTTTCTAAATAGTGAATGCCTTGTTGCCATACATTCCTTCTTCTGTCACTATAGCTAAATCTGCTGGACCAACAACACCTGTGAGGACAGGAATTCCATCTAAGACACCAACAGCTTTTGCAACTCCAGAGTATTATGGTGAGCATAATGTAGACAGCTCTGGTTTCTTTTTTGTTTCTTTTTTTCTTTTTCTTCATTAACATAAAAGTTTCCTTTTTTTTTTCCTCTGGCTTCCCTTTCCTAAAATAAATTGATGCACTATAATATAAGAAATACTCTTTCTGGAGTGATTCTGATTTCTGTTTATGCCACTTTGACTTTTGCAACTTGCCTGAATTCACCTGGCTGTCATCTGATACACATCTTTGAAAAATGAGAACATGATGGCTCTTCCATCTTTTGAGAAATCAATACATGCTTAGTAGCCTTTCAATACTATTCAGGGTCTACTTTAAATCTGTGAAAGGTGTAGATAAGACACTTATTTTCCTGAATGTTTCATTTTGCATAGGACATAAATTTAAATTATTACTTGAATGGTGGCTGACAGTGGTCAAGATGGTTGTGATATACTACTATGTATCTGATCAATATGCAACTATCTAGATAGAAAAAAATACAATAGGATAAACATTATAGATAGTTAATAATTAGACCTTTATTGTGGGGAATTAGACCTAGAGTTGTGGGGAGGGTGTGCTTAGAATTAATTTTTGAGACAAAATATAATCTCATGATACTAGATGTATGAAAAAAATGCTTGTTCTGAATATATCATATGTTCTGTTCATTGATGTCTATTTTAGTATTTGTATCTAAGGGAATATTCCGTTCAATATACTGGCTATTTACCACAACATTGATGTTAAGAATCCTGAATGCTCTAGCACATTTCTGCTCACAACAATGTTTGTGTACAATTCCTTTCACATTTTGTGGAAGTTTTACACTCTGAAGACAAAATTTGTGATGTCCTTGTCACTATTTTTTGAAAAGTTGTGTCCCAACTTAACAGTACTATACATTCTTTGAAGATGAAGTGAGCTCTAATTTAAATGGCCAGTACAGTGCAAAAAGTTGCTTTTAAAAAGGTCCAAAGTACACTTCACATAAATTGCATGAGCTGAATCCAGCAGGAGTTGTGAATTCTGTCATTCTGATTATAACATTCTTTATGCTGTTAGGTAAGTATGGGGTTTACCTAGCAGCCAAAATTGAGTCCTTAAAAGGAAAAAACAGATCTGACATCAAAGGTCTACCATGGAGGAACTTTAGCAGGGATGATTTCAAATGCCAAATGAACCGTGAGATACAGCAGTTCTGAAACTTTATGTTTATTGCAAATTGAATTACAACCGTGTCTCTTACAGTCGATGCAACTGTCTTCAGTTCAAGTCCTACATCAGAAACAGATTCTTCAGGCAAACCAAGGTACCAAGGTAGGATTTTAATAGCTGTGGTGTTTCTTTTGGGGGGAATGCATGGACACTGACCTGTTTTATATCAAAATTATCTTGTTTGGTTATTTGAAGGCCAAAGCTTCATTTGATTCTGTCTATTCCAGTCAGATGAAAGGTGACAACAGAAGGGTGAAGGCAGTGCAGATTCCAGGTCTAACAATACCCCACCCCAAAAAAGGCAGCTTAGAAAAGGGTATTGAATATATAGTTTTAATTCTTAAACATTTGTGTTTCATTTTGACTTGTACAGATTTTTGCATCAGTCCCTCAACTGAAAGTTGTAGGATGGGTGGAATGGCATTGATGTTTTGTTAAAAATATTGTACTGAATAACAGCTCTTTCTTATTGCTCTAAGCCCCTCATGTCAAGTACATGAAGAAAGATGATGATGTGCCTTGCTCTATCACAAGCTCTCTTGAACATTTTCCTCAAGAAGAGGCTAGCATCAAGGAAGAACCTACTCGTCCTCCACAAAATCCTCCAACCAACCTCACAGTGGTGACTGTTGAGGGCTGTCCAACTTTCGTCATATTGGACTGGGAAAAACCAGACAATGACACTGTTACTGGTTGGTTTGATTTCTTTCTTATCTTGTTTCAGAATACAGTATTTCAAGCTTATTTTTACTTTGACAGTGATTTTGTGCCATTTAAAATAATACTTTCATCCCAAAAGTGTCTTACACTTCAGTGCTTTTATTTCATGCCGCTGTGACAGTATTCTTTACTGCATGGCTACTTGCACATAATGCAGACAACTTTCTTGCCATTATGTTTTTGATCAGTGAGCCAGATACAATGAAAGTATCTGTCTGGTAGGTCAGTAGAACTCTGCCAGCATATTACTTGCTGTACCCATTGTAAGACCACAAAGTTCTCTTTGTGTAAAGATTCTGTTCATTTGAGTCTATGCCTATGCCTATGAGTACCTGGGTAGGCATGCAAGAAGACCACTCATAATTTTTCTGTCTGCTCTGTATCAACACAAACTTACCAGAATTGAATATGAAAATTATGGTTCTTCTGTACTGTCAGGATAATAGCTTCCATTTTTACCACTGTTATAAAAGAGAACTTTGATCTGCAAAATCACTAACTCAATCACTGCTGTGGCCAAACAGATTTGGCTGTGTTGCTTTACAAGTGAGTAGAATAAGTAAGTCTAGGAACTGTGAGGAGGAAGATTTGATCGCTAGCCATTCACTTTAGCGTGTAAGTGGGATATTTACAGAAGTTGCTTTATATGCATGTCATGACAGATTTTACTGCAGAGCTGTAATGGTGACTGTCACATGCTCTCTTCCCCAAAATAGTCTTCCCTTGATTCTCTAGAAATGATTACTAAGCTCAGCCTGGATTCTTTCCTGTTCTTCCCACAATTTTGAAAAATAATAAATGCAGATCCAAAGGCACACTCAGAACAAAAATAAGCCTGTACCACCTTCTTCTGAGAAAGAGGAAGAAAGTTGCCCCTTCTGCTGAATTAAAAGGGAAGAAAAAAAAAAAAGACTATAGGCAAGTAAAAAGTAACAATCAGAAAGAAGAATGATTACCTGACTTGTCTTCTGTAATGTGCTGGAAGAAGTGTGAACCGATTTGTAGCGTATTCCTAGCTTTAACATTAGGCTGGGGAGAGGCTCTTTGTGAACATTCTCCTTTCTAGGCAGTTCAGCTATGCCTCTTTTTATCCAGGGAAAACCCTTTTTGTTGCCGTTGTCATTTGGAGGCTTCCTCCACAGACCTGTCCTTAGCTTGATAAGATCAGATAACTTGCTTAGTTTGCTTTTTTTTTTCTTGGAAGTAGACCTGTTTTTCTTGAGTACATTAATGAACCCACTGCAGCACAACCATTTCAACTGCAGAAATAGAAAAAAACATTTACATTATAACTGGAAAAACTGTCAGCATGCGTCATGTAATGAGGAAAGCAAGGTCTGATTTCCTTCTGATACAGTCTTATTTCTGTTATTTTTCGCTGCTCCTCGTAAGACTTGTTCTCTAGACCCTTCACCAGCTTCATTGCCTTTCTCTGGACATGAATACACATAATACAAAATGTTTGAATTCTGTGGCTTAGAAATACTCCCACTGAGTTTTTGTCCTTCATCTTAATGTCTAAAAAATAAGTCCGTTAATGACTCATCTAAGAATGTTTTCTGTAGTCAACAAAAGTCAATGAATCCCATTTTCTCCAAAAGGTGATTACTTCATATTGGCACAAGAATGATATTACTTGTTTAGAAGAACTTAAATCAAGTTTTCTGTCATCTCCTTTATTTTTGTATTTTGAAAAAAATGTTTTTTCAATGTTCTGATTTGGACATCACATCTTTATTTTTAATGTGCAGTTTCAGATAGAACTGTGGATAATTTGTTGAGCCTTATTTAAAAAATACTGCTGTTGACTATTAGTTAATATGTTGCATGAGGGTTTTCATAATATTAGGTATTACTAAAACCAAAATTATACTTTGGTAATGGAAAGATGTGACAAATAATAGCTAAAGTAGTGGTCAAGCTTTCCTCCTTGTTTTCATAAAAGCTGCAAAATGTCAGGGACCAAGAACTTTTTTCTGGTGCCCTGCTTCTCCTGTTGAGTTGTCTCAGAGATGGAGGGCAGTGTATTGTCTAGTCCACTGAGGATCACTGTTAATATACATTAACAAGCAGATACTGGATGCACTTCCGTAGTTCATTGTATGTGTGCATGGAAGCACATGCCCATGCATTTGTTGTATTATCCTTTATTCTCCAGTTTGAATGAGTTAAAAAGTTTAAAGCGTGTGACTTGGGGCTAGCAGAAGGGCAGATGGATTGAATTTCTGTGAAGTTATCTACTGATTCTCTATCCAGATACTCCTAAGGCAGTAGAAATCCAGCCTCTGTCCTGTCCTTACTAAGCATCATTGCTATAATGAAGCTTAATTGTGGTGAATAAGGGCTTTTCCTTTTTTTTTTTTTTTTTTTGTTGTTGTTGTGTGTGCGTGTGTGTGTAGGAAAGGGTCTTTGTTTCCAAGAAGGAAAAGCGTAGAGAAAACACTGGCTTTTTGACATACTCTTAAACCCATTTTAAAGTTACATGTTGCTTCATCTATGCTCCAAATATAAGATATGATATAAAAAGACCCTGTGTAGTGGTTGCTTCTGAAACCATTATAGCAAATAATCTAAAATCCACATGTACATATATGTGTGTAATTGCTTGGTCTGAAAGACTGGCATAGAAGCTTGGAGTTGTGACTCATGTCAGAGGATGCATGCTAGAGATGGACTGTATCTTGGATATGGTTATGATTTTTCAAAGGGGCATCTTCTTCCCAAACATCTGGTTCTACTCCCCTGTTTAGAGCATGGCTCACACTCGGTAGTACATACCAGTGAGGTGAAAATAAAGTAGTAAGTCTCTATAAATAATACAAATACAAAAAAAAAAAAAAAAAAAGTACTTAATTCTAAACTGACAGATTCCCAAGAGCATAAGCAAAATTAGTGAGCAGTTTCCTGTGGAAACCTAAGTTTTATTAGGTTTTACTTTAAGTTAATCAGGGTTTAAGCATTTAGAAACTGTACTTTCATCTTTGATGCTTCTTTTTTCAAACTGAGGGATATGTAAACTTACTTGTGTTCAGTATTCTGTCAGTAGAGTACCCTTGGGGAAGGTGAGATTTTGAGTATCCTCTGTCCCATAACTGAATCATGAGAAAGGATGAGAGGCTAGGCACTCAGCAATCTGTAATTGGAACTCTAAGGAGTTTTTCTTACCATTTTAGAATACTAACATCCAGACTTGTTCACATGAAATGTCTGTACAGCCTGTTAGACAGTAGGAGTGGAAATCAGATGGAAAAAAGGGAGAACAATTAAGTTCAAGTGAGAGCTGTTATTTAAACACGTTTCTCTTTACTGTATTTTTCTAGAGTATGAAGTTGTGTCAACTGAAAACGGAGCAAGTGATGGTGAAAAGGAGAAGTCAATTATCACTACAAATCAAACCCATTCTACGGTGGAAAACCTAAAACCTGACACAAGGTAATTAAGTAAAATGATTTTCTAAGTTTCTTCAACTAATTTACTCTGTCAGCTGTCTGCCACTTCAAATGCTAATATATTCAAATATATATGTATACACACACATATATTTAAAAGTAGTTACTTCAAATAAATATATATATATATATATATATAATATTTATACATGCACATATACATATGTCAGACCAAATTGCTTTTACTTGTGCTCTGATAGGAGAAAGGCATGCTTTGCTTTTACTTTCTTTTAAGTGAACAGATAAGATGGATCTGAGGAAACTTTATGAAATTCCAAAGAACACATATGTGGTCTGGACAGACTACAAAAAAAAAGGAAAAAAATGCCTTTTTTTTCTTGTTTTAATCTCTTGATAAATTTAGCAGACGAAGAAACAAGACAAACATGTGAAATGTTATCCTGATGTGTCAGATAAAGATTTATATGTAGTTGTCTCTCTGTGAGGTTTAAGGATACTCAGCACAGCAGATGCAGGCTCCTTGGCTACGTAGATGTATGCATTCAACTGCTGGAATGCAAGTTAGGCCACTGTACGAAGTCTGACCACTGCATTGCACCATAAAGAGGTGCAATACAGAGGCTTTCTTTCAGTATATAAAAACAGCTGGCAAGTTAAAAATGGGCCAGTGAGTCCCGGTTGATGGCAGGCATCTTGGGCAACTATGCCAGTGTTATAATTCAGTTCAAAAAATCTCATAAAATATATATATGTTCAAATCTCATAAAATATATATATGTTCAAAATATAAATATATATATTTATATTTGCCCAAGATGCCTGCCATCAACCGGGACTCACATATATAAAATATATATATACATATATATATATATATGTATATATATTTATATATATTATATATATTCTTTATATATATATATATATATATATTCTTTCTTCATGGTAAGATTCAGAGCAGTGGGGGGGGGGGGGGGGGAGGAGGCACTGTCCTGTGTTTTGAATTACTTATTGATTGCATCAGAAAGTTAGTGAATGTCAAGTTTCTTTTGCCCTGTAAGACCATTTGGCTTTGGTAACTGGACTTTCCATTTCAGATTGACTGCCCTTTTCTACTACTATCTTTAAATTGGTAACACAACACAAAATTCTTTGTAGAACCCATCATGAATCTTAACTTCTAGGCAGTATGTGGATTAATCTGAGGCATTAGTTCTTAACTTTTACCTAGTTGTGAGCAGCAGCTTCTCAAGGGCGTAATAAGGAACTGTTGCAGAAAGTGGAGGGGAAGGGAAATGGAAAAGAAAGGCTAAGCAAATTGAGACACCCAAAAAGAACTTCTCTAAGAGACTCCAAAACACAAAAGATGGGCTAGGACTGCTGTGTATTGCATGATGGTCATCTCTGTTATCTTCTAAAGGCATATTGCTTGTGAAAGGGTGAACTACAGATGTGTCATGACATGTCAGTTATGATACACTAGCAATACAACTGATGCTGGTGACCAAGCATCAGTCAAGTCAATCTTGTCAATTGAGGAGGCTTAGAAGAGACAGCAAAACAACAGGTTTTTGGAGTAGCAGCTGAAGAAAGGTAGTGGGCACTGTTTTCTTTTCTGTTTCTATTTTTGTTTTAGGATCTGCTTTGAAATGATGCACTTGCATCCCTGAAAACAACTGTGAGTTGTTATTGAGACTGTTTTCCATTACACATTCAAATTGGTTGAATTTGGTGACAGAAATTAGATGGACTGATTAAGAGTAAAAAAGCCATAGAAGCAATGTGAAGCCCTGGATGCTGAGAATAATGTCCAGGTGGCTAAAAGAGGAAAGCATTTTTAGACTGCTGCTTTTTAAGAAATGGAGCAAGGTGGAGGCAGGCAGACCCAGAAACCGTTGGAAAGGTCATAAGAAAGACAGGAGTTCTGGGAAGCAGATAAAATAGTTTTTAGTTTTAATTTGTAACATTTCTGTCAGTCTTATGAGAGGACTTCTGGGTTTTGGTGATCAACAGCAGACCAGAGACCATGGACAAAAGATGTCTTTGGAGTGTGAATTTTGTTAAAACAAGCTAGATACGAAATCAGCACTAACTGGTAGATGGTGACTTAGGACATAAAAGGATAAATTTACCTTGGTGGGGTGATGGCTGTAATCTCTACTCCCCTAGCACCAGAAAGAAAGGACCCTGAAAGTCTTTCTGGATTCAGGAGGGTATCATCTGAAATTGAAAAGGTTTGATATGAATTGCAATGGTGTCCCTTCGGTCTGAAAGGATTTCAAGGAGGCAAAGTCCTCAGAGAGGCTTTGTTTGATTAAATTCTTATTTCAGAATGTGTTTCCTAATTCTGAGATGTCTTGAAAGCTTTGGCAGAAGCACAAGAAATTGTTACTGTTGCCATTTGAATCTAGGCTTGTTGGCCATTAATTTCAAGGAAAGTAAGAAATGGATTGAAGACAACTGGCATCACGTAGACAGTTCTAGTGTTGCAAGGAAAGACAAATGTCTATAATAAAGATTTCCTAGCTGTCATGAGCTCATTGCTCACTAGATGAAGTAAATGGACTAGTGGATAAAACTGTCTTGAAAATATGAGGAAGAGAGACAATGAAATACATCTGAATAAATCAATTGAGCCCCCCAAATGTCTGAAAATTCATAAAGTAATACATTAAATCTGGGAAGCAGATTTTTCCATAACTAGCCTTAAAGGAAAGAGCTGCAGAAGAGGTAGAGCTGGAAATGAAACTTGGAAGAGAAAAAGAAATCCCTCTTGCAAAGGACCAACATTTACAACACTACCAGAAAGTATATGGAAAGAGATGATCAGTAGCAGAAGGTGGATTAGCTGGGAAAGAACCTCTTGGCCATGAAACAGTTTGGAGAAGCTGACAAGCTGAATTTGAGATGCTAGTTTTCCAACTTTTTTGAAGCCATCAGGGATGCTGTGTGAATCCCATACGCCACTCTAAAGGTTCAATGCCTCCAGAGTTGAAGAAAGTTCAGAATGTATCTAATCCATGTAGATCTAAATGAAGATTTTCAAAAACAATAAACATGATTGTGGATATCATATCTTAGGCTCTATGGGCAAATTTGAATGTGAAAGTTCTACAGCAGCAGAATTACAGTTGAAGCCTGTAATTCTCCAGGTGTTTACTCTTTAGGAGCAGTAGAGAACAAAGATGGTTTGCAGCCCCATTGTCCAAGATCTGTTGTCCTCTTGAGGTAAAATAGGTAGGAAGGGTATTCAGTGCCTGGCCAGAAGCTAAAGAATTAAATGCCCACATCTAACAGATCATACTGCTATACCTCTGGAAAGTTCTGCAGTAAGCTAGATACCCTTCCTCTTTTAGAGAAGGCATATTTTAAAGATGAGGAGCTAATGGCCAGACTTGGAATATTTAAGAAATTTGGACTTTGTTAGGAAGACAGTCTCAATGAGAGACTGAAAGTCTCCCTTGAAAAACTGCACGTGTGACTGCAGCTGTCCAGAAAAAGAATGTGTTGGCTAAAAGAGAAGAGGAGTTCTGATTTGCAGTACTGTTATCAGACATACAACAACTTGTGAAGGTTACTTTTAAACAAAAGTTTTATACATTAGGGCAGTCTGTCTTGTAGTACATGTGTAATACATAGAAAACTTCCATTAATTTTAGCAACATGGAAAGTACTAATCATGATATCCATTATTTGGTTGGTCAGAGTTTTGAAACTGCTGCTGTTCCTGGCACTAATCAGTTACCTGGCTCCAGGTACTCTGGATCTAGATTGTTATTTAGTTTCATCAAATATTTTGCTTCTTATATTAACTTTTACCTGAAATTTCTCAAACCATGTTGTATGGTTACCGTATATAAGCTAGATAACTATATACACTTCTTACAGATAGTTATATCCAATTAGCTGGTGCTCAAAGAGAAAACCTTTCTCTTGTTTTACCAATGTCCTCTGCTGAAGTGTTTCTGTTATAGATGTGTTTCTGTGAGCTATTAATCACATATACACTGTTGTTGATTTATAAGTTTGTACTGCAGTTAGCTTTTACTATCCTTCATATTCTTCAGGGATTTCAGAGTAGATTCAGGTCATATTTGAGTCAAACCTCAATTCAATATCACTCTTACTCCAATTTTTCTACAGCTTTTACTATAGTTATTCCCTACTTTTCCTTCTTGTTAAATGAGTGAGATAGCCAAATTCCATTCATCCTCCTTTCTTCTAGTTAAGCTGAATTAAGTACTGAGCTACTCAATTTTTACTCTGTCATTCAAGCAGTGAGTGTCTGTGTGCTTATTAATGAACCCTGGGCAACCTAATGTAGCTTTTAATTTGGTCCTGTTGTGAAAAGGGGTGACTTCCAGATGACTTCCAGAGGTCCCTTTCAATCTAAATTACTGTATGGTTTTATCTTATGTGGGTAGTTTCCAATCTTGTTAATTTTGCCCACTTTCTTCAATGCAGGCTGATGTATTTTTCTATATTAAAGCAAATATTATTCATTTCTTAGCAAAGAAAAATCAGAGAAAAGTATGAACTGGCAGCTTAATTTTTGTCTTTCGTATGGAAAATTCATGTTTTTCATGCTGAGAGCAACTCTCATGGTGTTTTGAGAAATGTATCATCTACTCTATTTGGAAAATGGTCAAAACTAAAACACAAAACTGATTTTTTTGGTCAAAGCAATTACGGTCTAGCTTCCAAGCAGTTGTTTGAGGAGTGAGATTTGTAATATCAAAATTACAAAATATCTTCCAGCCTAGAAGAGAGGGATCTGGGGGTCGTGGTAGACAGCAAGTTGAATATGAGCCGGCAGTGTGCCCTGGCAGCCAGGAGGGCCAACCGTGTCCTGGGGTGCATCAAGCATGGCATCACTAGTAGGTCAAGGGAGGTGATTGTCCCGCTCTACTCTGCGCTGGTGCGGCCTCACCTCGAGTACTGTGTGCAGTTCTGGGCACCACAGTATAAAAAGGACATGAAACTGTTGGAGAGTGTCCAGAGGAGGGCTACGAAGATGGTGAA